CTATACCTATAAGTCAAACAATCCTTGTAAATATTTATTGTATGTATGTACCTTACCTAAATAAAATTGTATTGTTGTATTGTATTGTATTGTAAAAGAGTATGCACTTTTCAGTGTTGCCGCTCGGTCACCCGAAAACGTCGATTTCACTTCCAGGAAGTTCCAGTCCACATCGCCGCGCGCGTTAAAGTGACTTAACACTTTAACGCAAGATAAATGGCACAGACCGTATCTCATTTACTTAAAGATACGGGCCGCAGAACATTGGATATGAGACGCAAAAAGTAGGGGGATGAAGGGAATATGAGTACGAATCAAGAGCAGTAGAATTATGGGCCCCAGCAAAAGCTGGAGGGGGGGGGGGGAGAGAAAGGAATAACCACGAAGTGATCAGGACGAGCGCCAAGCATCGACTCCTGGAGCCATGTACAAAGCAGTGAAAACTGTGTTATCAGAAGTTGGACAGACCACACACTAGAAGGTGAAGGGACGACGACGTTTCAGTCCGTCCTGGACCATTCTCAAATCGATTGTGATGTGAGAATCGACTTGAGAATGGTCCTGGACGGACCGAAACGTCGTCGTCCCTTCACCTTCTTGACATCGAATGTGAATTTACAATGAGACAAATAAGAAGCAAAAACAGAAATATTCAGGCACAGGCAGAAGTGGAGAGGAGAGGTATAATGTATGAGTGAAGTCAAACCATGCAACACTACATGTGTGTAAGTCAAAACACCCATTTCACTTATGGTAATAGGAGAAACGCTTGGAGTGACTCTGTGCACATGCGGCTCAGGCTTGGGTGCAAATATTACTGGGAATAGGGGATAGGTGTTCATGATAATGACACGAAGTGTAAACTATATGGTATGTTAAGGTATCACGCCCTTGCCCATTATGTTCTTGATTGTTCGTTGATTAATGTATATAGAAACACTGAGATAAGGACTGTTCCTGAACAAATAGCCTGGATGTGTCACAACGGAAAGGTTGATGATATTCTTGAGAGATATAAGAATTTTGCACCAAGACTGTAATCTTTTGTTGAATTATCTGCATGTCTCTTGGAAATTGTCTATACAGTATACCTAGGTCATAAAAGTATTTGTGTGTACGTCTGATACCATACTACTTGTGTAAAGGAGAAAATGTATATGTTTATCTCTCAGAATGTTTGGTAATATGTTTATTGTTTGTGATGTGTGTCTATGTATGTATTAACACGATGTACTGAACGGCGTGAGAATAGCTTGAGCTACCTCATCCCTTTGTGTGCATTTTACCTCAATAAACTTATTTCAATTTCAATTCAATTTCACCTTTTAGTGTGTGGTCTGGTCAACATTCTTCAGCCACGTTATTGTTACTCATCGCCTGCATACAGAAGTTGGAGTTCATGGAAGTTGGCATAAAATCCACGAATATTCCATTCAAGAATAGACATTGTCAAAAGGAGAGAGAACAATAAAAGAAACAAAGGCAAGAACACAGTATACTAAATAAGATCGGGATTAGTGAAATCAGGGTTAGGGGGCATGGGTAAATTTAGCAATGACGATAGAGTCAATGGAGTGGGAGGACGGACCAAAGGCGGACGGACAGGGTCCGGAGCTGGAGGAGAAAATGGAGAGGGGCGGTCAAGGGAATCAGGAGTGGAGGGGGGGGGGGCAGAAACAGGGAAGCGTATCTCAGCAAGAGCAGCAAGTGAGAGAATCGAGGGCTAAAGGAACCTCCATAGCCGGGACAGGGGGGCTCGACCACCGAAATGTGAGGGGATGTAGTGATAGTCAGAGGGTGGGGAGGAATGCAATGCCGTCTTATCTGCTGGGGAGGAAGAAGAGGCCAGGCTTACGTTTTTGACTTACGACAGGTGCGCCAGCAACAACGTACTGGGCGACAGCCTCCATAGTCTCAACAGAAGGAAAACGGGAGCGACCAACATGAAGATTGCTGGGAAGATGGACAACAGCCTACACAGACAGGCGGCGAGGAGAGCCAAGAGAGAGGGGAGGGAGGGGGGGGGGGAAGAAGGATCCGGTCAAGACGGGGAAAAGACACAGGAGACACGGCAGACTGGGAAGGAAGGAGGGAAACGCCAGATGGAGAACCAGGACGACGGCCTCATTGTTCAGAACGTAAAGGAGCATGGGAGGACTTGGTGGGCGTGTCCGGGTCCAAGTCCTCGAAACGGTTGAGAGACTGAGAAAGGAGGGGAGGGCGAGGAGAGGTGGAACGCAACACATGAGCATAAGATATGCTAGTGAAAGAGGAGAGACTTTACAGGCTCACCATAGCCCATGCTACATGGACACTTCGTTCAGAGTAGCTAAATCTCAAATAACATCTGAAACAGAGGAGAGACTACGGGCTCGCCATAGCCCGTGCTACTTGGAACTTTTTGTTCCCAGTAGCTGAATCTTAAACAACAACAACAGAGGAGACGAGACGGTGGACTTTGTGTCTCAACTGAAGAAAATATAAACGATTGCGGTGCTTGAAATTGAGGATGGCTTCTTCAAATTTGTAGTGGATACACGTGCAGGAGAAGGTTCGATGGGCGTCACTGAAATTGAGGCAGTGAGCCTGGGAAGAAGAGCACTCTGTTTTAGAGTGACCAGTCCCCACACATGGGGCACAGACACACCACCACACTTGTGCATTTGAGGACACCATGCCCAAATTTCCTGCACTTATTGCGAAGTCTAGGAGAGGAAATGTATTCCTGAACAGAGCATCTGGCACCAGCAAGAATTGTAGAGGGCGGAAGGGGTCCTACTATCAAAAATGATCTTCACAACTCTAAGTGGCTGACGACGACGACCACAATGGGGTCGGGTGAACGTATCAATCTGGAGGACAATGGCCTTGGGCTTCGTGGATATGTTTAATATCCTCGTGGCCGTTTTTCAGGGCCCTAACACCAGTCGCAACATGGTGCGGGAGGATAACAGTGCCAATACTGGCATTTAACTGGGCATTTTTGGAGACCCTAACAGGAGTCTCCCCAATGCTGGATAATGTGGCTAAGTGGGCAGCTGCATCCCGAGAAGCAGTTGCAATGACACGTGTATCAAAACGGGTGGGGTTAAAAGTAACAGAGGCATCCACCGAATCAACGGTGTTTATGGAGGAAGAAATCGTCAGGACGTGTAGAATCCAGATGGGCGAGATAAAAGTAATTAGTCCATGTAGTAGGATCAAACAAGACATGGAACGTATGAGCACTGGAAGAAATCGTGTGAGTGCACCTGTACGGAGGTCGGCCCCGAGCACCCCGTGTGATGGTTTGGGGAGGGGGTAAAAGGCGCAGTTGTCACAATGAGAGAAGTAGCCGCTCCAGGTGATGAGGTGATCACCAATTGGGGCTTGAGGCTCAACCCTACCACAGAGGAGGGAGGGGAGCAGAGGGGGGTAGTTGGGAGGGTAAAAAAGAAGAAGCTTGGTCTGGGTCCAATGTAACGGGGGCTACAGAGCCTTGTCTTCCAACACAGACCGACTCGGGGTGGGGGGGGGGGGTCTGATCGCCCACCCCATGAGCCTGGGAAGTTATAAGAGGATCATTCAGGGGTATAGAAACAAGTAGGTAAAAATTTCATTCACAAATAATAAAAATTCTCATACCCACTATGAAGCCACAATTAGAGGATAGGGCACCCGACAAGACGGCCCCCCCCCCATGGGTGCATCCTGAATATACGCCTCGCAATCGCCACCTTAAGGAGTTTATCCGTCGAGACTGGGTTCAGCAATGAAGGCGGAGATTGACAATAAAAGCGTCCCCCTCGCTCACAACGTTGGGTACCAGTTCTACGGGTGAGGGAGAACACCCGGGCGTCAAAACAGATGTCCGAAAGAATAATCAAGAATGGCAAAAGGTCGGCAGGAAAGACAATGAGAAAGGAGAAGGGGGCGGGGGGAGGCAGGAAAATTAAAACATAAGAAAGAGGAAATAGCAACCAGCACAGTTAATGAAGACGGCATCAGGAGCATAAGGCTTCAAAAGGACAGAGTGTCGTCTCATGGTGCATCACACCCTGGCAGCCGCCCACTAAGTCCCCTCACGACAGCGGCCTGGAAAGTGAGAGGGTAGGTCACTCAAATGATCAGTACTTTAACATTTCTTGTTTGTTGCAGTTCATTACTGTACCTGCTTTGAGCAGACAGCGTCTATCACTGTCACTTGTATTATTTGCCTTCTCTTTGACCTTTGGTTACTTCTGCAAAGATACTTGTTGACACTTGACCCCATTGGTAGTCAGATGTTACTAGGGGTGGGGTATGACCTAACTACTGGGTGGATCATTCCCTCCAAGTCATTTGTTACATTGCTTACTTTCTTTGACCCTACAGTTGTTTTGCTTTGCTTCCCTTTTTTTTTTTTTGCGAAGGTGATCTAGAGATCCCTTGTTCCCTGTACCTCTCTAAGGGGTGGGCCAGGTTTTGACCTCTTGTCTTTGATAGGTTATTAATGACTCGTAGGGATCTGATTTTTGTGTGTGAAGCCATCTCAATACAACTAACAAGGAGCCACAGTTTGGCCTATCCAGGTGCCGGAGCTGCTGGGTACACTCAGCGACAGGTTGAAGGAACAATGTTGTATATTACGAGTCTCCAATGCATTGGTGCGATTCACTTGTGCATCATGACAGCAGGCAGAAGAGAAGACACCTGTACTCATTTGAGAACAACAAGCAAGAGCCAAACCCCCCCCCCCTAAGCTGCACCCATGAGTCATTTCCATGTACAGTGGATGGACAAATGAACAAAGTAGGAGAGTTGTTAGCTTTAACAATGTTGTACAGTACATTATACGGCTGTTATCATTCAGTTATATTGTTCTGCAAATTTAGAGACTGGCTTCAAGACAAGGTTTTTAGAATTTAAAGGGTAGAGCTTATCAGTAGACAAGCCCGAGGAATGGATTGGTCTTTGGTAATTATGTTTCAAAGATACATTTTATGGGCGAGTTTGTATTTATTGGGTAATAAAAATGTATGCACACTTAATTTTTATTTAAGTTTTCCCTTGACAGATGTGATGCGTGTCACTGCATTCACTGTAATACTTGGAACCATCGTAGAACTAAGTACCTGTAAAGACACTTTTGTAAATTAAACTTTCACTAAAATTTTTAATAAAATCTAATTTTATTAATTAAAGTGATCCCCTACCTAAATGTAGTCTCTGCCATAAGTCCCTTTGTTTTGGATATATAAATGGAATAGTAACACTGCTGACAGGGTGTCCATGAATCGTTATGAATTCCATAAGTACATTTCACGGAATATTGACAGAATATGCTGAAAAAAGTATTGTATTATTAATAAGTATCTGAATTATATGCAGATGATGAGTCACAATAACATGGCAGAAGTAATTATTTATCAACAGAAGGCACCAAGCCAGGAAAGCTATGTGGCACCATCAAATCTGTGGAATAATCATAGGGCACTAAATATCATTAAAGGATACCAATATGAGAACAGAAACGCATAAGGCAAACGATATCATAGGTATCCATTTCACCCAAAATTCTATCGAGGTACAAGTGACCACGAGGGACGGTCAGGAAGCAAGACACTCGTTCCTCATGGAAATCCGGACATTCAACAAGGATATGCACGACCATAAGAGGGACAATGCAGTTTGGACAATAAGGAGTAGGGAGGCACTCTATTGAGTGTCCATGAGTTAAGTGTGTATGGCTAATACGCACCAGAGCAGTTTCCCACCACCAGTTACGGTGGTAGGAGGAAAACCATGGGGGGACACACTATTCTTAAGAGCACGCAGTTGTTACCAGTAACATAAGACCAATAAGTAAAGAGGAGTAAAAGCAAAAAAAAAAAAGAGTAATTTTGACTATTCAATAAGGGAAGATATTTCCTGCTCATGTTTGAACTATCCAGTGTGGGGTTAGAGAAAGAAATGTTCTGGCTATGCAGCAAGAAATGGTGGATGGGGAAAAGATTTACATAAGACAGGACTGGTGGATGTGAGACAACGGCAGACAGCTGCACAGACAGGACTGGGAGATGGAAAACACATTATACTACTAGACAAACTCAAAACTTTCACTTACCTAAGCCAGCTAAAGTGCTCATTTTCTTGTACCACTTTGCCACATTTGCTGGTGCTGCAACGTCAAGCTGTGCCTGTTTCACAAGTGACCAAGCCAACACATCTGCTATACCACACAGGTTTCCCATCAGCCATTCTGTCTTCCCCAGTCTGAGGAGAAACCTTTATTGATACTTTTAAACTGGACATTTGGGGCAAGAGCCATATTACAGGTTAATAAAGAATTAATACATGTCGAGATGACATTTTAGCAAAACCATGGCTAAATGGCCATGGTCTTGCTAGAAAATGGCCAAAGAAAATGGCTAGAAAATGGCCAAAATTAGGCCATTTTGGCACAAGTGCAATTTTACAGGTTGACATACCTGATTTACCCGATTTACCTGGAAACTCAAGCAAAAGTTGTTGTTGTTGTTTTAGATTCAGCTACTCAGAACATAAAGTTCCAAGTAGCACGGGCTATGGTGAGCCCGTAAGTGGAGGCTTTTTGGAGTCTGTATCTGTATCAATGGCTGATACTAGAGATCTGGGGGATGGATGCGAGTCTTCAGTCCTGGAGGGCTGGCTGTACCAGTTATGGAGCTGGTGGGGTTAGTGTAGACTTCTAGGTCTTCCGAGACTTTGGCCGAGCCGTGCAGTCGTTGGAGTTAGGTGAGGTGGCCTCCATGAGGAGGTCTTGTACCAAGTAGGTATCATATTTGTGGTGCGGCGGTGGAGCTCCTACTAAGATTTCCTTGTTTGAGGAATCCGCAACATCCGTAGGTGGTGTTTTCGTCTTTCGCCTTGCAGCCTGTGGTAGACTCGGGTGTCGTGGATTGGTGGTAGACGGTATTTCAGGAGTGTTGGTGGTGATGTTAGCATTTGTAGACAGCACATCTGCTAGCGCGGCTGCTGAGATGGTGATGGTAGGAGTGTTGGGAGCTGGAAAGGAAAATACCTCTTTGTGCCGCCTAGGTCATGGGTGGTTCTGGAGTCTGCGTTGAAATCGACCTCGTGGTCATCCTGGTGGTATTCTCCGGAGTGGTATTGGAGGCAGTGAGACTTGCACCAGGGGCTATGATGGGGGCCAGGCCATTGGCTATGTATAATGTATTCAGTTCACCTGACAAAATGGTGGTTGTCTGGTCCGGCAAGCCTCTCCGCTAGCCTATATTTGGTGACTACACCAGGGATAATGCCTGCACTTGATGCAGGAGGGGAGGGGGGCTGTGAAGGAGCCTGTGGGGCCTTGGGTCCCCATTGTGAAGGCTGGGTCGCCTGGTAGGAGGAGCCACTTTCTGGCAAGATCGGAAAGTCTTCTGGTCGATTGGTGGGAGCTGAGGTGGTGGTTTGAATGCTGGAGGCTCTGGTCACGGAGGTAGAAGGGTTGTTTCTCTTGGCTTCAACCTGGGCCTTTATGTTTTCCTGTCTGCGGGGGCAGCAGTAGAAAATTGCGGGGTGATTGCCATTACAGAGCAAGCAGCGATGGGTTGTTGCCTTACATATGGAGTAGTGATGGTCCAGTGTACACAGGCTGCATTTCTGGACAGGGTGCTGACACCTGTTGGTGGGGTGGGAGAGCTCGTAGCACTTTCCCCAATTCCACATTCCATAACATGGCATTTATTCACATTAAATTCCATTTGCCACTTGATACTCCAAGCACTAATTTTATCTAAAGCAATTTGAATGGTATTACAATTGTCTGCATCTTCTATCTTCCCAAGTATCTTAGCATCATCCACAAACATGCTCATATAATTCTGTATTCCTTCTGATGGATCATTTATGTAGACTATGAACATTACTGGTGCAAGAACTGAACCCAATGGTACTCCCTCCGCTAGTAACACTCCTCCAGTCAGATACTTTGTCTCTTATTGCTGCCCTCATCTCACCTCGTCAGTTAGAAAATTTTTCATCCATGTCAAAAGTTTCCCCGTCACCCCTCCAGGCATGGTCCAGTTTCCAAAACAGTCTCTTATGTGGGACTATCAAAAGTTTATTTTTTTTTTTTGGGGGGGGGGGGGTTCAGATACACAGTCAATCCAACCATCTCTTTCCTGTAGTATCTCTGTGGCTCAATCATAAAAGCTTAGTAGATTTGTTACACAGGATCTTCCTGTTTGAAAACCATTCTGCATGTCCCTTATTATGTCATTAATCTCTAGGTGTTCAACCCATTTGGCCTTAACTATTTTTCTAGTGTTTTGACTACCACGCTTGTTAATGACACGAATCATTAAGTGTTGGTGTATGAAAGGTGGTGAGGAGGGGGGGGGGGGAAAGGAGGTATTAGTGTTTGGAAGGTAAGTTCCCTTCCATTATAACATGAGGAAGTGATGACATTTCTGGGGTACTCTCTCTCCTATGTTTTATAGGCATACAACTAGGACCTGGTTGTGGTTCACATTGTTTATTTCACTAAGAAACTGTCTAAAGATACTTGTTTTTGCCAATGTTTTAACAAATGTCTGTAGTGAGATATCACATTGTCTGTAATGAGACATGTATAGACTAGCCAGATTAACCACGTGCACGCCATCTTCATATTTACGAATAGTTTTGTTTTTTTCTTATATCGTCATTCTCAACTATTTTCATAGGTTAAACTTTACCACTGACTTTCTTGGGACCCATGGTGTGATGTATAAAAATAACTTATGTTAAGCAACCAAAAAGCTCAAAGACGATTAAATTTTTCACAGATAATTCAAGCATGGTTATCACTAGGATGGATACAAGCATAAACATATCTTACTGACTAAGACAAGTATGAGCAAGCAGTTCATACTCTGGAGCAAACTTCAATGAAGTTTTCATCAGTCACCAGAAAATTCGAATTCAAGTGCAATCATACACCAAGGTCCCACTATACTATATGAGCACTTGTTAGGCTATGCCAATCATAGGTGGGAGTTTGATAGTCTGTAATAAATTAATATATTCAGTCTGATAAATAACAAATATCTGAAGAATAATGATTCAGTGAAGAATAATGATTCAATACGAGCAAAAAATTACTTGAGGAAATACCTTCCATTTAATTGTCTCATGGCCGCTTGTCGTTCTTTATTATTTCCAGCTGCTACTTGCTTCGATACTTGATCCAGTAACTGGTCTGTTTCTGTAATGACTGCAAAGCTCCCAGAAGCCTCATAGTTGAATGGAGAGGACAGAGGAAACAGACGAGACACGTACCGAATAATGTTCTCTTCCCCAGAAATTTGAGTCTGATGAAGAGGATTTACCTGAAATGATAAATCTTATCAACTCAAAATGTAAGATTTAAATATTATACTGCAATATTACTATACTGACACAGGTAAACAACCAGGCTTGTACCTGAAACACAATGCCTACAAGCAACAAGAACTCTGACTGATGACCCCAACTAATATAGTGCTATATCAGTAGGATAGCTTCAGGGAACTGACCGGTTTCCCCACAGATAATACTGTAATAGGCGAGTGCCAGATAATAAGATTGTGACAATATGCTTGCAGCGCGATGGAAAGACAAACACGAAGTAAATATGTAGACAACCAATCACACTGGTAGGATGGTAAACAGTAGTAAGGTTAACAGAGCAACAAAAAAAGCAGTGTATAAACCAGATTGCATTATGGATTACAACATAAACATGTGCTTGGTTGACAAGTGTAACATGATGGTTGGTGCTGTCAAATGTGTCCATTTCACTATTTTATGGACACAAGAAAGGTCATCATGTTGATCTAAGCATGCTAAACAGTTATAATATGTATATGGCGACAGCAGAGAAAAAATCAACAATGCGTGTGTGTATGTTTGGTCTTGCCGTTATGATACAATTACTAACAACATTCTGCAAAGATATTCATGTTTCATGAACTGCTTCAATGACTATCACTTCCTCTAGAACTTCTGAATGTTTCATAATGGAGCATAAACATGTATGATAAAGTGTGAGCGAGTGTATATCTTGAGGTCATCTTGAAATGATTTCGAGGCTTAGCGTCCCCGCGGCCCGGTCCTCAACCAGGCCTCCTTTTTGTTACACACCCCCAGGAAGCAGCCCGTCGCAGCTGTCTAACTCCCAGGTACCTATTTACTGCTAGGTGAACAGGCACATCAGAGTGAAAGAAACTCTGCCCATTTGTTTACGCCATTGCCGGGGATCGAACCTGGAACCTTAGGACTACAAATCTCGAGCACTGTCCACTCAGCCGATAGGCCCCCATACACTCAGCCGTACATGGTGCAAAATATTATTATTTTTATAAAATTTACTGTATAACAAAACTTTTCGGAGTGCATGTAAGTAGCACACACATATTTGTGTACAGATATTTCTCATATTTATTATATTACAACCTTGAGTGATAAAGTATTGAACAAATTCCGTTAAAAAAAATATGAACAAATACATGAAAAATATTGTAAGCAAGTAAACAACAATGAATTCATAGAAACTCCTGGCAATACAATGGCCTGCGCGACTCTCCCGGGATGCTCCCTGCTTGAGCGAACATGTTGTGATGACATCATCAGCACTTTTCTCTGCTCTACTACAGCCATGGTAAGTTAATTTGATTTTTTTTTTATTATGTTCTGGTGGTGAAGGAACACATTTTAACTAAATTAGAGGTAAAATAAAATTGTTCAATTTTTTTTATTTTCTGTGCACCTGGGCGATACATGGTATAAACAGTGGCACAACCTAGAGATTAAACATAAAGTAAACAGACACAAAGATTACATTTGTGCACAAAACATTAGCAATGAATATACATTTTTGCACAACATGACATAAGAAACATGTTCATTTGTGTACAAGTTTAAGCATAACACAATACAAGCAACATGTACATTTTGTGCTCAACACAAGCAATGTGAGTATGTTTGAAAATAACACAACACAAACAATAAGATTATACTTGTACAAAGGATAAAACTAGCAATGCCCTACCATAAGCCTCAGTGCTGATACATCTTTCCAGTGCAGGGTAAATGCAACCTTATGCTTACTGCGCTCCACTAAAGGCTGGTCTGTGAAGCACTCTTGCAAGTAGTCACTGACCTAAATAAACAAGATTAAAGTTTTAAAATTAATATACACAGTATTAATAAACATTCATTACAGCTAAAAAAAAAATTTACTCTGAATACCTCCAGAACTATTAACAGGACACAAACACTGACAACACAGCTGCTGAGCCATAATTGGAAAGTGTGTGTGATGTAATATGAGTTAGATTGAAATGAGCATGACTAAAGAGACTATGAAAACCATTTTATAAATCACAAGTCAGTTTTGTGGGGGACACCCCCCCCCCTTATGGCTCCCTGAAGTTACTGTCACTGATTGTGTACTGGGTCACTACTGGGTCGCATCAGTCTACTTGGTTTACCGTGGAACAGTGCCAGAACCTGGCTCCACTCAGAGGAGCAGGGAGCGGCGAGTCCTCTCTGGCCTCAGGCTTTTTGTCTGGCTTTGCGTTTGTGATTTTGCCAGCTCTCTGTATGGTGGCCAGGTGTTCCTGCAAGTATACTGGGCTGCATGCGCCTAGGGTTCCCTTCCCTAGGTGCCCGTTAAGTACTTCCTTTGCGATTCAGGTTACCTTCCCTGGGTCGTTTGGGTCTCACTCCTATTTGAAGTCCCCATCGCTTGGTGTTGTTCTCGCTCTTGGGGTTCGCCGGGAGTCTTGGATTTCCCGTGTTGATCTATTTATCCAGCGCACCTGTCTTCCCACCCACTTGCCCAACCCACCTACCAGCCAGCTAACCAGCCAGCTACACACTAATTATAGTGTGTGTGAAAATTCAAATTATGTTGGTTGTGGTACAAAAAATTGTGAATACTGTATGTTCACTTTTGGACTTTCCCGTAAAAATTCTGCTTATCCGCATGTTGGGCTGATCTGGAAGGGAGTCTTTCCCCATATAATTCTGATAAGCAAGCTTATACAGTAATTTTACACTTATAACAAAACTTTCAGAGGCATTTTTTCCTTTCTCACTTTTGCCTATTCCTCTACTGTATACAGTAATTAACAATGTTCTTTTTAACTAAAGTCAAATGTTTTTCTTAAGTTTTACTGATTTGTATTTCTCCTCCTTACAAAAATTTGAGTGAGTTTCTACTTACCTCTGATACAGAGGAGTGGACATGATTGGCACTGTATACAGAACATCCAGCTTCTCTCAGAAGTTTACGAAGCAATACTAGAGAGAAAGGTGGCGTTGTGGGGTTGGCAGAAATCACCAAGTCGTGCACAGATGCTGCCTGCAAGGGAAATAAGTTGTTAATGTCCTGTCACATAACCTCACGCACACATTGTGAGAGAGCCAGAGAGGAAAAAGACAAGAAAATGAGTGCAATATAGGAAGAGGCCTAACCCTCAAACATACCAGCCACTACCAGCAAGCACAAAAAAATACACAGCAGTGAGGAAAGAGGCAGAAAGGAAATTTGAGAAACGGGTAGTGGACAAATGTAAAACAGATACAGTAGAGGCCTTTTCTATAAATTCATTAAAAGCAAGCTGCATTAAATGTTAAAATCCAGAGAATGACAATGGCAAACCAGGTTTACGGAGAAAAAACAATAAATGTGTAAAACATTAAATGAACAGTTCCAAAGTGTGTTTGTACAAAATGAGGATTTCAGAGAGCCGGACCCAATGCCAATTCCAGAACACGCCATAGAATACAGTACATAGATGCATCTCAAGATGAAGTGGAAAAATTACTCGAGGAGCTAGGAAGAAATAGAGCAGTTGGATGAGATGGAGTTTCATCTTGGGTGCTGTGAGAATGTGCTGAGCATTCCACTCAAATATTTAAAAAATCCTTGTGCACAGGAATCATGGCCAATACTGGTATATGGAAAAAGGCAAACATAATTCCATTCTACAAAAATGGTAGCCGAGAAGACTAAATTATAGACCCATATCATTAATAAGTGTGGTAGTCAAAACGCTAGAAAAAATAGTTAAAACCAAATGGGTAGGACCCCTGGAGAGTAATGACATAATATCAGACAGACAGCATAGTTTTCGAACAGGAAGATCCTGTGTAACAAATCTGTGGGGGATCAACCCTTAAAGAGCACAAATCATATACTGTATATATACAGGTACATGATTTAGGCCACCTGCCTGGGGGTAAATTTTGACACTAGCTCTCCACATATGTCAGTTGCTTAATTTAGAACCTGTACTTGAGGTCGATCTCGAACCCATTGTTGATGTGACGACTTATATTGAATTTTGTAACTAGCTAATCAAGATTGTAACTTGCTTAGCTAAATGAATTGTGGGGTTCAGTCCCCGAGCCCATTATGTGCCTCTGTAACCCTTTCCACTACCGCCCACAAGATGGGTATGGGGTGCATAATAAATGAACTAACCTAAACTGCCTGGGGGGCACAAATCATGTATACTGTATATGATTTGCAAATTTAAAATATTAAAAATAGTCCTGCACATATACAGGGCTCACATTTACTGCCTCAGGCCTCCAATAACCATTCCCCATCTTGAAAGAAAATCCAGAGTCCCTCACTATCCTCCTAGGGCCTTAATAAGAAAATGTGGACCATTGCTTAGCAGCATCACCATCCAGTGTCTGAACGTTTAGAGCATCCATAGAGAAGACACTAAACGTTTAGCATAGCAACAACATACCAGTGATTACCATGTATCTTGAGGTTATCTCGAGATGATTTCGGGGCTTTAGTGTCCCCGCGGCCCGGTCCTCGACCAGGCCTCCACCTCCAGGAAGCAGCCCGTGACAGCTGACTAACACCCAGGTACCTATTTTACTGCTAGGTAACAAAGGCATAGGGTGAAAGAAACTCTGCCCATTGTTTCTCGCTGGCGCCCGGGATCGAACCCGGGACCACAGGATCACAAGTTCAGCGTGCTGTCCGCTCGGCCGACCGGCTCCCGTCAGCCGAGTACGTACAGTACATATTTGAGACAAAATGTGTGCTATATGCAATTTTAAGATTTAGACATCATATATATGAAATTTTAAATAAAGTTAGATATATATACACACACACTAAAAGAATAGGGGTGGTAGGAGAAGAAAATATCAAGTGTTCAGTGAGGATCCACAAGGTTTTCTCTGAGTACTCTTTATTTTCTTCTCCGAGGCTATGGGTCCCTACAATTGCACCAGAGGTGGTACCTCCATTTTATTTATTTATATTTATAATATATATATATATATATATATATATATATATATATATATATATATATATATATATATATATATATATATGAATAATGTAAAACCTACCTAACCTTTATTTTATGAATATATGGGTGTCTGTATATTTATACTGGTATATCCATACATACTTATATTTTCAACGTTATACATAACAGACATACAAACATACAAACCTTTGACATACAAACGCAACCAGTTAGCACGAAAACACTAAATAAAGTGAGAAACAATGAAAATAAATCAACAAAGTTATTCTCATGCGACACTTCAACTCATTTCTACCTAAAAATATGCAACTTCTCCAGGCCACTACAGCTAAACCACAAGAGCTAGAGACTTTTTATTTGGATTTTTGTGCTTCCTGAAGGCTGGTTAACAATGTCATCAGACAAAATAATTTTCAGATTTTTTTTTTTCTTGAGCACCCTGGGGGATGTCAGCTATTAACACTTTCGCGCTCTCGGCGCACAAAAAAAAACAATACCCCAGATGCTTTCGGCACTTCGCGCGCCTACGCGGTAAGACCGAAAAGTGTACACTCTTTTGACTGTCCTGACAATAATTGAAGGCGCACGTATTTAAATTTGGTATCACTGTGTTCGCAATGAAATTGTCTATAAGAGCATACCTATAAAATGCCGCCCAAGCATAAGGAGTATCAACACCAAATAAAAAACTATGCAGATCACTCGCCGAGAGCGCCAAACAGCAACAAAATGTTTCCACTCTCTTAATGGTTGCGAAGCCTACAGTTGTCCTACATCGCTAATTTTGGTATCATTGGAATCGCAATAGAATTCTCTACACGGACATATGCATATGAATGTTTAATATAGGTAATTGCCCACCCGCAAGAGTGTGTGAAGTGGAGAGTAGTTAGCCGCGAGCGCACTGGCGAAAACACAGGGGGGAAATGATGCTTGGAAAGTTTATACGTTTCCTGACCCTACTTTTCTATGTACGTACTTCTTTTTTATACCAATGTGTTCGCAATAAAATTTTCTATAGGATGAAATGTATAACATTTGTACAAAGCATGTGTAAGAGAAGCGCCAAATATAGAACCACCTCGCTCAGTATGCGTTCGCGGCAGAAACGAACGCATTGTTTTCGTTCGTTTGATGTTTGTCATGTTTATACTTGTTGAAACATTTTATAATTTGTATGACAGTGATCGCAGTAAAATTCCCTACACAGACATATACATAACACATACAAATATTTCCCACGTGTTGGATATATCAACGGCTAAAGGGAACCCACTGCCACACGCTCGCCACACCCCCAAACATACTTTGTGTATTTTTTTTTTTACTCATAGAAGTTTATTTGATATAATATTCATTCTGGTAGCAAAAAATTCGCAAATAAAACGTATATAATCTGAGAGTATCCCCATCCATTTCGGTTAAAAAATGGAATTTATAGAAATATTTTTTCGATGGACGAGAAAAGTAGGCTGTTATGCGGAATCGTAAGAAAAAACAGCGACGAGTTATCTCTAATCTAAAGCGCGAAAGTGTTAACAGTTTAGCAGCAAAGGGGGACATACACAAACGTTAGGCTAGAAAAACATGCACATGAAGGAAAATGTAACTAGAACAAACACAAACACAGCCCTCTGCAGGACAGAGTCCTAAAGGGTAGCCAACCCCTTCCAGAAATTGAAAAAAAATTATTTGTCACAATTTTTTTTTTCAGTACAGTACTGTATTTACAAACACTAAACTTTTTAAACTAACTCGTGCAAAGTTCCCAAATTAAAAATTCACTCTGCTCTAATACTCCGAAGAAAAAAATTCTCCTACAGCTGATGCTTGAGCACATGATACTGTACTTGCTTTAGTTGTTGCCAAACACAATGTTACCCAGGTTACCCATTCTGGGTAATTACAATGTACATTACAATGTAATGTACATTACAGTATATGTAATGAATGTACATTACACAATGTAATGTACATTCTGTACATGTCTTAATGGTTGTTAGTTACTCCAGATTACTCAACCAATCCTCCTGTTTAGATAGTACTTTTTGTAATTATGTGGTCCATTTTATTATATACATATATATATAATATATATATATATTTTATTTATTTATTTTAGATAGTGACAGAAAAATTAGATGGTACTGCAGTACCATCTAATGTGGTACTATTCATTAGTACAACCAAACCTAAATATTCCTAGGCCTAATACAGCATATACATGTACTATATTAGGCCTCATAGCATATATTAGGTATACACAGACAAATCACTAACGTCAAAGAACAAATCCACAACAGCCTTGATGAGGGTTCTAGCCTCATCATTCGAACCTGTACATCAAACGTACTGTGTGATAGTGCATGGGGAAATTGTGTGAACCCCCAGTTAGGCTTCAGTGGAGGCTTTGAGATCCTCGTGGGGGCAGTAGCATTCCACCTTGAGGTTACCCTGAGGTGTTTTCGGGGCTTAGCGTCCCCGCGGCCCGGTCCTCGACCAGGCCTCCTAGGTTACAATTCTTTTACCATGTGGTGGTTCAGTTAACTAGAGCGCATCTGGGAACACTCAGTGCATCGGTTCGAACACTCATCAAGGCTCCTGTGCATTTGTTCTTTGATATATTAGGAATGGGATGGTTAGGTTAGGTTTTATTAGCAACAAATACAAAACCTTTTCCAGTTCATCCAAATTCAATAGTACCAAATTCTACTTTCTAATTGTCCTTTACATCAATAAATGTATGATGATCCACATTGTTAACATAAGTACTATCTAAACAGGAGGATGGGCTGGGCTACTGGTTACCTGTCCTCTGTGTCTAATGTACTGCAGGCTGTTATTTAGCAAATTCTTGAAGTATTTACTGTCATTACAAGAAACTTCCAAGTTGGCCCAAGCCTCACATCATGAGTAACTACCAGTGTCACACACAAGTTAAGGGTCAGTATAGCCAAGTGGATAAACTTGCACTGATACTTGCTGATGGTGGTTCCAAGAAACACAAAGGTGAGGAGATGGAGGACAAGGAAGGTAGCTGGTAAGATAAGTCACATTGACAGCCAAGATCTTGAGGGAGCACCTTCCAAGAAAGGTCCTGCAACTCCCTCAACATCTTGGCCAATTCCTCTTGCAGTAAGTTGAGCTTCTTGACAACTTGTGCATGGTGAGTAACAACATCCACTTCAGTGGACCAGTCCTGAAGGTACCAATCATTCAATGGTAATGCATTCATTTATATTTAACAAATACCCTGTTCAATATTGCATTTGCTTCAGTTATGAAATATGACACTCATAAATTGTTGTCACAGAACACTATCTGATAAGTTGCTATAGACCTTGGTATAGGTTTTCTTCTGAAGTTCTGCAATGAATTTCACTTCTTCTTTCAATGCCTTTATCACCTTCAAGATGCAATTCTGGTGTTCAGGCAGTGGTATTGGTTCATGCGATGGGTGTATTGATGCACCAGCCTCAGACAGATGACCAAGCTCAGCCTTCAAGCAGCTCAGCCTATACATTACTGATTCTTGCAGTCTCCTCACATCACAATCCACTCCAGTAGCCGCATCCTCCTACACCATCATTACATTGTCTATGTTAACAATACATTCATAACACATCAAACAAAAACAAACATTAAACAATATCTTACAAAGGCTGATGTTGCAAAATATGGTATTGCCAAATTATTACAGCCATTTATAATATACTTAAAGATACACAAATTTATAAATAGCATGATATACAGTACTTGTAAACTGAAGGTGACTTAGAACAACCAGACGGTTGCACAAAGAAATCAAATTAACATGATGTATCAATGAGAAAATTGATACATCACAATGCGATTTCTTTATGCATTTGAAGAGAGGCATTGGAGGTAACACTCCTAGATTATGACCAGAGTGCATGGGAGTAATGCATGAAACCCAAGTTAGGCTTTGGTTGAAAGCCTCAGGACCCCCTAGAGGATTCAGGTGAATCCAAGGTTGCATTGCTTTTGACCATGTTGTGGAGGAGTGGTCTAAGGTGTTTGCTTGGGAGTATCCAGAGCATAGATTCGAATCCTCTTCATCCTCCTACTGATTTTCTCAGTTGGATGGTTATCCCACAACCAACAACCCGAGGGCTAGTAGCCACGACCAACAACCCGAGAGCTAGTAGCCACGACCAACAACCCGAGGGCTAGTAGCCACGACCAACAACCCGAGGGCTAGTAGCCACGACCAACAACCCGAGGGCTAGTAGCCACGACCAACAACCCGAGAGCTAGTAGCCACGACCAACAACCCGAGGGCTAGTAGCCACGACCAACAACCCGAGGGCTAGTAGCCACGACCAACAACCCGAGGGCTAGTAGCCACGACCAACAACCCGAGGGCTAGTAGCCACGACCGACAACCCGAGGGCTAGTAGCCACGACCAACAACCCGAGGGCTAGTAGCCACGACCAACAACCCGAGGGCTAGTAGCCACGACCAACAACCCGAGGGCTAGTAGCCACGACCAACAACCCGAGGGCTAGTAGCCACGACCAACAACCCGAGGGCTAGTAGCCACGACCAACAACCCGAGGGCTAGTAGCCACGACCAACAACCCGAGGGCTAGTAGCCACGACCAACAACCCGAGGGCTAGCCACGACCGATAACCCAAGGGCTAGTTTATCTTCAGTACACATTGTGTTGGCTCTTTGCTGGATCATGTTGATTGAGGTCTTTCAGATTCATGTTGTTGCTTGGTCACTTCCTTAACCTTTGTGCTGCACGGCTTTTGTTGTGACAATCTGGTGGTGCGCCAAAATTTAAGTTCTCCCAAAAAATTTATTTCTTTGGATATTGTTAAAATCTCTGTCCTGAACATAAACAGTACATGTAAAAATAGATGTACAAAACCCCTTACTTTGGGTGTGGCGATGTAGAGAAGATGCGATGTGACATCATCGAGATTAGTTTGCCCTTGCAGGAAGTCCCCGGATGCAGTTGCACGGGAAATTCAAGACTCACGAGTTGCCACAAATATATTTTCATTTTTTTCAATGCTTTCTAATTATTTTTTATCATATCTGGTGCTTATTTGTGTCCTTTTAAAATATGTATACAGTAGAATGTTCATACTGTTCCAAGGAACTGTGATACAAGTGTCACTTATGTGTCCACAAAAATTTTTTAGTCACAATATTACTTGTTCAATATTCAATTTATTTACAACATGTACACACTCACACACTACTTAAACATTCACACACTGCATTACACACTTAGTACTTCAGAAGTGAGTGATAATCAAAGAAGCAGTCCATGATACACAGACTTTGCACTCGATGCACCAGGCACACATTTTCGCTTCCTGGTTCTTCATTCTGTGTGCTTGCAAACTATGCAGAATGCACTTGCTGACCTAGAGAGCATGCAAAGATCCATTACCATTAGAATACATTCTATAAATCTTAATTAATGGGACCAATTAAAAGTTCTAAATCTGTATTCTCTTGAGCACAGGTGAGAGAGATACATAATAATCTACACGTGGAAGATATTAGAGGGACTCGTTCCAAATCTGAATGCAGAAATAACATTACATGAGACCAGTAGGCATGGCAGGATGTACAAAATACCCCTATTGAAAACCAGAGATGCAATAGCTATGCTGAGGGAGAACACCATCAACTTCAGGGGCCTAAGACTTTTCAACACTCCCGGTACACATAAGAAACATAACTGGCCGGCCTCTCACAGTGTTCAAGAGAGAACTCTACAAACACCTCCAAAGAATACCTGATCAACCAAGCTGTGATTCATACAACAGGATGCAAGCAGCCATGCCAACAGCCTGGATGACCAGACAACCAACCAAGAGACCTGGTCGGTGGGCTTTTCTTTGCCCAAACATTCTAGAATCCTCAGCCACCTGCACCTCTATAGAGGGCTAGGTTTTGGCTACTGGTCCCCCAGTAAGTTTACAATGACTCATAAGGGCATAGTGCAATTCAAATTGGGTAGAACTATCCATGTTACAAGCAACAAGAAACCACCAAGGTCCCACCAGAGAGACATTTAATCATATTCAATGATGATGTTTTTCCATTTGGCTATTTAGAGTAAATTATTTCATACCTAAACAAAACACTATTAGTCCAAAACTATTGAGGAATGTCACAATATTGTATCTACTGTTGGAGAGATGTATCTACAATACTATGGTAAACAGCCAGAAAGATTTATCCACAATAATAAATTTCCATTCTGAGGAGAAACATCTACAATAATGTAAACCAATGCTGAAGAAAAAAGTACCTTAAATGGGGAGGAATAAGCTGCTGCTCCTATAGCCGGGTGGAAAGTAGAGCGGGAAGACACTTGTGTAGCTGCCACTTTATTTCCTAGCAGATGGTCTAACTGTTGCCGCAGATGCTGAAGTCTCTCCAGTAGGGCCTCTTGTCTAACTTCCAGGGCAGCCACGCCATCACTGTTCTGTTCACAATACAAATTTACAAAACTTTAACAATCCCAAGACATGCTGGTTATTGTATTACTTTCCTCCATTTTCTAATACACAATGTTGCTTTCCTGAAAAAGATGCAAGCTTACACAATCAAAGCCAATGTTGCAGGTCACTATTTTCTCTTCCTTCAAGAGAATAAAATATTACTGTACTGTAATATTATTGTACTACAGTTTGCATGAAGGAAAACCTTCATACAAACTGCATGTATCATGAAGATGAGAACAATTTTCTTTCAATTTATACATGGCAGATGTCAGTAGATATAGTGACGGCAGGTGTGCGAATAATTTAACATTATGCCTTCAGTCGAACAAGTCTATGTTAGTGGGGAAGAAGACTGGTTGACTAGTTTAGCAGTTACCAGGGAGGATGTTATTAAACAAATAATGAAACTCAAGCCAAACAAATCACCAGGGCCAAACGAAGTGTTTGCCAGGGTGCTTAAAGAATGCAAAGAGGAGCGTTGTGAATTTTGTCTACCATATTTAATAAATCATTAGTCAGAGTGCCAGTCGGGAAGGTTACTAATGTGGTACCAATTATCAGGAAAGTAGACAGATCACTTGTGTCAAACTATCGACCAATTGGCTTAATGGCTTAACGTCAATTGTGGGAAAGTTGCTTCAATTGATAATAATTGCAAATACCATTTGTCATCATCTTGAAAAGCATAGATTAATAAATGATTCACAATATGGTTTTACTAATGGCTGTTCATGTTTAACAAATTTGCTATCATTTTATTCCAGCACAGTTGAGGCATTTGATGGTGGTAAGGTTTGTGATGTTGTACACCTTGACTTTAGCAAAGTTTCTGATACAATGCCACATGAAAGACTGATTAAAAAGATAGAGGCTCATGGTATTGGGGGTGCTATACAGTATTGAGTTGGATTAGGGGATGGCTATACCATAAGAAAGTTAGTATAAATGGGGTTACATCAGAGTGGGAAAATGTTGCAAGTGGAGTGCCTCAAGGCTGTCCTGGGACCTGTGTTATTCATAATACAGTATATATAAATGATTTACTCAGGTTTGAGCAGCAATATTTGCAAATTTGCAAATGCAAAAATCGGGACGGAAATAATCACTGAATAACTCACTATCACAGAAGATCTAAATAGGATTTTAAAATGGTCAAAAGACTGATTGATACAGTTTAATGCTGACAAATGTAAGGTTTTGAGGCTAGGTAATGATAATGGACAAGATACGAGCTAGATAGTGCAGAGATTGCAAAAGGGATCTTGGAGTTATGATTAGTAAGAATTTAAAACCAAAAAAATCAATGCATAGATGTTTATAATAAGACAAATAAGACACTGGTATTTATTTATCGAAGCATCAGTAATAAGAAACCTGGTGTCGTTCTTCAGCTATATCTTGCTCTTGTTAGGCCCCATTTAGATTATGCAGTTCAGTTTGTCACCATAATATAGAATGGATATAAATTCACAAGAATGCGTCCAGCGTAGGATGACGAAGTTAATTCCATAAATTAGAAACTTCATATGAAAAAAGATTCACAAAGCTTAACTCACATTCTCTAGATAGGCGAAGAATTTGGGGTGACATGATAAAGGTGTATAAGTGGATGAATGGACATAACAAGGGGAATATTAATAGGGTAATAAAATTATCACCACAAGACAGAACACGAAACAATGGGTATAAATTGGATAAGATTTTTTTTTATCGATTTATATATACAAGTTGTTACATTCTTGTACAGTTACTAGCATGCATAGTTTTGGAATGGAGTGGAATTATCAGGGGAAAGACTATATAACACTTGGAAGGGATAAGGATAAGGATTTGGGATGGGACGGGAGAAAGGATCTCCAACCACTTGGACAGTCGGAGATTGAACGCCGACCTGCGTGAAGTGAGACCGTCGCTCTACCGTCCAACCCAAGTGGTTGGGGCATAGTTTCGGGCAAGTCTTTAATCCAATGTTTCCCGGAGTGCGACCCCGCCAAATCGTTTAACAAACAAGTACCCATTTTACTGTTGGGTAAACAGAGGCTACAGTTAAGGATTGACGCCCAGTAAATCCTCCCTGGCCAAGATACGAACCCAGGACACAGCGCTCGCAAAACGCCAGGCAAGTGTCCTAACCACTACACCATGGGAACTGCAGGAACTGCAGGATTTAGGAAAGACCTGGGTAAATACTGGTTTGGTAACAGGGCTGTTGATTTGTGGAACCAATTACTAACATAATAGAAGTAGGATCCCGTGATTGTTTCAAGCGTAGGTTAGACATATATATGAACGTGATTGGGTGGATACAAACCAGAGCTGCCTCGTGCAGGAACTTTTAGGAAAGACCTGGGTAAATACTGGTTTGGTAACAGGGCATTTGTGGAACCAATTACTAACATAATAGAAGTAGGATCCCGTGATTGTTTCAAGCGTAGGTTAGACATATATATGAACGTGATTGGGTGGATACAAACCAGAGCTGCCTCGTAATTATTTGCACACCCTCACCTAATTGTACTCATCTAACTGTGCTTGCGGGGGTTGAGCTCTGGCTCTTTGGTCCCGCCTCTCAACCGTCAATCAACAGGTGCCTCTTGCCTGTCGCCCTTTTTGTATATTGGGACCACATTTGCCGTCTTCCATATTTCTGGTAGGTATCCCGTCTCCAGTGACCTACTATACACTATGGAGAGTGGCAAGCAGTGCCTCTGCACACTCTTTCAGTACCCATGGGGAGATTCCGTCTGGACCAACAGCCTTTCTAACGTCCAAATCCAGCAGGTGTCTCTTGACCTCCTCACTCGTAATTTTCGAACCCTTCCAAGGTCGCCTGGTTTACTTCCCTTTCTCCTAGCACAGAGACCTCACCTTGTTCTATTGTGAAGACCTCCTGGAACCTCTTGTTGAGTTCTTCACACACCTCTGTCATTCTCTGTATACCTGTCCTCGCCTATTCAAAGTTTCATTACTTGTTCTTTCACTGTTGTTTTCCTCCTGATGTGACTATGGAGCAGCTTTGGTTTGGTCTTAGCTTTGTTTGCTATATCATTTTCATAATTTTTCTCTGCTTCTCTTCTCGCCCTAATATACTCATTCCTGGCTCTCTGGTATCTCTCTCTGCTTTCTGGTGTTCTGTTATTCCGGAAGTTCCTCCATGCCCTTCTGTTCAGTCCCTTTGCTTCCATACATGCCCTATTATACCATAGATTCTTCTGTTGCTTCTTGGATTTTTCCCTTTGGGACGGAATGAACCTGTTTACTGCCTCCTTACACTTTTGGGTGACATAGTCTATCATATCTTGTACAGACTTATCTCTGAGGATTGTGTCCCAAGGTATTTCCCTCAGGAAACGTCTCATCTCCTCATAATTCCCCTTTCGGTATGCCAGCCTTTTGTTTCCTAGTTCTTTTTTTGGGTAGATAATTCCTAGCTCTACCAGGTACTCAAAGTTCAATACACTGTAGTCACTCATTCCCAAGGGTGCTTCCATCTTAACTTCCCTTATATCCCACTCATTTAGGGTAAATATCAGATCGAGCATGGCTGGTTCATCTTCTCTTATTCTTATTGGTTCCTTGATGTGCTGGCTTAGAAAGTGTCTTGTTGCCATGTCCAGCAGCTTAGCTCTCCATGTTTTTGGGCCTCCATGCAGATCCCTGTTCTCCCAGTCTATTTTCCTGTGGTTGAAGTCTCCCATGATTAGCAGTCCAGATCCAGACCATTGTGACCCTCCGTCACTATGTAATGGAGTGCGAAAAGATACGTATATTTAGAGTCAATTCTATATCCAATGTTCCAACAATGTGTAAATATTTCATTCCAAATGATCTGCTACCAGAAATTTTTGCCGAATATCCCAAGTTTGCTAACTGTAGGTAGTAACTGTAACCTATCCACCGCCGCCCACTGGATGGGGGGCGGTGTGCAGGACAAACATATCAATTGTGACACTAACTCTCCACATGTCAGTTGCTTAATTTAAGAAACTACTTGTCGGTCTCGAACCCATTGTTGATGTGACGACTTATATTGAATTTTGTAACTAGCTCATCAAGATTGTAACTTGCTTTGCTAAATGAATTGTGGGGTCCAGTCCCTGAGCCCATTATGTGCCTCTGTAACCCTTTCCACTACCGCCCACAAGATGGGTATGGGGTGCATAATAAATGAACTAAACTAAACTGCCTCGTATGGGCCAATAGGCCTTCTGCAGTTACCTTCATTCTTATGTTCTTATTGTAAGGATGTGCAATGACTTGATACGTAACATATTTATGGCTGTCAGTGAGGGAAATCCCACCTACGTGAACACTGCCAGTGCGGGAGGCAGAGTTGCCATACTATAACCTACTCTCCCAGTGGTGCCGCTGCCACCCAGTTGCCAGTTACCTTTTCAGAGGAAGGAACACGTGATGGACCGTAATAGGAAGCACCAAGATCCAGTGCTTGAGCGCAGCTCAACACCTCCATCTTGTACATGCAGGAAGGCAACTCCACCGTGGGTGGCGTCTCCACTAGCCGCGGCATCCGGTACATGGTCGTCATGATGCCACAGTTTCTTCCTGCACCAGTAAAAGGCAGCCGAGAGCAGCTCAGTTAATCCCGCCCGGCACCTCTAGAGGCAACTCCTTCCTGAGCGCCAGCAGGCGCACACTGCTCCTGTCATCACTGACGTCATCGATGACACCTAAAGCCACAACTTTAAATAGATTTGTTAACACGCAAAGTTTGTATTTTTGTATTTATTTATTTATTTATTTATTTATTTATTTATTTATTTATTTATTTATTTATTTATTTATTTAAAGACGGTACATTGAGTTTGTGAAAGTACATAACATTGGTGTTTTTATTATCTTAGGTATACACAGCATTGTGCTGCTACCCTATTATATATAAAAGGTTACACAGTATAGATCAAAAACAAGCTATAAGTTCACCATACGTCATAAATATTCATACCATGCCCAAGTAAAACAGAAACAAGCAACACTTAGTGGGCCAGCCAGAGGTTTAGGGCCCGCACAGTGGGCCAGCCAGAGGTTTAGGGCCCGCACAGTGGGCCAGCCAGAGGTTTAGGGCCCGCACAGGAATATCCCTGCAAAAACAAAAACAAAATCTAATATTCCCATCTCACAGGATGGTTAGTCATACATGGAATCATGGGGAGCAAAGACCAGCCTCAGTACAAAAACTTAGTTCTTAGTTTATACAAAAACAATACAACAATTTCTTAAGCCATTAAAATCAGCATTTCGAAAATCTGGCACTGTAACGAAATTTTTCCTACAAAGCTATTCTATTCTATGCTAAATCTGATTTCTTTGTGATCACTGTTCCCTAGCTCACTCCTTATTTCGATTTAATTAATTTGCGTTTCCCTGTTAGATAACACTAAGTCTAAAATATTATTTTCACGCGTTGGTTCCTTATAATGTGTTGCTTAAGGAAGCAATCGTCAATTAATTCAAGAAAATCTTCTGCTTCATTATTCCCTGTTCTGTTAAACCAGTTTATTCCACTAAAATTAAAGTCACTCATGACACAAATCCTGTTTAACCTAGATGCTCTAGATATTTCATCCCATAGATGCTGTTTATAATGGGTGTTACAATATTCCTAGTATCTATTTTGCATGTTTCGTTTTTAAGGCCCTGAAGAGCTGACTTTGAATCACAGAAAATTACTCCTCGACTGTTCTTCAGTGCTTTAGTGGCAAGGTGAGGTGCAGCCAATTCTGTGTGGAGCTAAGCCAGTTAGTTATTCAGTCTCACACACTTGTGGTCTGTGTACATATGTTGTCTTTGTATATTCTACAGACTGCTGCAGTGTGACCTGTTGACATTTGAACAGACCCATCAGCGTAAGCATAGTGCTGGTGAGGCCGTAAGTTATGGTAAAGGAATCAATGGTTTCAAGTGTTGTTGCTTTCAGGAGTGCTGCAGGGTTTTCCTTGATCTTTGTGCTGATGGGCGCGTAAGACACTTGTATTTCTGGGTATAGATATAATGGAATATCATTGGCAAGTACGTTGAATACAATAGGAATATTTAGTTTAATGAGTTTGGCAACAATTCTACACAACCAGTTTTCACTAGTCAGTTTTTCTCTGAGTAGTAAGGGTGATGTTGGATCTCTCATCACCCTTACACAGAAGGTAGTATTGAGCTGCTCAATTCTTTCACATATGGTTGGGAGTTTCAGCTCCTCCCTCATGTTGATGATGCTTATGTATCTGGGGGGCTCCAAGAATTATCCTCATGGCTTCATTTTTAATTTTCTCTAAAACTTTCAGTCTATTGCTAGGGAGACTCATAAAGTGCAGGGCATGGTAGTCGACTAGTGACCTGATGAACATCATGTAGAACATTCTAACATATTTGACATTAATACCAATGTGCTTTCCAGCAAGTGTTTTAAGAGGACTTAGTCGTTCTTTAAGCTGAAACTGTAGTTCACATACAATGTCACTATTAATATTCACACCGAAGGTAGTTGTATTGCCTGCAGTTTTCAATGTGCTGACCATTGACTTTAAAAACAGGATGATTATTGATTGGGGGGAGGGGGGGGGGAGTGTGGGCATAAGGTTTTAGTTTTACTTGTGGAAAAGATAAGCCCACATTCAATACATTTATTTGCAAGTATATCAAAGGGAGTCTGCAGCCACTTGTCACTGTTTGTAACGATGCAAATGTCGTCTGTATTGCAGACGACAGCCTCATCGACTTGTGTGGGTATGTCAAATATTAGTCTGCATCAGCACATTGAAAAGCTCAGGACTAAAGACTCCTCCCTGAGGTGTGTGTAATTCAAAGGAGGCATTATAGCTACTCTTAATCCCCTTATAGATGACTGCGGCAGTTCTGTTACTCAAATAATCCCCCTAATCCATTTCAACAAATCTCCCCCTGACTTAAAAAAAAAAGCTAGTTGCTTTAGTGTGAGTTCCCTATTGGCTGTCAAAAGCAGCTTTCTTGTAGGTCAAGAAAGGCAACGTGAGTGTTTGGTTCCTGTCTGATGAAGTATTCAGTAAGGCAAGATTGTGTACTTCTCCCAGGAAGAAAGCCATGTAAGTTAGAAGTGAGCTGACTTTTGATTCTCGACATTAGCCTTCTGATAACAATCCTCTCAAGGACCTTGCACATGCAAAAAGTTCTAGATATCAGCCTACATTTGTTTGAGTTTGGTTTAGGTACAGGGATTATGAGGTTCTGCGTCCAACGATGGCGTAATAGACCTTGGTGTAGACTTTGTTTGCACAGTTCTAGCAGCGGACTATTGAGTATGTCGGCAAGAAGCCTCAGGGTACTGTACGTTATGCCGTCGTGAGTTTTAGTTTAGTTCATTTATTATGCACTCCATACCCATCTTGTGGGCGGTAGTGGAAAGGGTTACAGAGGCACATAATGGGCTCAGGGACTGAATCCCACAATTCATTTAGCTAATCAAGTTACAGTCTTGATGAGCTAGTTACAAAATTCAGTATAAGTTGTCACATCATCAATGGGTTCGAGATCGATTACAAGTACAGTTTCTAAATTAAGCAACTGACATATGTGGAGAGCTAGTGTCACAATTGATATGTTTGTCCTGCACACCGCCCCCCCATTCAGTGGGCAGCGGTGGATAGGTTACAGTCACTTAGTTACTACCTACAGTTAGCAAACTGGGGATATTTGGTTCCAGGAGAAGTTAGTTGCTCTGCCCTTCTCAAATGCAGTTTCAACAATTATATATATATATTATATATATATATATATATATATATATATATATATATATATATATATATATATATATATATATATATATATATATATATATATATATATATATATATATGCGAACAAGCCTGAATGGTCCCCAGGACAATATGCAACTGAAAACTCACACCCCAGAAGTGACTCGAACCCATACTCCCAGAAGCAACGCAACTGGTATGTACAAGACGCCTTAATCCACTTGACCATCACGACCGGACAAAATGAGGTGATAGCCGATGCTATTTGAACCACCCCACCGCCGGCACTCGGATAGTTATCTTGGGCATAGCAATTTTACCAAATCACCTCATTCTTTGGGGCACACGTGAGGAACACAAATGCGAACAAGCCTGAATGGTCCCCAGGACAATATGCAACTGAAAACTCACACCCCAGAAGTGACTCGAACCCATACTCCCAGAAGCAACGCAACTGGTATGTACAAGACGCCTTAATCCACTTGACCATCACGACCGGACAAAATGAGGTGATAGCCGAGGCTATTTGAACCACCCCACCGCCGGCACTCGGATAGTTATCTTGGGCATAGCAATTTTACCAAATCACCTCATTCTTTGGGGCACACGTGAGGAACACAAATGCGAACAAGCCTGAATGGTCCCCAGGACAATATGCAACTGAAAACTCACACCCCAGAAGTGACTCGAACCCATACTCCCAGAAGCAACGCAACTGGTATGTACAAGACGCCTTAATCCACTTGACCATCACGACCGGACAAAATGAGGTGATAGCCGAGGCTATTTGAACCACCCCACCGCCGGCACTCGGATAGTTATCTTGGGCATAGCAATTTTACCAAATCACCTCATTCTTTGGGGCACACGTGAGGAACACAAATGCGAACAAGCCTGAATGGTCCCCAGGACAATATGCAACTGAAAACTCACAACCCAGAAGTGACTCGAACCCATACTCCCAGAAGCAACGCAACTGGTATGTACAAGACGCCTTAATCCACTTGACCATCACGACCGGACAAAATGAGGTGATAGCCGAGGCTATTTGAACCACCCCACCGCCGGCACTCGGATAGTTATCTTGGGCATAGCAATTTTACCAAATCACCTCATTCTTTGGGGCACACGTGAGGAACACAAATGCGAACAAGCCTGAATGGTCCCCAGGACAATATGCAACTAAAAACTCACACCCCAGAAGTGACTCGAACCCATACTCCCAGAAGCAACGCAACTGGTATGTACAAGACGCCTTAATCCACTTGACCATCACGACCGGACAAAATATATTTGAATATATATGCAACTGAATATATAAAATATATTCAGTTGCATATTGTCCTGGGGACCATTCAGGCTTGTTCGCATTTGTGTTCCTCACGTGTGCCCCAAAGAATGAGGTGATTTGGTAAAATTGCTATGCCCAAGATAACTATCCGAGTGCCGGCGGTGGGGTGGTTCAAATAGCCTCGGCTATCACCTCATTTTGTCCGGTCGTGATGGTCAAGTGGATTAAGGCGTCTTGTACATACCAGTTGCGTTGCTTCTGGGAGTATGGGTTCGAGTCACTTCTGGGGTGTGAGTTTTCAGTTGCATATTGTCCTGGGGACCATTCAGGCTTGTTCGCATTTGTGTTCCTCACGTGTGCCCCAAAGAATGAGGTGATTTGGTAAAATTGCTATGCCCAAGATAACTATCCGAGTGCCGGCGGTGGGGTGGTTCAAATAGCCTCGGCTATCACCTCATTTTGTCCGGTCGTGATGGTCAAGTGGATTAAGGCGTCTTGTACATACCAGTTGCGTTGCTTCTGGGAGTATGGGTTCGAGTCACTTCTGGGGTGTGAGTTTTCAGTTGCATATTGTCCTGGGGACCATTCAGGCTTGTTCGCATTTGTGTTCCTCACGTGTGCCCCAAAGAATGAGGTGATTTGGTAAAATTGCTATGCCCAAGATAACTATCCGAGTGCCGGCGGTGGGGTGGTTCAAATAGCCTCGGCTATCACCTCATTTTGTCCGGTCGTGATGGTCAAGTGGATTAAGGCGTCTTGTACATACCAGTTGCGTTGCTTCTGGGAGTATGGGTTCGAGTCACTTCTGGGGTGTGAGTTTTCAGTTGCATATTGTCCTGGGGACCATTCAGGCTTGTTCGCATTTGTGTTCCTCACGTGTGCCCCAAAGAATGAGGTGATTTGGTAAAATTGCTATGCCCAAGATAACTATCCGAGTGCCGGCGGTGGGGTGGTTCAAATAGCCTCGGCTATCACCTCATTTTGTCCGGTCGTGATGGTCAAGTGGATTAAGGCGTCTTGTACATACCAGTTGCGTTGCTTCTGGGAGTATGGGTTCGAGTCACTTCTGGGGTGTGAGTTTTCAGTTATATATATATATATATATATATATATATATATATATATATATATATATATATATATATATATATATATATATATATATATATATATATATATATATATATATATATATATATATATATATATATATATATATATATATATATATATATATATATATATATATATATATATATATATATATATATAACTTCAAGTCTGTACTCTAATAAACCCAATGTACCTTTTTGTATATAAATAAATAAATGACTAAATAAGCATGGTTTGGACCCATTTCACTACATGCAATGTTTATATTAAAACCCCCTATTAACATTAGTACTAGCAAGGAGGTGTTGTATATTTTGGGGCAGATTCAATATGCAAGCAGTGCTTACATACTGTTCTAGCAGCATAAGCTGTTGGGGAATGATGAGCAAGTTGAGGGGTGTTAAGTTAGTTTAGTTCATTTATTATGCACCCCATACCCATCCTGTGGGCGGTAGTGGAAAGGTTTACAGAGGCACATAATGGGTTTGGAGATCTTTTAATTTTGACCCACATTTGGGCTGAGGATTGCATGATTGATGCCTTGTAAGAATTGTTCCCAGTATTGACTTCGTACACGTTCTTTCAGATCCCTGACGGCGCGATTAGCTTGAAGAAATGCATTGAACGACTCACTTGTTTTGTTAAGTCTATAATGTTCAGGGACGTCTTGTACATGATCATGCATGGACTTCAGGCGTGACACACACCGAAACTACGACGTTGGTACAACGTTCGAACAAGTTTTATAGCAAGTTGTAACAACGTTCTAATACGTCATAAACACGTTAAGCCAAGATGTAACAACTTTATTACATGTTGTAACAAGCGGAAAATAGAGACAGTTTCGGTTTGTGTTTCCAGAGGAGTCACAGAACCACTGCTGTCCTCTATTCTTAGTTGTACTTGGCCCCTTAGGTTTCACCCATTTGACATAGTACTGTGTTACTTCATTAACAAGGTCCTCATATAGAGCATTGACATTGATAAATGTATATGGCTAATACCAATCTTATATTTTGCGCTTGAAGTGCATGTGTAGATTGTCAGGGATGTTAACTGTTGTTCTTTCATAATGTGATTTTGATTGTGTATGTGCTGAGCATGGCATGGTGATCAGTAATTAACTCTTGCACTAATGATCCGTGGACAGCATTGTCTAAGAGACCATGACCTATTACATAACCAAGTCTTCCACCTAAGATATGCGTGACATTAGATGGGTTTCGATAAAAAATCAGTCATATTACTGCATGATTAATGACGCAAGAAGCAGAATCAATGACCAGCTGTATGGCAACATCTCCCCGAACTCCTCCCAACGCCAAGGAAAAGTCGCCACTCCTCAGCCAAATACTTTGCACATAGACGTCAGAAACGTTCTGTTCAGAAGGGTTTCACACGTTTATATTTTTAACAAATGTCTTCTATTGAGAGTTGGAAACTTTATTGTAGTCTTAAAACGAATTAAAGAAGTTTATTATAATTAGGAAAATAAACTAAATGTAAACAACTTTAATATTCTTATTCTGTTCATAGATTAAAAATAAACAAGTTCATAATATGAACACTGATGATTGCACTTGTTCAGCTGGAGTGTGTGTTGCTTTTTGTCCCGGGAGGATATTACACCACTTATGTCACCTGTAATATGCTGTTAAATATGTTCATTTGGAAAGCTGGACACAAAATAATGCGTATAAATTTTTATCTGTGATAATGCCTTTCAAAATTGAACATGTTTTCCCTGGTGGAAATAAATGGGTAATGTCATAACAGAGCTCCAGGCCCAAGCGCTCAGCAAGCAGCTATCCCATTGGTCCTCCCGCTCTACAGAGTCTCCCATTATTTTACTCAAATAAACACTCCAGCGACTTGATTTTTTGGAATAAGGCTGAAAAACTGTGTTGGAGGAGAGAACGAAGTGTGTTAATCGTGGCAGGAGGTGTCGTGTGTGCATAGATTGGAGTGGACAAAACAAGAGGTGGTGGTGTTGGTGATGGCAGTGGACCAATCGGCGAGCGGGTCTCAAATGGTTGTTTGTGAAGCCATGGCCGACGGCGCCACTGTATTTCTCTTCCAACAAAGCCTCGTCTCGACCTTTGTCGCCCTTCTCAGCCGTATTTATTTGTGTATTATTCTCTCTAAGTGAAAACTGGCGCTAGTGGGGTGGGAGTGAGGCCTCGCGGGCCGCCATGAGGGAAACAAATGAGAGAAAGATGAGGTAGGTCACGTGACCTTGCAATGAAAAATGGCGCCGAGGTTTGGGATAATTTGAAGACGATGCGAGAGATGTCAGTCGCGTTGGTTTGTTTGTGTTTACGTTGAGCAGCAGCAGCAGCAGCGGCCACCCGTGGGCGGCCCCGCCCTCACACGCCGCCCACGATGTCAGAAAGGAAGAGAAAGAGAGGGCGGCCGCGCTCCACGCCCGTTTTAAGTTATGGATCAGAAATGAAAATGAGAAATAGCATAACTAGAGTAATTAAAAAGCCGAGATACTTAGTGGAGCAGGAGGAGGAGAGCAACCACTCCAGGTCGTGTTCCCCCTCCAGGACACAGGAGTGGGCGGCCGAGGAGCGGGTCGGGCAGAGCCCTGGCGGCCGAGGCAAGAACAAGCGGGGATACAACCCAGATGTTGATGACAGGGAGTCTGAGTACCTCTATGGCTCAGATTTCGAGCTCGAGGAACTCTCTGAGAAGGAGGAGAGTGACTACAAAAGTGCCAGCGAGGACGAGGGCGACCTGGGTGATGAGGATGAGGTTGATGTCTCTGAGGGCGAGGAATCTGTATCCAGTCTTGGAACTAATGGGGGGACCCCTGGCAGGGTGCTGGGTGGTTCTAGGCCACAGACACCAGTGCCAGTGTGGCTGCAGGACCGCCAGTACCCGCCCTTGGACCTGCCTAAGTCGTCCGACGATCTTCTCCTTCCTCGTGCGTATGTCCTGCGGGCTGTTGGCATCTATGAGGTGTTGCGGCACTTCAGGACCCTGGTTCGTCTGTCACCAATGAGGTTCGAGGACTTTTGTGCTGCCCTAATGGCAGAGGAACAGAGTTCACTACTGGCAGAGGTGCACATGTCTCTGTTGAAGGCCCTCATTAGGGAGGAGGACTCCCAGCAGACCCACTTTGGTCCGCTAGACCAGAAGGACTCTATCAACGTCATCCTTTACTTCATTGACGCCCTCACCTGGCCTGAAAGTCTCAGACTCTACCTGCAGAGTGATCATGAGTTCAGAGAGACCCTGCACATCCTTGACTCCTGCAACTACCCATTTACTTCTCTAGAGAACAGGTGAGTCGTGTTGAGGCACTGTAGTGGCTAGAATGTGGTTGTCTAAGATAGGTATCTGTACAAAGACTGAAGGGTTTGGTGTACAATATGAGGCAGTTGTTAAAATTTAGTATGCTGTTCCATTGATTTAGTCAGGTCAGCCAGTGGTGTGTTGTGAAGGTGAGGCCAGTGTGAGCAGGTCGGCCAGTGGTGTGTTGTGAGGGTGAGGCCAGTGTGAGCAGGTCGGCCAGTGGTGTGTTGTGAGGGTGAGGCCAGTGTGAGCAGGTCGGCCAGTGGTGTGTTGTGAGGGTGAGGCCTGTGTGAGCAGGTCGGCCAGTGGTGTGTTGTGAGGGTGAGGCCAGTGTGAGCAGGTCGGCCAGTGGTGTGTTGTGAGGGTGAGGCCAGTGTGAGCAGGTCGGCCAGTGGTGTGTTGTGAGGGTGAGGCCAGTGTGAGCAGGTCGGCCAGTGGTGTGTTGTGAGGGTGAGGCCAGTGTGAGCAGGTCGGCCAGTGGTGTGTTGTGAGCAGGTCGGCTAGTGGTGTGTTGTGAGGGTGAGGCCAGTGTGAGCAGGTCGGCCAGTGGTGTGTTGTGAGGGTGAGGCCAGTGTGAGCAGGTCGGCCAGTGGTGTGTTGTGAGGGTGAGGCCAGTGTGAGCAGGTCGGCCAGTGGTGTGTTGTGAGCAGGTCGGCTAGTGGTGTGTTGTGAGGGTGAGGCCAGTGTGAGCAGGTCGGCCAGTGGTGTGTTGTGAGGGAGAGGCCAGTGTGAACAGGTCGGCCAGTGGTGTGTTGTGAGGGTGAGGCCAGTGTGAACAGGTCGGCCAGTGGTGTGTTGTGAGGGAGAGGCCAGTGTGAGCAGGTCGGCCAGTAGTGTGTTGTGAGGGAGAGGCCAGTGTGAACAGGTCGGCCAGTGGTGTGTTGTGAGGGTGAGGCCAGTGTGAACAGGTCAGCCAGTGGTGTGTTGTGAGGTGAGGTTAGTGTGAATAGGTCAGCCAGTGGTGTGTTGTGAGGGAGAGGCCAGTGTGAGCAGGTCGGCCAGTGGTGTGTTGTGAGGGTGAGGCCAGTGTGAGCAGGTCGGCCAGTGGTGTTGTGAGAATGAGGCCAGTGTGAGCAGGTCGGCCAGTGGTGTTGTGAGAATGAGGCCAGTGTGAACAGGTCGGCCAGTGGTGTGTTGTGAGGATGAGGCCAGTGTGAGTAGGTTGGCCAGTGGTGTGTTGAGAGGGTGAGGCCAGCGTGAGCAGGGCAGCCAGTGGTGTGTTGATTGGGTGAGGCCAGTGTGAGCAGGTCGGCCAGTGGTGTTGTGAGGGTGAGGCCAGTGTGAGCAGGTCGGCCAGTGGTGTGTTGTGAGGGTGAGGCCAGTGTGAGCAGGTCGGCCAGTGGTGTGTTGTGAGGGTGAGGCCAGTGTGAGCAGGTCGGCCAGTGGTGTGTTGTGGGGGTGAGGCCAGTGTGAGCAGGTCAGCCAGTGTTGTGTTGTGAGGGAGAGGCCAGTGTGAACAGGTCAGCCAGTGGTGTGTTGTGAGGGTGAGGTTAGTGTGAACAGGTCAGCCAGTGGTGTGTTGTGAGGGAGAGGCCAGTGTCAGGAGGTCAGCCAGTGGTGTGCTGTGAGGGTGAGGCCAGTGTCAACAGGTTGGCTGGTTGTGTATTGTGAGGGTGAGGCCAGTGTGAGCAGGTCAGCCAGTGGTGTTTTGTGATGGTGAATCCAGTGTGAGCAGGTCAACCAGTTGTGTACTGTGTGGGTGAGGCCAGTGTGACCAGGTCAGCCAGTGGTGTGTTGTGAGGGTCCCGTCTTCCCAGCACTCATTGTCATATAGTGCTTTGAAACTACTGACGGTCTTGGCCTCACCACCTTCTCACCTAACTTGTTCCAACCGTCTACCACTCTGTTTACAAAAGTGAATTTTCTTATATTTCTCCGGAAGCTTTGTTTTGTTAGTGTAAATCTATGACCTCTTGTTCTTGAAGTTCTTGGTCTCAAGAATTCTTCCCTATCAATTTTTTTTTTTTTTTTTTTTTTTTTTTTTTTGCAGGGATATTCCTGCGTGGGCCCTAAGCCTCTGGCTGGTCCACTAAGTGTTGTTTGTTTCTGTTTTACTTGGGCGGAGTATGAGTATTTATTACTCGTATGGTCGCTTCAGTAAGATTTTGCCATATGTGTTTAACAACTTCTTCTGCTCTATTGAATCTAAGTTGAAATTTTAATGGGTTTGTAACTGTGCACTGTGTTAGATAATGTTCCAGAGGTCTGTCGGACATTTCTCCACAGTGTTGACATTTCCTCTCATCTTTCGGAACCTGTAAGCCTATTTCCCATACACATGGGAAATAGGCTTACAGGCTTACATCCAAGCCTGATGCGATGTAAGTGTACTTCTGTTGCTCTACTGCTCCCTTTCATCAAACTAAGGGGTTCATAATTGGTTATTGCTCTACTGCTCCCTTTCATCAAACTAAGGGGTTCGTAGTTGGTTGAATCCTTGTACCAACCCGCAGATCCTAATGTTGCAACTGCTGTGTTGTGGTCACTGTACATCTTTTGCATTGCTCTGTTTTTAACTACTTTCTTAATCTGTGATAGACTCGGTGGTATGTAAATGTCTACATTTCTTCTTTGTTGCAAGTTTTGCAGCTTCGTCTGCAATGTCATTTCCTATTATTCCCACATGATTTGGCACCCAGTTGATAAGTACTCATTGACCTTGTCGTTTGAGTGTTTGCGTTAATGATATGACATTTGTGATCAGATGTATGTTATCACATATGTGTTCTTGTTGCAAGGTTTCAGTGTCAGTCAGTCTGGAAGAGATTCTGCTATTGTAGAAAATATCTATGGAAAACACCACCATGGAAGCTGCTAACACTTCATCTATGCTACTTGTATCAGATGCATTATCACTGAACACAAAAAGATTCATCTATGTATCAAAAATCAAAATAAAAAATCAAAATGTTTATTTAGGTAAGGTACATACATAAAAGAGATTTTACAGAGAGTGATGGATTTATAGATAGGGCTAGTACATACAATGCCTAAAGCCACTATTACGCAAAGCGTTTCGGGCATAAAAACTTAAATGACTAAAGCTTAATACTATTTGAGCATAAAGAGTAAAATGAAACATGGAATGAAAACATGGCTGAAAAAGCAGCACAAATACAATTCTGTCGACAAACAGCGCTCCTTAAAAAAAAACCAGACATTGGATGACATTAGAGGGGTAAGGTAGGTTACAGGGAATTTATTAGGTATAGCTTCGTTTTTATCTTAAACTGGTTGAGAGAGGTACAGTCTTTAACATGGTTGGGAAGGTCATTCCACAATCTGGGTCCCTTGATTTGTAGAGCATTTCTAGTTTGATTAAGTCGTACTCTAGGAATATCAAAACTGTATTTATTTCTGGTGTGGTGCTCATGGGTTCTGTTACTACCTTCTATGAAGCTTTTGAGGTCAGGATTGGCATTACAATTTAGCGTTTTATATATGTATAATACACATGAGAGAATGTGCAGTGACTTAATGTCTAACATATTCAGAGATTTGAGTAGGGGTACCGAGTGATGTCTGGGGCCAGAGTTGGATATTGTCCTAATAGCAGCTTTGTGTTGAGTAATTAGAGGACGTAAATGATTTTGGGTAGTAGAACCCCAAGCACAAATACCATAGTTGAGATATGGATAGACGAGGGAGTAATAGAGAGTCACCAGGGCAGGGCGGGGTACATAATATCTGATCTTAGAAAGAATGCCAACAGTTTTTGAAACTTTTTTTGATATATTTAGAATGTGGCCCTGGAAATTCAGCTTGTGGTCAATGAGAATGCCAAGGAATTTGCCATCTAATTTGTTACAAATTAGGGTATTGTTTATTTTGAGATCATTTGAGATTTTTTGATGATTTTGTATCATCTATATAAATTGGAGATAGCATAGGTGGGCGAGGGTGGCGCTTGGAGCTACAACTGGATATGCTGGCTGTATCGTTCTCATAGGTGCTGTATCATTTGCATCCGACCTTTGTGTTAGGTCCTTATTGCACCTAGCTTCACCAATATTATGATCCTTATGTTCTTCAAACAATAAGGTTTGAATTTCACCAACAGAGCGCGATCTTTCAACACCGCGTCGGACAGGTGTTTGGGAGCCAGAGGCGCGTGCGCCACCCATGGTTGCTCACTCAATACTAACCCAGCCAGCAGCCCTAGGGCATTCTGGGAATTTTTTCCAATATGGCTGCCTCTCACTGGAGGTCCTAAGAGTTCATTTCGTACACAACCAACCGCGCGCACATTTAGAATGGGTACGAAAAAGTAAAAAAGAGTTTTCTTGGTTGGCACAGTTTCCCACACCGACCGAGAATACTCGGTTGGAGCAGTTCAGTGGTTAAGGGAAGATGACCGCAGCAGTAGCTTAGGGCTCGACGTGGAGACCGTCAGGACTCCGGCGGTCGTTCCTACAACCTGGCCATGACTATTCCTATTTTTTTTATTATGTAAATAAAATAAATCTTTCTCATTTCGATAAACATCTGTGAATCATTTTAGATGTTACGACAATTGGTTATGGAATGATTATACTGTACTCCTGAAACTGGCCTAAACAAGCTGATGGGAGTTTGATTTTACTGTACTTGGGAAATAAACTGGCTTATCCTACATCTGAAATGAACACCTCCGCCTAAGTGGGTCTCGAACTCGGGACTTTTAACTTGCAAGGTGAGTGTGACAGCCTGCGACTGACTGCTGCTGCCTGTAACTGCGACAAACTGTGGCTGCGTGACTGACTGTAAATGTCTGACTGGCTGTGATTGGGAGTGCCTGTAACGGGCTGCTACATAAGGGCAGTGAAGTCTGTGAAGGAAAATGAAAGCGTGTGGTGGTGGGAAGCATCATCAAGGAAAACAAGAAAGGAACCTGCCCACTGCCAACACATGTTGCATAATGATATGATACAGATATGAAAATCAATCCCTTATTTTAGCAGGGGAAATATACTGTACAGCCTGTACATGCAATTTTTAGCAATAATTATTATTTGTTATAATACAGTATTATTATAATAACGTACAGTATTAGGTATTATATTTCTTTATTTTATATTCATGATCATGTATTTACCTAACACAGCACAACACTAAAATTATTTTACACAAATTTGGCAAAGTCAGTTTTGATTGTCAGCTGCTGAAGTTTTTCTGATTGAAGACCCTCGGTGTTTTGGTAAGCATAGGTCTTCCAATGCCATTCTCGGTTATCCTTCCAAATTCCCAGTTGTGGTGAAATTTGGCAAACATATATTCGGACTTGATTTGGGCTAGCTAACTCTAAGGTCTGGTTGAACTTGCTCCTAATAACCGAGCTCATACAATATAGAAAAATAATGTGTAGTGGGGGGGGGGCTAATTTTGAATGCACATTTACTTAGAACCCAAAGCAAGACAATCTGTCTGGACTGCTTTATGTCTATCTAGTTCCTTAACAGTTTTTCTGCCATGTCTATAGATACAGTACTTCTACAAGCCTGGATACCTGGAGAGGAGTTTTGGGAGTTCTTCTATTCCCCGAGTCTGGCTTGAGGCCAGGCTCCATTTGTGATAACTTGGTCCAACAGGCTATTGCTTGGAGCAGCCTGCAGTCCTACATATCCACTACAGCCTAGCTGGTCCGGCACTTCTTGCAAGAACCCGTCCAAGTGCCTCTTGAATACATCCTCCTTTGTTCCGACAATATTTCTAATGCTTGCTGGTAGGGTGCTGAACAATCGTAAACCCCTGATGTTAAGACGGTGCTCTCTGATTGTGCCTATGACACCTACTCCTCACTGGTTCTATTCTGCATTTCCATCCATACCTTTCACTCCAGTATGTTGTTATTCTACAGTGCAAATTTGGGACCTGGTCCTCCAGTATCTGCCCTGTACAATACAGTATATATTATTTGATACCTTTCTTGTCTTCTTTCCAGAGAGTACATTTTGAGAGCTTCGAGATGGTCTCAATAATTTAGATGTTTTATCGTGTTTATGCTTGCTGTATATGTTCTATGTATTTTCTCTAATTCAGAGATCTCTCCTGCTCTGAAAGGGGAAGTGAGTACTGAGCAATACTCAAGATGAGACAGCACCAGTGATTTAAATAGTGCTGTGGGGTCCCTGGATTTGAACATTCTCATAATCCATCCTATCATTTTCCTGGCTGCCGCTATATTTGCTTGGTTATGTTCACTAAATGTCAGGTTGTCTGACATCATAATTCCCAGATCTTTTACATGTTGCTTTCCTTCTGTGAGAAGGTCAGATTGCGTCCTGTATCCTGTGTTTCGGTTAAGTTACTCGTTTCCACCATACCTCAGTACAGTACCTGGAACTTACACTTTTAGGTACCGTACTTCTACATTATGTTTCAACATAATTATTTTGTCTGGTTCTCTGAAACTGAAAACGCACTTTGAAACTGTTTAGGGTTTTACATCTTTTCTTTTTGGTCACTTGAGTCTGTCTTCTATATGTTGTTTTAGTATTTTGTCATTTACAGTACTTGCCATTTGGTTTTCATGAGTTTATAAAATAGGCTAGGATCTGTTTTACATTTGTTCATTTATCTTCTATTTCTTTCTCAAAGTTTCATTGTGTCTCGTTTCACTGAAGTGTAGTTGTTTTGTGCTTATTTGTAGTGCTGATATATTTTAAGGTTTGGTTTCTTCCTATATTGATTCCATTTTTTTTGTTCTTTTGCTCTTTGTCCCTCTTGCAATTTCTATTAAACTAGTCCTGTTTTCTATATTTGTGTTTTGCTTCAGTATAAATGTATGGGTACCTTTATCATGTATCTTGCAAAATTTGACATTCATCTCATTTATTTCCTTATTTAATAACTATCCATTCCAGTGAAATCCAGTGAACTCTCTTTAGACTCCCATAGTGTATGCTTTGGAAGTAGTTTCTGTTGTCTCATTCTCTCCATTTTCTTCTGTTATATTATATATTTTAATTCTAGGAGTACCAGTACATGGTCACTTATACCTATTGGAGACAGGTTCTGGAGGTCAAAGATCTCTTTCTCTTTCCTGATAAATATTAGATGCAGTTTTGATGGAGCAACCCCTTTCCTTGTTCTCATTGACTTTTTGACACGCTGGTGAAAGAATGCCTCCAGGAAGAGGTTTATGAATTTGCTAGTCTAGCAGTCCTCTGTCCTTGCATCATAGGCCTCCTAGTCTAGTCTTGTTTTTTAATTAAAGTCCTAAATACTAGCAGGTGTGCTTTATCTGCTTTTGTTATTATGTCAATCATAATCATTATAAGACCGTTTCACAAATAACAAAATATGGTACAGTATTTTAATACTCTCCAACTTTATATAAAGGTGTACTCGGCAGAAATAAGATATAGCCTAGTAAACAATAATATTTTTACATTTTTGCCTTGTCATACAAGAATAATTTAAATTTTATGATACAGTAGCTTAAATGTTCTTCAAATTTATTGTAATTGACAGGTTGCAAGTACTGCAGTTCCTGTGTGATCAGTTCCTGCAAACATCTGTGGTTCGGGAGGACCTGCTGAGTGAAGGCAAACTTCGCTATGATGACCATTGTCGAGTCTGCCACAAAACTGGTGACCTCTTGTGCTGTGATTCATGTTCGGCTGTGTATCACCTGGATTGTGTTGACCCTCCACTACACGACATACCTGGAGAGATGGAGGACTGGACCTGTAGTGTCTGTACTGCACACCAGGTAATACCACTTCCTTGACTATGCTACATACTGTATCACCTTTCTACACTCACCAGTTCTGTTTATGTATTTTCCCACCATGATGATACCATTGCATAAATTTGGTGCAGTAAAAAATAGTGTGATCCCGACTATCCACCTCAATTGGCATTTTAAAATATATGCACCAACAATTAAATTTTTGTGTTGCTGTATTTATTAACCCCTGGGCTGCTCTTGTGATTATAGCCTGCAACACTGCTAGGTGCAAGAAAAAAATTGAATATTTTTTCTTCTAAAATTGTTAAAATATGTTCCCTGTTGATGGGGAAAAAAATATTGTGGGTGGGATTTTGGCCACAATAAGGCGAGGAAGTCTGGTAAAATTGAAGCGTTGACAGAGCAATCGTCGGAGGCGGTCAGCTCCGCCGGAGCTGTCAGGCGGGAGTTGCCACAAAGGTATTATTACCTAATTATTTCAATGTCTCTGATTGATTTTTTCTCTTTTTTTTTGCGATATTATTATTAAATACTGTAGTGTGTAGTGTAATATTGTATATTTATATAATAAAATGTGTGAATCATTGCTGTACTCAAAAGTATGGTGTGCATTATAGTGATTCAATTATGTTCATAAAACAATAAGCAAATATTTTTGCTTTTATTTCACTATACTGTATATACACGTCATATACATGTATATGTACAGTGTCTGCATGTTTTGTTCTCCATAGTGAACCACTTAAGTTGGTATGGTGAGTCCAAACAACAAGAGTGGCCACCACACACCAGCCAGCAGATGCTACCTCCCTCTCTCCTTCAACACCTTACTCCCCAACATTCCTCCTCCCACCATACTGTTTTTGCTGTTACTACACTATATACACACATGTTATATATAAGTATCTACATGTTTTGTTCACCATAACTGTACAACTAGGGTGGTATGGTGTCCTAACAACATTGTAGCCACAAAAAACTGCATGACAAGTGACACATCAGCTAGCAGTTGACAGGGCATCGTTCCCTCCCTCACCAAAATGGCTTCTCCTACCATACTGTTTGAGCTGTTATTTCACTATATACACACATTATATATAAGTATCTACATTTGTGTTCACCATAGCGAATCACTAAGCTGGTATGGTGAGTCCGAACAACAATAGTGGCTGCCACACACCAGCCAGCTAATGCTACCTCCCTCCCTCCCTCACCAGATTCTTCTTCCCACCATACTATGCACATCACTAATTATTACCACAATCCTGCTATTATCAGAATCCTGCTTACTAAATCCTGTAAGTGAATAATTTTCAAAAAGTTTATTTTATAAAGGAACACGAGAAGTCGTTTCAAGATTCTTAGATGGACCAAACAATGGCTGTGTGCTGTGGCTGACACTGTGAACATCTTGAACAGAATTATGTTCACTGATATCTGAACATTGTACACAGTCTTTATCAATCAGGTTCTTCTGTAATACCATCATGGCTAAATAATACCAGTTACAAGGGTACCTCGGTATAAAAATTTAATCCGTTCCTGGAGACAGTTCATAACCCGAAAATTCGTAAACCGAAGTGAATTTCCCCATAAGAAATAATGGGAAATGAATTAATCCGTTCCTGACTCCCCAAGAACTTCACTTAAAAGTAAATTTTTATTCCTAATTCACCCAAATCTTCACTACAAAAGTATGTTAAAGTTATTACTTACCTTTGCTAATGACTCCTGTTGGCATATGGAAGATGGTGAGGATGGGGGGAGGAGGAGAGGTGTTACTGTTTGGAAGGGGAGTCCCCTTCCATTATAACATCAGGCAGTGAAGATTTCTCTGGAGTGCACACTCTGGCACTTTTGCCTGCATACCACTAGGTCCTGGTTGTGGCTCACTGCTTGATTTTCTCAATTTTCTCACAAGGAAACATTCCATTGAAGATTGTTTTTCCATTCTTTGCAACACTTGTGTGTAGTGAGGCATCACATTGTCATTAAAAAAGATCAATGTAACAGCGTACTATAGCTTTATCTGGGTGATTCTTTTCAGCAAAACTTTGCAGTTCTTCCCATACTGCAAACATTTTCTTAATGAGGAAGGAACATTCTCTACTGCCTCCTCTTCCTTCCCTGAAGATTTGTTGTACTGCCTAGCTTGTTCAACAACACGAGTACCATTTTTATGCTTATAAATGATCCTTTGTTTTTCCTCCATGGTCATTCTCACATGTGATTTCTTGCCTTGAACCTTACCACTGGCTTTCTTGGGACCCATGACGAGATATATAATAACAACTTTTATGCTCAAATGGCCAAAAATCTGATAAAAAACTGTAAATTCTTGTGAAGAATTCAGGTGGGATAGTCACTGGGTGCGAGGCACTAGTAAACTGAGACGCGATCGCCGTGCCACCATGCGCTAGGTTGGCCGTTCGCGTATCAACAAACTCGTATCCCGATGCAAAGTTCGCATCCTGATTCAAATTTTCCGAACAAATCGAACAAAACAGGATCATCTATGACACTGTCATCACAAAATTATTGCAGTTACTTATTCATCATTATTAAGTGGTGCTGTGGCCCTGTGTGCTTGCAAAGAATGTACTCACATACACCCTTGGCTTTAGTTTCTGTAGATGGTATGTAGCCAAGCTTGTGAAGTATAAGATAGTCTTGAAATGATTATAGGAAAAGATCAGTTTGTAAAGTAGTCTTGAAGAGATCACTTTGTAAGGTATTCTAGAAGAGATTCAGGTGTCCTGGAAGAGATTCAGCTGTTCTTGAAAAGATTGGCTTGTAAGGTAGGGTTGAAAAAATCCAGGTATTCTTGGAAAGATCTAGGAAAAGCTCAATGACAAAATTCTGTCCTGGTATCACTCATATCTTCACCTGTATATATGGGGAAAGTGGGTGCATCTATAAAAATTGGAGATAACACGGGTGAGCATGGGTGGCGTTCACCGACTACTGGATACACTTGCTGTATCGTCCTCATTGGTGTTGTATTGTCCTCATCATTGGTATCGCTTGTATCCAACCCTTGTGTTAGGTCCTCATTGTACCTAGCTTCATCATTATCATGACCCTCATGCTCTTCAAACAATATGGGCTGAATTTCACCGACAGAGAGCAATCTTTCAACACTGTGTCGGACAGGGGATTGGGAGCCAGATGCACGTGTACCACCCATGGTTGCTCACTCGGAACTGCTCCAGCCAGCAGCCCTAGGGCATTCTGGGAGTTTTTTCCAAGATGGCTGCCTCTCACTGGAGGTCCCAATCTTCTTGAGGTTACCTTGAGATGATTTTGGGGCTTAGTGTCCCCATGGCCTGGTCCTCGACCAGGCCTCCACCCCCAGGAAGCAGCCCGTGACAGTTGACTAACTCCCAGGTACCTATTTACTGCTTGGTAACAGGGGCATCAGGGTGAAAGAAACTCTGCCCAGTGTTTCTTGCCGGCGCCCAGGATCGAACCCGGGACCGTGGATCACGCGTCCAGTGTTCTGTCCACTCAGCCACTGCCTCCCTAAGAGTCCATTTCATACCCAACCAATCACGCTTTCATTTTGAAAGGATATGAAATTTTAAATTGGCGTTTTCTCGGCCGGCGAAGTTTTAGGTGAGCGAGTTTTCTCAGCCAGCACAGTGCAGTGATTAAAGCTTCCATTCAAAACATCATTTCGAAGCAGCAGGTTCCGTGTGATTTGGAGTACACAGTACAGTACTGTACTGTTTTATATTTTATATGGTAAGTGACAGTTACATTTGAGAGCCTAAGTTTATTTTAAAGTGTTTCACCTGTCCTCGGTGTATAATTCTTCTCGACAACATTGTATGATAATTACAGTATATATTTTGCGTTTTATCCTACAGGTTGAGGGTGTTACTGACTGTATATCTCCTATGGAGACTTCAGGAATTCTATGCAGACAAGACCCTTTAGGGTTTGATCGACATGGGAGGAAATATTGGTTTCTTGTCCGCAGATTATTTGTGTGAGTACAGTACTCTACATTTGGTTGTTTGATTGTAGTTACAGCTCTTCCTGTAGTATTTGGTAGTATAGTACATGATAATGTTGCTTTAGTTTTTAAGAAATATTCAGTTGTTTGTATTGTAGTAAAGTTGTAATGATGGCAAACTTTTGTTTAATAACTGTATCAGTAATGTTTAGTGATTATTAACTTGCTAGCCAATATTGATTCTCCGATAATATAGAAAAAACAATATTCTGATACAGATACTTAACATTGTTTTTAGTTGTCAGAGCATGGTAAGACATGAGAGTCCTCAAAATAAAAATGTTAAATGAATTCCCCAGCAGTGATTACTGATTAGTAATAAATTAGCCTTCCAGATTATTAAGTTTTTAGCTGTTTCTTTGAGTCGTGGGGTTAGGATTTTTAATGAGTGTTCCTCGTTTTTTCCCCGCCTCTGCTAGTAGTTAATTAACTTTGCTAGTTAAACTACTACTTTTTGGGCTCACTCTTTCTGGTGGTGTTTCCTCTTGGCCTTGGTTGATATAGTATCTCAAGACTCCACTTACCTATATTGAGTGAGGCAGGTTCTGGTCCTGGTCTGTGGTTGTATCGAGACGTATTCTGGTCCAGGCCTGTTGTAGTGGCTCATAACTCATAAGTGCCTGTTGGGATGTGTGAGGCTTGGAGCAACTAGGTGGGGGGCTTGGGGAACAATGAGGGGGACCCACCAGAAAGAGGCATTTCATTACATTCAATGTTGGATTTTTAGCTAATTCTTTTATTAAACTGTTTTATCTTTTATTTCTCAAAACACCTTGTTTTCTTAGAGGGGGAACTGAATTGGTGTAGATGCCAGATTTTGCCAATATTTATTAGTGGGTGTATTTCAGTGAGACTGAGGATGGGGAGATCTGGTACTATTCCACCCGAGCTCAGCTGGAGGAGGTGCAGGGCCTTTTGGACGGAGCAGACCTGGAAGAGGAACTCTATAACACACTACACGATGTAATGTCAGAGTTGAAGCGTCAGATGTCGCTCACCGAAACTATAACGGAAGAGAGTAAAGGCAATCGCAAGTCCTGCATAGAAGTGGAAGATGGTATGTTTGTTTAGTTTTGCTTCTCTGATAGCTTAATTCTTAGAAATGTTTCACTTGATTTTCAGAGCTAACTCTTTCAGTAGCTTCCTTCAACTTTTGTTGGTAAGCAGGGAATACAGTATTAACCCTCAGACAGCGGCTTTGGAGAAATGGTCATACCCGCCTATGCACAACAAAAATATAAAAAATTCCAACAAATAATTTTGTGTTATAGAATTATTAATTTGCATGCAGAATGTTAAGAAAAACACAAAAATAAGTGAATATTGTTTCACTGGGCATAGGTGCTCTGCGAGGCTGCGTCTGGCACCTGTCAACACCTGGTGCTCGACAATGCTGATGCTTTCTTGTTTATCCTCTGACGTTTCACTGCTTGTTTATCACTTGTTTTTCTTTATTTACATCCACAGAGAGCTATTACATCCATATTTATATCATACATATAAAACCCAGACGATTGTTCAAATCATTATATGGTGATCACCTTACCCTAGTAACATTCATGACGATAACCACATTGGCACCTTGAAATGGTAGCAGGATTTTTTGTTAATGGGTCAAAGTAAATGCCATTTATCCACATAAGACCTATTATATCCCTATTTGCATCATACATGTAAAACCCAGACAATAATTTGTTAAATCTTCATATGATGATAACCGCATTACCCTGTGAATCAACAATTGGCGATAACTGCTGTCTAAAAGAGTTAAGGATACGCTGGGTTCTTGTGACAGTCTTGACCCACCCGGGACATGGACCTTATCACAAAAGTCTTGGTTTCTCAACAAGGTAAGGTGCTCATGTGAATCAAAGAACACACTTCTGAAGTGAACTATCTGAGAAAATTATAAAAGGTCATGAAACATTCTCACCTAGAGAAATGTTTGACAATGCATAATCAGAGAACACTGTATAAAAATCAGAGGTCCACATTTGTTCAACATCCTCCCAGCGAGCATAAGAAATATTGCTAGAACAACCCTGGATGTCTTCAAGAGAAACCTGAATACTGTAGTTTTTTCAGGAAGTGCTGGACCACCCAGGTTGTGATGCATATATGTTTATTTTTTATACTATAAGTAAGCCTAGATTATTAGCTATATTTTGATATACATGCATACATACATACATACATACATACATACATACATACATACATACATACATACATGCAGCAATTCAGGAACCCCAGAGGGGGGGGGGACTACAACCCCCCCCCCCTGCCACCCCATAGGAGCCCACTTCCTCAAGCCCAAATCCTCCCTTCCCCCCTTACACCATATTACCCAAATCCTCCCTTGTCCTCACTCCCAAGTACCTCCTGCCTCCCCATCCCTTGGTCTTCTTCCTGCCCCAAGCAGGCCGAGGCAAGCCTTCCATCCCCAACTCAACCTCTCCCCAAATCCCTGGTAACTATCTCACAGGAAGACGAGCCCTCGCCCTGAACACCCCCTGGACTTGTTCCTGTCCCAAGCAAACCCAGGCAAAATCTAAGCCCTCCATCCAACACCACCCCACCTCTCTCCAATCCCCTGGTAACTGCCCCACAGGATGATGAGCCTACCCAAGTAGCCCTGAACATGAAATGGCTTCCCACACCAGTGGAGTGTGTGTGTGTGTGATATTGGATATAGGAAAGAAAGCTTCAAGGTAATGTACTCAAACATCAATGGGATTACTAATAAAGCAAGTGGAAGATACTAATACATGGAAGATAGTGGAGGACCAGGTCCCAAATTTGCACAGTAGAATAACAACATACTGGAGCAAAAATGGAAGGAAATGCAGAATAGAACCATTAAGGAGCAGGGGTGTCATAGGCACAATCAGAGAGCACTGTCTTAACATCATGGGTCCACAGCTGTTGAACACCCTCCCAGCAAGCATTAGAAATATTGCCGGAATGAAGGCAGAGGTATTCAAGAGGCACTTGGGCAGGTTCTTGCAAGAAGTGCTGAACCAACCAGGCTGTAGTGGATATGTGGGCCTGGGGGGCCGCTCCAAGCAACAGCCTGCTGGACCAAGTTATCACAAGTCGAGCCTGGCCTCAGGCCGGGGCCGGGACGGGCCGCGGGGACACTAAAAAGCCCCAAAATCATCTCGAGATAACCTCAAGATGGGAAGTAGAAGGACTCCCGAAACACTCTAGGTGTGCTACAGGTACCTTCCTCCCTTGGGTAAAAGTGACCATATCTTTTTGGGAATAAAGTATGCAATGCGTTATAATCTGGAAGAAAATATGAAGGTTGATGCAATTGAAAAATCTGACTTTAGGAGAGGACATTATGACAACCTTAAAAATTTTTTTAGTGAGTATAATTGGACAGACTTGTTGCTAGGCAAGGAAGTGAATGAGATGTATGTCAAGTTTTGTGAAATATATGATAAAGGCACACAAAAATTTATACCTAAACAGAGATGCAGAACTAGGAAACAGGATTGGTTCAACAGAAATTGCGAGAGGGCCAGAGACCAAAAGACACAAAAATGGAATCAATACAGGAAGAGGCCAAACCCCCAAACATACCAGCGATACAAAGATGCGAGAAACAACTACACGGCAGTGAGGAGAGAGGCAGAAAGAAATTTTGAAAAAGGGATTGCAGACAAATGTAAAACAGAACCAGCTCTATTCTATAAATTCATAAACAACAAATTGCAGGTAAAGGATAATATTCAGAAGTTGAAAATGGGAAATAGATTCATGGAAAATGAAATGTGTGAAACATTAAACGAAAAGTTCCAAAGTGTGTTTGTACAAAATTAAATCTTCAGGGAACCAGATACAATAAGATTTCCAGAGAACAACATAGAGCACATAGAGGTGTCTAGAGACGAAGCGGGAAAATGCTCAAGGAGCTAAATAACAACAAAGCAGTTGGTCCAGATGGAGTTTCACCATGGGTTCTGAGAGAATGTGCACCTGAGCTCAGCATTCCACTTCAACTGATTTTTCAGGCATCCCTGTTTACAGGAGTTGTAGCTGATGTGTGGAAAAAGGCTAACATAGTTCCAATCTACAAAAGTGGAAGCAGGGAAGACCCCCTTAATTATAGACCGGTTTCATTGACAAGTGTAATAGTCAAAATATTGGAAAAAATAATTAAAACTAAATGGGTAGAACACCTGGAGAGAAATGATATATCAGACACAGTATGGTTTTCGAACTGGAAGATCCTGTGTAACGAACTTACTCAGTTTTTATGATCGAGCCACAGAGATTTTACAGGAAAGAGATGGTTGGGTTGACTGCATCTATCTGGACCTAAAAAAGGCTTTCGACAGAGTTCCCCATAAGAGGTTGTTCTGGAAACTGGAACATATTGGAGGGATGACAGGTAAGCTACTAACATGGATGAAAAATTTCCTGACAGAAAAATGAGGGCCGTAATCAGAGGCAAGGTATCAGATTGGAGGAATGTCACGAGTGGAGTACCACAGGGTTCAGTTCTTGCACCAGTGATGTTTATTGTCTACATAAATGATCTACCAGTTGGTATACAGAATTATATGAACATGTTTGCTGATGATGCTAAGATAATAGGAAGGATAAGAAACTTATCATGCCCTTCAAGATGACCTGGACAAAATAAGTATATGCAGCACCACTTGGCAAATGGAATTTAATGTTAATAAATGCCATGTTATGGAATGCAGAATAGGAGAACATAGACCTCACACAACCTATATATTATGTGAGAAATTTTTAAAGAATTCTGATAAAGAAAGAGATCTAGGGGTGGTTCTAGATAGAAAACTATCACCTGAGGACCACATAAAGAATATTGTGCGAGGAGCCTATGCCACGCTTTCTAACTTCAGAATTGCTTTTAAATACATGGATGGCGATATACTAAAGAAATTGTTCACGACTTTTGTTAGGCCAAAGCTAGAATATGCAGCGGTTGTGTGGTGCCCATATCTTAAGAAGCACATCAACAAACTGGAAAAGGTGCAAAGACATGCTACTAAGTGGCTCCCAGAACTGAAGGGCAAGAGCTACAAGGAGAGGTTAGAGGCATTAAATATGCCAAAACTAGAAGACAAGAAAGAGGTGATATGATCACTACGTAGAAAATATTAACAGGAATTGATAAAATCGATAGGGAAGATTTCCTGAGACCTGGAACTTCAAGAACAAAAGGTCATAGATTTAAACTAGCTAAACACAGATGCCGAAGAAATATAAGAAAATTCACTTTCGCAAACAGAGTGGTAGACGGTTGGAACAAGTTAAGTGAGAAGGTGGAGGAGGCCAAGACCGCCAGTAGTTTCAAAGCGTTATATGACAAAGAGTGCTGGGACGACGGGACACCACGAGCATAGCTCTCATCCTGTAACTACATTATGGGAATTATGGGAATGTTCAAATCCAGGGATCCCACAATAGTGCTAATAGTATTTAAATCACTGGTGCTGTCCCATCTTGAGTATTGGTCAGTACTCGCTTCCCCTTTCAGAGCAGGGGAGATTTCTGAAATAGAGGGAATACAGAGAACATATACAGCACGCATAAACACGATAAATCACCTAAATTATTGGGAACGTCGCAAAGCTCTCAAAATGTACTCTCTGGAAAGGAAACGAGAAACTGTTCAACTTTGCACAGTAAAATAACAACATACTAGAGTAAAAGGTATGGAATAAAATGCAGAATAGAACCAGTGAGGAGTAGAGGTGCCATAGGCAGAAAGAGCACTGTCTGAACATCGGAGGTCTACAACTGTTCAGTACCCTCCAAACAAGCATTAGAAATATTGTCAGATCAAAGATGGAAGTCTTAAAGAAGTATTTACATACGTTCTTGCAAGATGTGCCAAACCAACAAGCCGGTTGTAGGGATATGTGGACCACTCCAAGCCACCAATAACAAGTTATCACAGGTCAAGTCTGGCCCCAGGCCTGGCTCGGGGAATATGAGAACTCTCGAAACCCTCTCCATGTATGCTCCAGGTATGTTGCTGCTCCTCATGTGTCAGGAAGGCCAAAGGTCAGGGACATTATATTTGTTAATATTTTCTTTGTCCTCTTTTTCAAAAGCAATTAGGCTCTTAGACTACAGCTTTTTCATGGGTGAGGTATAGTATGATGATTTTACTGGCTATTATCACCACTTTTTCTGTTTCCTGTGTGTGTCCATATTTTAAGAATGCTGTATCATAAATCTTTTTATCTTGAGATATGTCTGGCATAGGTGCTAGGAATACCTTCCTCGATTGGCAATGATCTAATCATACCTTGTTTATGATAAACATAAATTTTGTTACTACATTTCTTGAATTTAAAAGCAGGTAATGTCTCTTTCTCAGATGAAGTGAGCAAGAGGATAGTGGAGCGGAAAAAGCAGAAGCTAAAAACAGAGCAAGAAGGATTAGACCAGCTAATTGAAGAGGTAGAGTAATACAATAGTACTGTATCACTTTTGACTTCTCACATTAAACTGGATCACTTTAGACTTACCTTGGCATCTTACATGAGTTATTTAATATTTGCAATATATCTTAACACTTTGTTGCTCTGGGCGCGCGAGCGCTGCACTATCCTAGGTGGGTTTGGGCATTCCTCGGGAGCGTGCGGTAATTCTGAAAAGTGTATACTGTACTCTTTTCAACTTTCTTACCTCAATTCTCATCCAAGGTTTTTTAATTTGGTATTGTGTTTGCAATTGAATTCTCTAGAGGACTAAAGAAAGGCATATAAAGTCCTAAAGCCCGGCGTATCATCCGCAACAAATAGAGAAAGTGAGAGCGTGTTACTTCACTTTGGTCACTTCAATTCTCGTCCTAGGTCTTTCATTTTGGTGAAAAATGTTGATACCAATGAATGGTATCAACATTTCCTCGCTTCACCATGGCCATAGTAAGGCACATAAGTTTAGTTTTAAAATTTCTCTGTAATTAGGGAATACATTTTAACAATATTAAAAGTTAAAAAAATATATATATATTCTTGTTCACAGAGCAGTTGTCATGGAAATTCAGCTGAGCAGTACAGGGGTTAAGGGTTCATGCAGAATGATTTGTGTACACTCCACATGCCATGATTCATAAATTCTAAAATTTGTTGCTAAAGTTTTGTCTGTACACGTAGACTTAACATTAGTCAGTCACTTTACTAGTAGATATAATGCATCTTACAGAAAATACATCATTGCTGCAAATCTCACAGCAGATTTTTGCCTATTTGATTATTTCGGGTAAATAATTCTTATTATAGGTGAAATTTACTTTCTAACAGATCAAAGAAGAAGATATAAAATGTGAAGTTGAAGAAGTAGATGAGGAAAAGATAAAGATAAAGTCTGAAGGACATGTTTCCAGCTTAGATCCTGTTACGGGAGAAATGTTGGACACCTTGAGTAACTCGGCTGCACTCTCCACTCTGAATTCTTCCCCAAAAATAAATAATGAAGTAAAGGAAGAGATTGATATAAAAGAGGAAGACATTGAAAGTGAGGAGAAAAATAAAGACAGTGGCATCAAGACGAGAACGAAAACAGGAACACTCATCCCAAAGCAGTTTGCTGTGGACGACCTGAGACGGCGACTGCCTGTGGAGGGGGACAGCAAAGAGGATATTAAGAAAGAAACAGATGATGAAGATGTCCAAAAGCTTACTCAAAGCAAGTTAGCCCAGCTGCAAAGTAATGGTTAGTTGTTTTTCAAATCTGATTAAACTGTTTTCATTGTTTTGTTGAGTTCTCCATGTTGTCATGGATGTTAATTACAAACCACAGTTGTTTTGTGTGTACTGTGCATCTAATATATATAATTACCAATTTACAGTTGTAGTAATAGATCTCTGCTTGTCATGTCTTACCTTTTTGTAGGGGAAGCCCCTTGAGGGTCCCCTGACATTATCACTGATTCAGTGCCATACTACTAGGTGCCATCAGGCGTGGAGTTCTTATTGGCCTACCGACGACCACAAGCCAAAACCTGGCCTCCTTCAGAGGTGTAAAGGGAGTGGTGACAATATGAACACTTTTACATTTAAAGTTAATCTTGTCTGCCACCAACAGGGAAGCACCCAGAAAGTCAGTGAAATCAAACAAAATATTACATGGTTAGAATAAGACCGCAACCTCAAAAATTTCCAAAAGAACTCCTCCAGCACTGAAAACAAACTCCCAAAATTTGGTGAAACTAACGCAAGCTAGTTTTCCTCACTTTTTCCCCCTCGTTTTGGGGGAGGAGGGAGGCAGACTGGGTCAGCCGGCCTGCTCCACCCTCGGTTTTTATTCTGGTGTTGAGGGAGAGCCGGGTGACTTGGTGTTTGCTCGAGCAACTTTGTGGAAGCCTGAACATTGCCCTTCTGGTTTACCTGTTGGGTAGGGTTTGGCTTTGAAGGCTGTTCTGGTTTCTTTGGAGCAGCCCCTTTCGCCTCTCTCGCGATCACTGGGTGTGGACTCTGGGGCTCTGTGCTGGCTGCTGTGTCACCAGGTTCTGCTTCGGGTTTTTCGTGGTTCCTTTCCCTGGCACCATCCACTGCCTCGCTCAACATGTTCATGGATGCTTCTGCTCTTTCTTGGGACTTTTTGATCAGGGTCACTGGTGCCCTCCCTTTTGTCGAGCACACAGTACTGTGCAAAAGTTTGTGGCAGTGTGACAGGTGCTGCAGAGAGCTCGAATTCCTCTGGGATCCGTCATCCGTATCCATTCAGACTGTTTCTCCCGTGGTTCATTGACTAAACCAGAATGGGGGGGTTTCTTGTGTTTGAGGCTGGTCGCTTCGAGTAGCTCGTCTAATGAGTTCTTGGGGGTTTGTATTTCAGTGACGTTCATGTCCAGGGAGTGGCCAATGTTCTGGCCAACATTCTGTCTCGGTTCCTCTCTCCATAGAATGACCGTCGACACCACTTCCTTCCTTCCTTTGGCTTTTCTGGATGTTCAGGTACCAAGACATCGTTCTCTTTGTGTCAGTGTGGTCTCAGTGTCTACCCCTTTATGCAGTGCCATTTCCCAACTGCGAGGCCCTTGCAGTGAACACTTTATGGCTCAACTGGTCGAGATTGGAGGGTTCCTTTACCTCTTTCCACCTGGTCCATCTGTTGCTCTGGGTGCTGGCACAGCTGGTGTCTTACAGGGGGAGAATAATGATTCTTCTGGCTCCTTGGTGGCCAGCCTTGGTTTTAGACACTGCTTGTTTGGCGTCCGAACCCGGGCGTTTTTCTGCAGGTCCGCCTCTTTCAGAGGGGCCAGGTGAATGTTGTACTTCACTGGTTTGGCCTTCTCTTCTGCTCTACGAGTCTGGAGTTTTTGATGCATATTTATCATTGCATGGTGAACACGTGGCTGGTTTAATGGTGTCCCACCTGCAGTATTCTTCCCGGCATCAGTATGAAGTATATTGGCGGTCTTCTCACCATTTTCTATCACTTAGTCGTCGTTCTTCGGTTTCTGAGCGGGTGGTTTTGTCCTTTCTTGAGCGACGTCTTATGCAGAATACTGTTGCCTCATATTGTGCGGCTTTGGCAGAACTACGCTGGCTTGCGCTCTGGGTTGACACCTCTTCAGCCCCAATTTCATAAACTTTCTTGCACTTTATTTTACCTTCGCCCTGCTCAAGCACTTCCTGAGCCGGCCTGGTCTCTTGACAGAGTTTTTAACTTTTTTTTCTTCAGCTCAGTTTATGGTGGCTCCCTTGGTCTGGGATTGTATTTTGAAGGCTATTTTTTTGCTTTCTTGGTCTTTGGTTTTTGAGTGAGTGAGCTTCATGGTTTTCTCTTGTGATGGGGGTTTTGTTCTTGTGGCCCTTGTGGACATGGTCCACATTTTGTGGACCATGTCCACAAGAGTCTGAACTTCGCCATACTGGTTGGCCCGGGTCAGGTCTGGCTTTTGTGTCTGTTCTGGTTCCTTCGGGGATGTCCCTTCCACCTCTTTTGCAATCGCAGGGTTCGTCCTGCAGGGGCATTGCGTCGTTTGCTACATCGCCGGCTTCCTCTTCAGGTTTTTCAGGGTTCAGTGTCTTGGTGCCTACCCGAGCCTTTGCTTGATGTGTTCATCAAGCCTCTCGGCTGGGGTTAAAGTGATCAGTGTTTACCTGGCCGGCCAGGGGCGGCAGGTTCCATCTTTCCGTAGGCTTCACAGCACGGTGTGGGAGTTTGCGAAGGTTTGGCTGTTGTTTCGGAGGGTTCGGATCGCTCTAGGATCAATGATCCGGCTTCTTTCGGATTGTTATCCAAATTGTTCATTGTTTAAACTGAGGGGATTCTCTTCAGTCCGCGGCTCTTTGGTGCTGGTCGCTTTGAGTGACTCATCTGCTGGATTCTCTGGTTTTGACTCTGCAGTTCATGTCCTGGGAGTGTCCAATGTCCTGGAGGACGGTCTGTCTCGGAAGACAGACGGAATGTCCACGGAATGGACGGTCGACGCCGACTCCTCCAGTTGAACGTACTGGACGTACGGGTTCCGGAGGTGGACCTCTTCACGTCAGCGTGGTCTCGGCATCTTGATGTACGCGTGGCAGCCGCCTTCAGGATAAGTCTCCCTTTTTTGTCTTTGGTTAGGTAGCTCCAGGGAGCTGATGGGGGCTCTCCACAGAAAGCCAGCGTTGAATGTAATGAAACACCATTTTCTGGGTGAGCCCCAGAGGCTCCTTGGCACCCTTCCTCCCTCTCTTCGGTCAGCGGTTTTGTTTTCCTTTTGATTCTTAGCCTCCGATCTGGGGTTGAGTTGCTGGCTCAGTCTGGGGCTTCCCCCTCCCCCTCCCAGGTGGGGGGAGTTTGCATGGAAGAGCGACATGACGACGTGGAGTGACAGTTGCTTGTTTCCCTGGGAATTGAGGGAGTTCTACCTTTCTGTTTTGCTTTCGGTTGTATTTTTCTTAACATGTGGGGTCTGTTTTGTTATGTCTACTTTTCTGGGGTGCCTAACCCTGGTTAATGGTAGATAAGGTTAACCACAGGGGGTGGTTCCCGGGCCATTGTTTCCTGCACCTCTCTGAGGGGGGGGGGGCATGTTCTGGCTAGTGGTCTCCGGTAGGCAGAACTCCATTGACTATTGCCCTGGTCTAAAGATTGAATATTAGCCTGATAGCTCCAGGGAGCCTCCGGGGCTCACCCAAAAAATGGCATTTCATTACATTCAATGCTGCGATTTTTGCTACTGGCTGCTCCTCTGCCGGAGATTGGGTCAGTTGGCCTCCAGAGGGGTCCTTGCGTCATTGAGGGTTTGTTGGCTCAGCAAGGGGTGCTGCATCTGTTGTCGGGTGGCGGCTTATGCCAAACCCTTGTGCTGGTGGTTCTGCTTTGGTGATTATCTTGTGGGTTGTTCTTGTCTCCTGAGTCACCTGTTCCAAGGCTTTTCCTTGTTGGGTCATCTGCAGTGTTTCTTCATTGCCAGGTTGTGGTCTTTGCTCGTGCCTGTAGGGTTTGGAGGTTTGCCATTTTCTTGGCTGTCCTCGCGACCCTGTCCTAGGCTATTGTTCAAGGGTGGAGTTTTTGGTTGCCCAAGGTTTGGGCAGCCTTATTTTCCTGTTTGAGAGCATGGCTCTTTTTTTTTTTTTTGGTCTTGCTCGCATTTTTGACTGGGCAATTCACCTTACATCTACCATAGAACTGAAGACAGTGCCACCAACTGATCGTGAGGTACCAACTCCATCCCCCCAAAGGAGTGAGGGAAGGTGGGGCAAACGAACTGGGGCTAGTTTTGAAAATTTTTGATCATCTGTTTACGTTGTTGGGAGTTCTATTGGCAGTTCATAATGCATGCTATGATCTTTACTACAGCCATCTGTGGTTTGTTTTTCTCTTGCTGACTTTCTGGGTACCTTTCCCGGTGTTGGCATAAATAAATAAATGGCACTTCTCTCTGCTTGTCTGTGAGTGGGGGGGGCAGGGCAGGCTCTGGCTCTTGGTCTCTGGTGGGCAAAATAGAACTATGCAAGTGATGCGAACCAGTAGATGGGTCACTAGATGGGTAGACACTATGAGTCATAGTAGTTCTTGGGACCCACCGGACCTCACCCAGATATTAGTATTTTATTATAGTCTGTGCTAGTTTTTTGTTGTATATTTTAAGAATTGCAATTAGTGGTGACTCATAACTGAGATTATTGTACATTGCTTGGGTTTAGGATAAAATGAAGGCAGTAGGAGGACATTGCAATTTTACAGTGGAGGAAGCTTGGTGAAAATAGCTACTATCCTTCACATATTTATGGAGAAGAGTTCTTTGGTACTGTTTATAGTAAACTATTTTGTTGTTTTTGTTTTTCATGTTAAATAAAAGGTAAGTTAGTGTTAAAAATTTTACATCACATTTCCTTAAGTACATGAAATCAAGAATATACAGCAGGGACTCATTCCATATCCTCATAGTAACTATTCCATGAGCCTTCAGAAACTGTTACCTTTGGAAATGTGTAGGCCCCACTGTACAGTAATATGAAAATGATCATAATTCTTTAGTTTCTAATTTGTTCTAGTGCTCATTAACATCCAGATATATAAAATAATCATTCTTCCAGCAGCATATTTGCAGTTTGATGTGTTTGAAGGTGTAATTAGAATTCTGACTGTCTGTTCGCTAGTCAGTCTTTTGAGGGATGAGGGGTGGGGGTGGTCTGCTGGAGGACATTTCATTGTGCATTGTATATATATTTAAAAGTATATACTGTACATGTATAAGTATTGTATTCCCCCTCAGCACATCTGTACCGACTTGGATGTGATGGAAAATTCAAAAATTACGTGAACCAGTATTCATCGAACACACTGGCTCTCAACAAGTTGCAGCACAATGAGGAAAGGGACAAGAAAAGACATCTTTCTCACAAGTTCAGTCTTACTCCCAATGCTGAATTCAAGTGGAATGGAGTTATATATGGTAAGTTTCTTCTCTTTATAATAAAATATGATCCAGTGTTTTCAACACTGACAACTTTCCTGACTGTGTGGGAGCAAGTTCACGTATCCTGGTAGATGGCTATGACAACAGGGAATGTTTTGAGGGAATTACGTTACACATTCTTATGTTCTGCGTTAATGTAATGTGCAAGGATATTACTGAACCATCTGTTGTGTGTGCAGAGATATAACTGAACCATCTGTTGTGTGTGCAGGGATATTACTGAACCATCTGTTGTGTGCAGGGCCAGATTTACTCATAATCAATACTGGTGGTAAGTGAGTGATATTCAATGCTGGTGGTAAATGAGTGAAATGGGCTTGAAGCAGAAATTTTGGAAGTTACCTCGATTCACTCAATTTACAACTTCAAAAGCGAATATGACAGCATTAGAATGCTGAAAAGTGTAATGAAAGCTAGGTAAGCAGTTGGGCATGACTGTTCTTGCTGGATGGGTAAACTGTCATTTTAGTTGAGATGCCATGTGCAGCAAGGCTATGGTATGAATTTTGCAACTTTGTTATAAGCAGATGATGATCTATGGAAACATTCTATTTGGAATGTCTAGTGTAGCATTAACTCTCTGATATTTTAGTTTAGAATTGTAAACAAATTTGTTTTCACACAGGCAATAAAGAATCTCTCATATCTACACTTCGCCATACACTCTTGGCTTTAGAGCAGAATGTCTCTGTTCATCTGTTCCACCCACACTGGCCCAACATTCGCAAGGCTTGGAATGTTGCTGTGATGTCTTCAACCGAGTCCCGTCATTTCTCACGTGTTCTCATGTGGTTGGTGGCTTGCATTAAACCTGTGGTCCTCAATCCTGTGTGGCATGATTCTTTGGGTCATGTTAGGTAAGTTAATTTAACTTTTATTAAGTGAAACAGTAATATTATTAAATTTAATTTAAATTTTTTTTTTATTGGACAATGGTGTAAAACCCATTGTTTTATGCCATTTCTATGGGGAGCCCCATTGGCTCCCTGAAGCTATTTGAACTGATATGTGCTATATTAGTTTGGGGTCATCAGTCACAGGATTTCTTATGCCTACTGGGAACCACGAGCCAGGACCTGGACTCCTGAGAGAGGCGCAGGGAGCAATGGCCTATGAGCACTTTACATTTAACCCTTGTATGGCGCCTGGCTATTTAGCATGTCACTCACAGGCGCATACCAAAAAAAAAAAAAAAAAAAAAAAATCTTCTAAACCTGTTAATTTGTGTTCACTGATCATGGGAAAAATAATAAAAAAATCGTAAGTGGCATATATTGCCCGCTATAGGACGGGGAAGTCTGGCAAAAAACAGGCGCTGACTCAGCGTGCGTCCCAGGCGGTCTGTTGCTCGCCAGCTGTCAGGCCGGAGTTGCCACAAAGAGATAATTACCTAATTTCATTCTCAATGTCTCATGATTGATTTTTCATTTCATAGTTTTTTTGCTGTAATATTATTCAATAGTGTGTAGTGTGATATATTTATATAATAAAATGAGTGAATCATCGCTGTACTAAAAAATATGGTGTGCATATTGTTGATTCAATTATGTTCATTCAATTATGTTCATCAAACAGTGAACAAATACTTGTCGGTTATTACACTACATACACAGGTTATATATAAGTATCTGCATGTTTTGTTCACCATAACGAACCACTAAGTTGCTATTATGAGTCAAAAAGTAACGAGGAGTGACCGCCACACACCAGTCAGCCACTCACTCCCGCCCTCAACACCTCACTCGCCCACATTCTCCTCCCACCATACTGTTTTTGCTTTTATTCACTATATACAGGCGTTATATACTGTATAAGTATCTACATTCATGTTCACCATAACGAACCACTAAGTTGGCATGCTGAGTGGTAGTGTCAGTGGCAGCCCGCCATTGGCTGCTACTTCCTCCCTCCCTCAAGTCACCTGACTCGCCCACATTCTCCTCCTACAATACTGTTTTTGCTTTTATTCACTATATACAGATTCTATATATAAGTATCTACATTCGTGTTCACCATAACGAATCACTAAGTTGGTATGCTTAGTGGCAGTGGCAATGGCAGCCAGTGGCAGCCCGCCACTGGCTGCCACTCCCTCACCTCACCTGACTTGCCACCATTCTCTTCCCACCATATTGTTTTTGCGTATTGTGTTCTGTTTTGACCTACAGAACACCAGCATCAATTGTAATGAAACACCATTTTCTGGGTGAGCTCCGGAGTCTCCCCCGTTCCCTCCCTCCCTCCGGTTGGCAGTTTTTCACATTGTGTTTGATGATCAGTTTCAGAACTGAATGCTGTAGCAGCCAGTGTGGGTGGTCTGGGCACCTCCCTCCCCTTCCCCTTCCTTGGGGGGGGGGGGGGCTGTGCAGACCATCGGTACGATGGCAATAGTGAGTGACGTTTTGATAATGACCCTGGTCGATGGCAGACATCCAATGCTTCCAAATACATGGAGGTTTCCATAGGCCATTACTCCTCGTTCCTCTCTGAGGGGGGCCAGGTTCTAACTTGTGGTCCCCGGTAGGCAAGAACTACAATCGACTGATGCCACAGTCTCATACATACACATTCATTATGGGGAGCCTCCAGGGCTTACCCAGAAAATGGCGTTTCATTACATTCAACGCTGGTTTTTTAAGTTATGTCATGTTTCTTCACCATCCAGCCTGCTCACTCTCATGGTCTTTCTTAGTCTTTGGATCAGGTTCTGGCCTTTCTTTCATCTACTTGGTTCTCAATTGATACATTGGCCTGAGATCTGTTTTATAATGCCTTGCTTTTGTTGGCTCTTGCTTCTGGGTGTTGGTTGGTAGATCTTCATGCTCTTCTTTTGGAATTGGGGTTCCTTTTTTATTGGCCTTGGTAGGTGTTTTTTCATCTGCAGGTTTTCCCCTTTTCTGGCTAAGAATGAGAGAGCTTGCTTCCAGAAGGCTCTCTTGGTTTGTTCAGTCATGGGTACCTCATTTGTTTTGCCCAGTTGCTGTGCTGTGGTTGCTGTTATTTTTGCACCACTCAAAATGTTCTGGGTAACATGTTTGTTGAACAGGTGTCCTTGGTTCCTTGTTTCAAGTTCCGTTTGCCTCAGTTCGTGTGCAGTGTCAAGTTCGGCCAGCACGCGATCTACCTTCGGGTCCATGATTTTCAGAAGTTTATGACTTTATCCAGTGTGTTTTCTTAAATGTCTTGGTCTTTCAGAGTGTTGGTGGGATGATATCTTGTTAATGTGTCAGGTATCCACCAGGTTTGTGTGGTGTTGTGTAGGGTTACCCGGAATTAAATCCCCTTTCTTTCAGCTCTTGGCTAACTTCACATAAAGGTTGATAATAAAAATTTCAGATTATGCATGAAGAGGATGTGTTTTTTAAATTTACGGGAAAGAGGTGGAGACCCTCGTCTACAGAGCTTAGAGTGACTTAGTAGTATGTCAAGTTGCTGTAGCTCCTAATTTTTCTGACTTGGGAGTGATATTTCCTGTCTTGTGCTTTGTGAACAGTACTCTCTTGATTTTGACCACATACCTCTTGTTTTTGGAGATTCTAAATTACGTGTACATGAATTTCTCCTTTTCCAACTCTGGCATCATGCATTTCTTGACCATCTAGGTTCTCTCAGCCTCCATCAGTGTTGATTTTATGATTTACTTTCCTTATGAGCCTTAGCAACTTCAGCAAATGTTTTGTTTGGTATTGCTTCTCATTGCTCAAGCCAAATTCTCTACCTGATTCTCATTTCTGTTGACCTTGCTAGTTGTCTTTCCTTCTTCTGCCTGTAATCTGTCTTATAACCTGTATCCTATGGATATTTATCTCCCATTTCCATCTATTTTCTCAATTCTTCTATTTCTCCCTTTTAAGTGGAGTGCATCAGTCTTGGCGAAATTGGTTATTAGGTGTTTATAACCGTCCAGTTGCTGGGGGAGGCATGTCCCTCCCTGGAGGCATGTCCCTCCCTGGAGGCTTGTCTAACCTAGACATCACCTTGGAAGGAGGTTTCTGGTTAAAGGGAGTAGAACAATCTCATAAACATATTGATGGTAGTTCTATGCCTGTCTTTTTCAGATTTAACAGAGTGACTGCTTTAGAAAGAGAAGAGAAGAAAAAACAGGAGAAGAGAGACAAGAAAGAGTCTGATCAAGAAGAACCAAAACCAATGACCATCATAAAGTACACTCTTGGCCTCAAACATCAGGTATTATGACGGCTGTTTGTTCACCCACTTTTACCTACACCCATGTATAGCCAGGGTAACTCTTAGTTCACATTCACCCATGTATAGCCAGGGTAACTCTTGGTTCACATACACCCATGTATAGCCAGGGTAACATTACTTTGATCCTGTAGAGCAATATTTGAGTTGATAATGGACTCAGAATCGACCTAGTCAATATAACTTATGCTGAAAGACCTTTTGCCACAAACAAATTGCTGTTTCTTTCGAGTATTGCTTTTAACATCACTATTGTTTCTAGCAGTGAGGGAACTCTGATGACCTTAACAGCTAATCACATCTTGTCCCTGCCATAACCCACTGTTATCTGATGGCAATGTGTCTTCATAATCTAAGGTCCATTCCACTTCATCCACATGATATTGTTAAGGCTTAGCTAAAACATTAGCAGTCTGGCCCCCTCACTGTAGGGCTAAACATAAATGTTGTGAGATTCAGGGCCTTGCTCCTTGCTGCCTAAAATGTTTATAGTACTCTTTTTAAGGAAAAAAAGTTCAGTTCTGGCTTCAGTAGAAGCCTCAGGAAATCCTTGATACCTGGTTACCTGGTTGATTGGATTCTGGGAGTTCTTCTACCCCCCAAGCCCGGCCCGAGGCCAGGTTTGACTTGTGAGAGTTTGGTCTACCAGGCTGTTGCTTGGAATGGCCCGCAGGCCCACATACTCACCACAGCCCGATTGGTCTGGCAGTCCTCGCAGAAAACTGTCTTGTTTTCTCTTGACAATGTCCACGGTTGTCCCGGCAATATTTCTTATAGTTGCTGGGAGGATGTTGAACAACCGTGGACCTCTGATATTTATAGTGTTCTCTAATTGTGCCTATGGCACCCCTGCTCTTCACTGGTTCTGTTCTTCATTTTCTTCTATATCGTTCACTCCATTATGTTGTTATTTTATGGTGTAGATTTGGGACCTAGCCCTCCAGTGTTTTCCATGTGTATTTTGTGTGTTCAGAAGAACTCCAGGTTGCAATCCTTATTTCCATGTTGTGGTCTAGTCCCTAACGTGTGTGCATGGGAACACCCACCACATAGGTTCGAATCCCTCATCACTGCTCCTACGGATTTTCTCATTGATTCAGTCACATTAGTGTGATTACTCTCTGAGTACTCTTTTTGCTATGTAAAAGGTTCGGGTCCTGGCTACTAGCTGGTCTGCGTGTCTGCTCGTCAGGGATGTGGCTCTTTCCCAGCTGGCTGGGTTCGGGTTCCTGATGAATTGGAGGAAGTCCCATCTGGTTCCATCTTGGGTTCGGACTTTGCTGGGCCTCGTGTGGGATTCTCGAACTGCATCCATTTCTCTTCCTCCTGTGGCTTTGTTCCGACTGCAGTCCCGTTATCTACTTTTTTTAAGGGGGCCCTGGGTCACTCAGAGGTTGCTCGAGCAGCTGTGTGAGAGCCTGAACTTTGCCTTGCTTGTTTTCCCGCTACGCAGGGTCTGATTGGGTTTAACCTCCAGGATCCTTGCATTGGTTGCTGTATCTCCATCTTCATCTTCGGGTTTCTTGGGGTTCGGTGCCTTAGCGCCTTCCCCTTCCTTCGCTCGATGTGTTCACGGATGCCTCGTCTCTTGACAGGAGTTTTGGGACCAGTGCTCACCAGGCCAACCAGGGGCATTGCACTACGTCCTTCCAGTGGGCTCACGGCATAGTGTGGGAGTTTGTGGCTGTGTGGCAGGCGCTACGGCGGATTCGGTTGCCTTGGGGCTTAGTGATTCAGTTTCATTTGGACTGTTTTGTGATTCATTGTATCAACCAGGCAGAGTCTCTGCGGTCCATGGCTGTTTGGGGCTATTCGCTTTGGGTAGCTCTTCTGCTGAGTTCTCGGGGTTTAGCTCTCCTCGCCATTCATATTCAGGGAGAAACTGCTTGCACATTGGCCAAACACGAGGGTTTTACAGCGGCTCCACCTCTATCAGCAAGTCGGACCGGTGAGGTACCTTGCTGGTTTGGCTTACTCTTCCACACTTCGCATCCGAGTTTTCTGACACGGGTATATCACCATTTGTATGGTGATCAGGTGGGGGGGGGGGTTGCGCAGACAGATGCGCGGCGTTTGTGATGACGTCATACTTGTTTCCTTGGTTTTGATTGGGGAGTTCTGTTGCTAGTTTGGCTTTTGTTTTGCAATTTATTTGATCAGCAGTAGTTTGTTTTGGAATTCCTACCTTTCTTAGTGCCTGACCTGGTAGATGGCAGACAAAGACTGCTTCCAATTACACAGGGGTGTCTTTAGGCCATTGCTCCTTGTGCCTCTCTTGAGGGGGCCAGGTTCTAACTCTGGTCCCTGGTGGGCCTAGTACTCCTTCGATTGACTGTTGCCATGGTCTAATATATACACATCAGCCTGGTATAGCTCCGGGGAGCCTTCGGGTCTCACCTAGAAAATGGAGTTTCATTACATTCAATTTTTTTTTTTTTGGGGGTGGGGGTTATATCTATAAATCTGGTGTCAGAATACTATCAAATGAATGTTGTAGAGGTTAAATGGAAGAATAGTGTTTTGATAATAGATTATGCATAACATAATACTATGACTTCCAATGATGTGTGTCTATGTTATGTTTACCAGTTTTGTCTGTCTATGCTACTCCTTCTAGTGCTGTACCTCTCTGCTACACCTCACAGTGTTGTACCTCTCTGCTACACCTCACAGTGTTGTACCTCTCTGCTACACCTCACAGTGTTGTACCTCTCTGCTACACCTCACAGTGTTGTACCTCTCTGCTCCACCTCACAGTGCTGTACCTCTCTGCTCCACCTCACAGTGCTGTACCTCTCTGCTACACCTCACAGTGTTGTACCTCTCTGCTCCACCTCACAGTGCTGTACCTCTCTGCTCCACCTCACAGTGTTGTACCTCTCTGCTCCACCTCACAGTGCTGTACCTCTCTGCTACACCTCACAGTGTTGTACCTCTCTGCTACACCTCACAGTGTTGTACCTCTCTGCTCCACCTCACAGTGCTGTACCTCTCTGCTCCACCTCACAGTGCTGTACCTCTCTGCTACACCTCACAGTGTTGTACCTCTCTGCTCCACCTCACAGTGCTGTACCTCTCTGCTCCACCTCACAGTGTTGTACCTCTCTGCTACACCTCACAGTGCTGTACCTCTCTGCTACATCTCACAGTGTTGTACCTCTCTGCTTCACCTCACAGTGCTGTACCTCTCTGCTACACCTCACAGTGTTGTACCTCTCTGCTTCACCTCACAGTGCTGTACCTCTCTGCTACACCTCACAGTGTTGTACCTCTCTGCTACACCTCACAGTGTTGTACCTCTCTGCTACACCTCACAGTGCTGTACCTCTCTGCTACACCTCACAGTGCTGTACCAGTATGCTACGGCTCCCAGTACTCTCCCTCTGTGCTACAGCTCCCAGTACTCTCCCTCTGTGCTACAGCTCCCAGTACTCTCCCTCTGTGCTACAGCTCCCAGTACTCTCCCTCTATGCTACAGCTCAAAGTACTCTCCCTCTATGCTACAGCTCCCAGTACTCTCCCTCTATGCTACAGCTCCCAGTACTCTCCCTCTATGCTACAGCTCCCAGTACTCTCCCTCTATGCTACAGCTCCCAGTACTCTCCCTCTATGCTACAGCTCCCAGTACTCTCCCTCACTGCTATGGCTCCAAGTGCCAATCTTCTATGCTGCACCTCCCTGCGTTGCTCCTTTATGCTGTACCTCCCGGTTCTTTGCTAATTCCCACAAAGTTGTTTTATTTTCTAAAATTTATACTTGCATTTTATTCTTCCTTGTTCATAGTTGCTCCCATATTATAGATTATAGGTTTATGAAAGTCGAGCATTTGCTGATGCAAATTATTTGTCTTTAGGTTTGGAAGCTGAAAGGTGAGGAGTATCGTGTACACGGAATGTGGGGATGGCAGTGGTTGTCTGCTCATAGACGTGCCCCGCACACGCCCATGTCGAGCGTTGGACTCCGTGCAGGAGGCGACAAATACATGGTGCCTATTAAGGGCGCTTCTGGTCTCAGGAGCCTCTCTGTCAACCCAGCCATCTACAAACAACTGGCCTCTAAAACTCCGTCTTTGAGACCATCTCTTCTTTCCCCCAAACAGTGTGCATTACTCGTGGATTCCAGAAATGTGCCAACTGAAGAAAAAAAGAATGAAATTATTATAGCAAGCTCAAGTAAGAATAAATATAATAGGTTTTCTGAATTTTGATTATGATGCTCAAATGTTTAGCACTCAATGTTGCTTATTTCAGTAACTGTTCATTATATTTTTGTATTAATGCTCAAATAATGGGTTTAAAAGCCCTAGTTACCAGACATGCTAAGTAAATGGGGGATGGAGGGCAGTTTTTTTATTAATGGTTAATTTGAGAAGCATTAAATAGGGACACAGATAATGTAGGTCCCACTGTGTAAACATTTTACATAGCATTGAACAAGTGGGCTAAGGTATTGGTTCACTTAGATACTGAAAATGGGAACAACCACACTTTGCATGTGTTAGTACTTTCCAAACAACATATGAAATATTACATGTATTGTTTATATATGCACTGTAGCCTTTTAATAGAAATTGTAGCACAAAAGTCAAGTTAACACATTCCTCGGCCCGGTGTGCCACCCGCATCACACCGCAAGGTAGGCTGGGCGTTGCCGGTGAGCACACAACCCAATATTTAACTCTTTCACTCACAATGTTTATACTTATTAATAAGAATAATAAAAAATTAATGGATGATGGCGCCGACGTCATGCCCCGAACTGTGTGTATTGTTTTGATGACTGCGATAAATGTCATCAAGATGTTAGTGTTAATGGTACCATGACTGGAATAAATTTGCACTAACCCTGCACATGAAAAGTTTTAAGAGGGACAACAAAAACACCATCATGTACAAATATGAAATTGAAACAGATAATGGGCAAGGATGGACTGAAGTGTCATTTCTTTAATCCATATATTTAATGTGTAGGCATTCTCTTAATAAAATTTCAGTGCACCAAAATCCGTTAGTCAAATCTAATGCATCTTGCAATTCCAGCAAGTGTGAAAAATCCCTATAATTATGAACAACTCCACAAGGGCCATGATGAGGATTCGAACCTGTGTCCGAGAGCATCCCAGACACTGCCTCATACATAGACTGAGCTACGACATGGTCAAAGCATCTGGGATGCTCTCGGATGCAGATTCGAACCCTCGTCACGGCCCTTGTGGATTTGTTCATTTGATGCATCATGCAATTGTGATTTCTGTGTGCCCTATAATTATCTTGAAAATTTATGACAAGTACAATCTTTATTTTTTTCTTCAGTGGTGAAGAGAGGAAACCAAACCCCATGTGTTTGACTTTGCTTGAACAAACCCGGCTATGATGAGATTCTGCAATGTCTGAACATGATCATGTTTAGTTTCAATTATTCATAATACAAAAATTTACAGCTACATAACTTTGTTCGTTTAAGACATGGCTGTGCGAACCCATCGTTATGCATTCTGGTTAACAATAAACCTGACCTTAACAAAAACTAAATTAAATAATTTACAGTGCATAAAAACTTTAAAACAAACTCGAATACAGTGCAAAATACTATTTTACAAATTATGTTTTAGAACAATAGTATTTAATAATATACCAGATGCAGAATGCAGTCAAAAATTAATTTGTCATCATACACTGTGTTATTACTATAGAGTTTAGTGGTAATTCAAGCATTGATAAAATATGTAAAAAATATATACACAGTAATGCAACAAAATATTAGAAATATTTTATCATCAAACCATGACTCATAAAATATACACAAAACTATTAAGGGGAGCAAATTTTTAAAGAAATATTTGAAAATAATCAAAATTGCTCTTCCTGTTTGCAAAGCTTATTTAGGTAGTTCAGGTTGGCCTATTAGGTATGACATGTGTTTTCTACATTCAATAATCTGAATAATATGGGGTTCACCTCCATTTGAGCTATGCAGACACATGGAGAGCTAAGCTGCTGGACATGCCAACGAGAAACTTTCTAAGACAACACATCAAGGGACCAACAAGAATGGGAAGGGAAGATGAACCAGCTTTTTTTCTGATATTTACCATAAATGAGTTGGATATAAGAGAAGTCAAGTTGGAAGCACCCTTGGGAATGAGTGATCACAGTGTATTGATCTTTGAGTACCTGGTAGAGCTAGGATTTATCTTCCCCCCCACCCCCCCAAAAAAAAAGAACTAGGAAACAAAGGGCTGGCATACCAAAAGGGAAATTATGAGGAAATGAGAAAATTCCTAAGGGATATACCACGGGACACAGAACTCGGAACCAAGTTTGTACAAGACATGGACTGTCACCCAAAAGTGTCAGGAGGTAGTAAACAGGTTTATCCTGGCCCAAAAGGAAAAAAGCAAAAGAAAAATCTGTGGTTTAATAGGGCATGTATGGAAGGAAAGGAACTGAACAAAAGGGCATGGAGGAACTTCCAAAATAACAGAACACCAGAAAGCAGAGATATATACCAGAGAACCAGGAATGAGTATGTTAGTGTGGGAAGAGAAGCAGAGAGAGATACCAGAGAACCAGGAATGAGTATGTTAGTGTGGGAAGAGAAGCAGAGAGAGATACCAGAGAACCAGGAATGAGTATGTTAGTGTGAGAAGAGAAGCAGAGAGAGATACCAGAGAACCAGGAATGAGTATGTTAGTGTGGGAAGAGAAGCAGAGAGAGATACCAGAGAACCAGGAATGAGTATGTTAGTGTGAGAAGAGAAGCAGAGAGAGATACCAGAGAACCAGGAATGAGTATGTTAGTGTGAGAAGAGAAGCAGAAAAAAAAGTATGAAAATGATACAGCAAACAAAGCGAAGACCAACCCAAAGCTACTCCACGTTCACATCAGGAGGAAAACAACAGTGAAAGAACAGGTGATGACATTTACAATGGGTTCTTGGGGTTATCTTGAGATGATTTCGGGGCTTTAGTGTCCCCGCAGCCCGGTCCTCGACCAGGCCTCCACCCCCAGGAAGCAGCCCATGACAGCTGACTAACTCCCAGGTACCTATTTACTGCTAGGTAACAGGGGCATTCAGGGTGAAAGAAACTTTGCCCATTTGTTTCTGCCTCGTGCGGAATCGAACCCGCGCCACAGAATTACGAGTCCTGCGCGCTATCCACCAGTTTACGAGGCCCCTCGTAGGGTGAGGACAGGTACACACAGAATGACACAGGTGTGTGTGAAGAACTCAACAAGAGGTTCCAGGAGGTCTTTCACAATAGTACGAGGAGAGGTCACTGCATTAGGAGAGGTGGCAGTAAACCAGACGGCCATGGAGGGGTTCGAAATTACAAGAGATAAGTCAAGAGGCCTTTGTTGGATCTGGACATGAGAAAGGCTGTTGGTCCGGACAGAATCTCTCCATGGGTAATGAAAGAGTGTAGAGAAGCACTTTGCTTGCCACTCTCCATAGTGTATATTTGGTCACTGGAGATGTAAGACCTTCCAGAAGTATGGAAGACAGCTAATGTAGTCCCAATATACAAAAAGGGTGACAGACAAGAGGCACTGAACTACAGGCCAGTGTCCTTAACTTCTATACCATACAAGATGATGGAGAAGATCATGGAAAAAAACCTAGTAACACATCTGGAGGGAAGAGACTTCGTGACAAACCACCAACATGGGTTCAGGGAGAGTAAATCTTGCCTTTCTGGTTTAATAGAATTCTACGACCAGGTAACAAAGATTGAAGTGAGAAATGCATTTTTTTGGACTGCCGGAAAGCCTTTGACATAGTACCCCATAAGAGGCTGGTGCATAAGATAGAGAAACAGGCAGGAGTAACTGGTACAGTGCTCCATTGAATAAGGGAGTACCTAAGCAATAGGAAGCCGAGTTACAGTGAGGGGCGAGATCTCAGATTGACGTGAAGTCACCAGTAGAGTTCCACAGGGCTTTGTACTCGTACCCGTCCTGTTTCTGATAGGCGTAAATGATCTGCCAGAAAGTATAGACTCATTCCTCTCAATGTTTGCTGATGAAGCCAAAATTATGAGAAGGATTAAGACGGGGGAGGACTGCTTGAGGCTTCAAGAAGATTTGGAAAAACTGAAGGAATGGTCGAACAAATGGTTGTTAGTTTAACCCAGGCAAGTGTAATGAAGATAGGTCTAGGGGGCAGGAGGCCAGATACATGGAATCATTTGGGATATGAACTACTACAAGAATCAGAGAGAAAATAAGACTTGGGGGTCAATATCACGCCAGACCTGTCCCATGAAGCCCATGTCAAGAGGATAACATCAGCAGCATATGCCAGGTTGGCCAACATAAGAACTGGCTTAAGAACTTGTGTAAGGAATTATTCAGAACTGAGTATACTACATATGTCAGACCAATCCTGGAGGATGCAGCTCCAGCATGGAGTCCATATCTAGTCAAGCATAAGACTAAACTGGTAAAGGTTCTAAGATTTGCGACCAGACTAGTATCCGAACATAGGGGTATGAGCTATGAGGAGGAGACTACAGGAATTAAACCTCACGTCGCTGGAAGACACAAGAGTTAGGGGGGAGACATGATAACCACATACAAGATTCTCAAAGGAATTGATAGAGTAGACAAAGACAGGCTATTTAATACAAGAGGCACACGCACTAGAGGACACAGGTGGAAATTGAGTGCCCAAATGAGCCATAGAGACATTAGAAAGATTTTTTTTAATGTTAGAGTAGTTGACAAATGGAATGCATTAGGAGGTGAGGTGGTGGAGGCAGATTCCATACACAGTTTCAAATGTAGTTATGATAGAACCCAATAGGCTCAGGCAGGACCAAAGAGCCAGAGCTCAACCCTGCAAGCACAACTAGGTGAGTACACACACACACACACACACACACACACACACACACACACATACATACATACATACACATATATATACATATGTGTGTGTGTTTTGAGGCATGAGTTACGAGGAAAGGCTGTGTGAAATGCACCTCATGTCGCTGGAAGACAGGAGGGCTATGATCACTACCTACAAAATTCTAAGAGGAATCGACAGGATCGATAAAGTTAAATTGTTTAACACAGGTGGTACGCGAATAATGGAACACAAGTGGAAACCGAGTACCCAGTTGAGCCACAGGGATGTTAGAAAGAACTTTTTTAGTGCCAGAGTAGTTAACAGATGGAATGCATTAGGCAGTGATGTGGTGGAGGCAGACTCCAATAATACACATTTTCAGATGTAGATATGATAGAGCCCAGTAGGCTTCAAGGTAATACTGTATATACAAATATAGATTGGATTACGAATAAATTTAGTGAACTTGGAGAATGGGCACGAGATGAAAGCCTAGACATAATAGCACTCACAGAAACAATGCTAGCAAAAATCTTAACAAATGCAGTGTTTCCGCAGGAATACTAAGTAAATTACGAAAGAGAGGGAAGGAAGAGGTAGAGGTGGAGTAGCTCTGCTGATAAGAAAGGACAGGAGTTTTGAAGAGATGGTTGTCCAGGGCTGTGAAGGTTTCAATTACCACATCACAGGTACCATTGCAATTGGCGGACAAAAGTGTATATTAATAGTCATACATAACCCCCCCCACCAAATGACAGAAGATCCAGGCAGCATATGATAGAAACAACATGGCTACTATTAATATAAAAGAGCAGCTTCTGTCGCTAGCAGGAACGGATCCAGACTGCTAATCATGGGAGACTTCAACCACGGTTAGATAGATTGGAAGAACAGAGACCCACATGGAGGACCGGACACATGGAGAGCTAAGCTGCTGGACGAGGCAACAAGAAACTTTCTAACCCAGCACATCAAGGGACCCACAAGAATGAGAGGAGAAGATGAACCAGCCATGCTTGATCTGATATTCACCCTGAATGAGTTGGATATAAGGGAAGTTAAGTTGGATGCCTCCGTGGGATTTAGTGTTCACAGTGTACTGATATTTGAGTACCTGGTAGAGCTAGGAGTAATATCCCCCAACACAACTAGAAAACAAGGGGCTGGCATATCGAAAGGGAAATTATGAAATGAGAAAATTCCTAAAAGAAATACCATGGGACATAGAACTCAGAATTAAGACCGTACAAGACATGAAGGACTATGACACCCAAAGGTGTCAGGAGGCAATAAACAGGTTATCTAGGCTGGGTGCCTGACAGCTGTGTGGACAGCGCTTCGGATTTGTAGTCCTGAAGTTCCGGGTTCGATCCCCGGTGGAGGCGGAGACAAATTGGGCAAAATGTTTTTCACCCTGATGCCCCTGTTACCTAGCAGTAAATAGGTACCTGGGAGTTAGACAGCTGCTATGGGCTGCTTCCTCTGGGGTGTGTAACAAAAAGGAGGCCTGGTCGAGGACCGGGCCGCGGGGACGCTAAGCCCCAAAGTTATGTCAAGATGGGCCCAAAAGGAAAAATAATTAAGCAAAAGGAGAATCCATGGTGTAACCCCCCTGCTGCTTAGCTATTAATAGCCTTCACACTGCCAGGTGCAAGAAATAAAAATATTTCAAAATTAAAAATATTGGAGCTGAAAAATATTATTCAGCTTAATATTTAGAGATATTGTCGCACTAACAGAAACGAACCTTGCAGAAAATATTTTATATGAGGTCGTATTTCTAAGGACCTACTCTGTTTGGAGACATGACAGGAAAACTAGGAGTGGCTGTGCTGGTGAAAGAACACCTGAAGGTAAGAGAGTTAATTGAAAACCTTCGAGAAATAGACATAATGGCATTGCAGGTCTGGAATCAGGATGATAAACTGATAATTGTAAATGCCTACAGCCCACTAGCAAGCAACACATGGACAAAGGAGGAACTGGATGACAAACGAGAGGGCCTTATAATGGTCATGCGAGAGATTATTGTAAAATCAGATAAAGATAAATCACGATTGTTGGTATCGAGGGACTTCAACTTTAAAGCAATAGACTGGGAGGCCTACGAAGGAAGAACTGAGAACATTTGGACAGGCAGATTAATAAACCTCATTATGGAGACTTTCATGTATCAAAACATCAAGAAGGCCACAAGAATGAAGGAAGGGGATGTTCCATCAATACTGGATCTAATATTCACCAAGAAAGAAGAAGAGATATTTGACATCCAGTACCTTCCTCCCTTGGGAAAGAGTGATCATGTCCTATTGATATTAATTAATTAAGATACTGTGACTGGTTGAGATGGGGGTTACTGTACTGTACCTCTTTTCCTCGGTTCAGTCTTGCTCCAGATTCTGGCTTGACTGGAATCTTAGAATGAGAGTGATTCTTCTGTCCCCATAGTGGCTGGCCTAGCCTGGGTTTGAGGCACAGCTCGCTTGGTGTCCGAACCCTGGCATTTTTCAGGGGCTCCGCCCTTATCAGCAGGTTGGATGGGTGAGGTACCTCGCTGCTTCGGCCTTATCTTCCGACTTACGCTTCTGATATTTCTGACGCATGTTTATTTCCATTTGAATGGTGATCAGGTGGCTGGTTTGATTGTGTCCCACCTGTGGTCTACTTCTAAAGGACAGTATGAGGTTTCTTGGCGGGCTTTCTGCCATTTTCTTACTCTTTGTCGACTTTCTTCAGCATTAGACAGGATTGGTTTGTTCTTTCTCTCTTAGCTTTTTCTGGATCAGCGTCTCATGCCGAAGGCTGTCACATTTTATTTAGCGGCGTTGGCTGAGCCGCTTCAGCTTGCATTTGAGGTAGATGTCGCTTCTGCCGTTCCGCAAGCTTTCTCGTGCATTTTTTTCACTATCAGCCTGCTCATACGCCACCCGAGCGTGCTTGGTCGTTGGATCGGGTTCTTTAGTCTTTTTCTTCACTTCGGTTTGTGGTGGCCCCTTCTTTTGAAATTGTTTTGGTGTGCTTTGTCCTCTGGGGGTTGGGTTGTGGGGGCTTCATGTTCTCCAGCGCCAGGGGTTTTATTCCTTTGGTCCCGGTGGTCATTTTGTTAGGGTGCAGCCAGCTCCTTCTTTTCTGGCGAAAAATGAAACAGTGGGCTTCCTGAGGGGTCCTTTGCTTGTGGATGTTTGTTTGGTTCGGCCAAGGATGCATCATGTGTTATGTCTGGTAGTGGCTTTGCGCCACTACAATATCTGTGGGCCACAGGTTCTGTTTCGTTAGGTTAGGGTATTGCCTGGGTGGGGGGTGAAAGGCACCCGATAAGCTAACCCCATCATCGGAATAAAAAGCTTTGTCAGTTTCTGCATCATGGCTGGGCCTCCTGTTTTGTACACTTCAGCAGGGATTGCATCTGACCCTGGCACTTTGCCACAGGAAAGCAATTTGATGGCCTTTCTGACTACTACTACAGTGGGAGGTTTATCAAGGTCCAGAGAAATATTGAGTACATATACATTATGCATAAACACAGTAAAGCACCCAAATTATTGGAATCGTCTCAAAGCTCTAAAAATGTACTCTCTAGAAAGGTGGCAAGAGAGATATGAAATAATATATACATGGACGGTACTGGAGGACCAAATCCCAAATTTGCACAGTAAAATACAGTGACAACATACTGGAGTGAACGATATGAAAGGAAATGCAGAATAGGGCCAGTGAAAAGTAAAAGTGCCATAGGCACTATCAGAGAACACTATGAACATCAGAGATCCAGGGTTGTTCAATATCCTCCCAGCAAGTAAAACAAATATTGCCAGAACAAAATTGGAGGTGTTGAAATAAAAACTGGATGGTTTTCTGCAAAAAGTGACGGATCAACCAGGCTGTAGTGGATATGCGAGCCTGTGTGCTGTGTGGTGCTCCAAACAACATCCTCTTGGCCCAAGCTCTCACAAGCCCAGCCTGGCTCTGGGCCGAGCTTGGGTAGAACAGTAACGCCCAATACCTTATCCAGGTACAATCCAGATGTACCATACTGGGTTAAGGGCTCAGCTTTGGTGCTTTATGTTCGTCCCTGCACAGAGCTTGTATAGTATGTTGAAACCGGCCTCCTGTTTCTACTGAATCGTCATAATCGTTACTACCTTTGCTACCATTGTGTGGTCCTTGCACATCCCAGCTTCTACTTGTACTATACTTTAACCACTCCTCTTCAGAGGGGACCCATTCCTTCTTACTGCCATCTTTTTCCTGCAAGGGTGACTTGTTTGCAAGGTTCTCTGTTCACATTGACGACATATTCTCCTTGTGTTGTTCCTGCTTTTCCCCCATGAAAGGTCCCACTTGGGAAATTTTGCAAAACCCTGACCCACATGGAGAAGGTTTACATTCCCACATACTGTTTTCAAATCATAATCCAATACCATGGGCATTGGAAGTTCCTTGTGTAAGGTTTGTGCTGCCTGGAAGCTTTTATTTTGAATTCAAAATGTTGAAGTTAGAGCTGTCAACAGTAAATAAATTTTGTTTTTTATTGAATTCATTGAATTTTGGTTAAATATTTCAGTTTAGATTATTTTTGTTTCAAACAGGTGGTCAACAAAAAGTGGAGGTCGGCAAAGTCAATCTGGAGGAGCTAATGGAGGATGGACTCATAAATGTGTCAAGAGCTCTCACATCACGCTCTCGCTTCATCTACCCTAAGGTTGCCAAGACTTCAGTCCTTGATAGCTTACTAAGCCGTCGCATTTCTCTCCGAACTCAAGAAGAAAAGGATCTAGCCAACAAGGTGTGTTAACAGAAACAATTTGTTGGTTTGTTTTCTGTAATTAATGCAAGACTTCCATCAAATGCCTAAATATTTGTACATCTTTGCTCTTTCCTTGGCTCTCGAGTATCTAATGCATACCATACAGTTAATTGTGCTTTCTCATCTCCTCCCCTTTTGACACTTTGATCACCACCATTTATATCACACTTTCACCACTATTTGTACCAGTCTTTTTTGTCACCATTTGTGCCAGTCACTTTCATCACCACCATTTATATAAATTTCAAGTTTTGAGTGAGCAGGCAAATCCTACAGAGGGTGAAGGAGCTTTCTCCCATTGGTACTGCAGCCTCTTGCTGAGTTGCTCTGAATTTAGCTCTCACTCATGGTACACGTCACTAATTGCCAGGAGTTATCAGATAAAGGTGTGATTCCAAGGAACCCACATCTTCACCACATCTGAGATTCTTGATATCCTAGCTGGAATCACCAACATTGCACCAATTGACATAATTGATGATGGCAATGGACTTAAACAATGTAGAGCCTCTACAGTAGCTGTTCACCTCCACCAAACTGGCTGCATTAGAGGTAACCAACCTGATTGCATTACTACCAAGACACCCACTTGCCTGTGAGGACTGTGTTTGTGTGTCGAGTCGGCGCCATCATCTCTGACAAGCCTTTTCCTGATGTTATTGCCAGCATCAACTTTCAGAACCCGATATTGACTGCAGTATCAGCGAAATTCATCTTGATTGAAAATTAACATTCTGCTCTGAAGATCAACATCTATTCTCTGGCTGAGGCTACTCATGCTGCTGAAAATGGATTCTGCTGTTTTGGGATCTCTTGCACACCCCACCATGTCAGCAAAGTGGGGTATTTTCTTCTCAAACAGTGTTATAAGTGTTACTAATACAATCACTACACCAAGAAGTGTACACTTTTAGCTATAAAATATAGCATCTGTGCTCAAGATCAGCATTTCAAGGACTGCCAGGCAGCCACCCAATGCTGTGCATATTGTGTGATGGAGGCCATATTGTCATTTCTGATGAGTGCACCTTCAGACAAACTGAAATTAAAATGTCTGGTGCGTGACAAGCATCTGTGATGACTGACCCAACAAGATGATCTACTGCCTCCTTCAATATCCAAGCAGCTGCTTTCCCAACTTTACTGGGTAGTAGTGCTTCCACACTTCAGTCTACTACTTGGGTTGGAAGTAATAACCAACACCGCATCCACAACGACAGATGCCACCAGCTACGACTACAGAAAATAGTACAGTTATGGTTTTACTTCACCTCTCGGGCAGGTTTACTGGGTTCGACAACAGCCTGTTTGTCATAATTAACAAGAAGTTACTTGCTGCACAAGGACTGCCAGCAGTCCTTGTGCACCTTTAACATTCAAAATGGCCTGCTTTCTACTCCTACAACTGCAACAGTCAGTTACCCCAGTACCTCTTGATCCTGCAGCACCGATTGGCCCTCTTGCAACCTTCTTAGCAGAACTTCCTGATCCTAAAATACAGTTTAACTCCTACATTGTGCACCTGTTTCATGCGACTACTTCATGGTGCACGGGTTAATGATTTATTAACATTAAAAATTAAAAAAAAATTAAAAGAAAAAATATTGCAAAACTACAATTTTAATTTCAAATCACAAAGCGTGAAAAAACACATTAAATATTGCTAAATTCGATAATGTTTTTGCACCATCTGGTGCCTTAATGTGCTTTGCACACTTACGGCGAGTCTCCTGCAACCCAACATCCAGAACCAGCTTCTGCAACTAGAGTAGATTCTGCTACTTCACCAACTGCAACTCTAGTCACCAGCTCAACTGCTGCTGTTGTATGTGATATGTCTGCACAGTTCACCAACACCACAATTGCAGCTGCAACACAAGTTGATTATAACGAAGAAGTAGTAATAGTCTATACCTCGTTCAACGAAGAATTAATGGATATAGACACAGCCTATGCTACATCCTCCACTTCCAACACACCAGGCACCCTTACCAGTTCTTTTTCTAATATATGTTAATGACATGTTTACAGAAGTAAAGTCATATATGTCGATATTTGCGGATGACGTAAAATTAATGAGAAGAGTTGTGACAGATGAGGATTGTAGGATTCTCCAAGAGGACTTGAACAGGTTGCAGAGATGGTCAGAGAAATGGCTACTAGAGTTCAAAACGAGCAAATGTAAAGTTATTAAAATGGGATTGGGTGATAGGAGACCAAAAGGGCAGTTCACAATGAAGGGAAACCACCTACCTGTGACGATTCGAGAAAGAGACCTAGGAGTGGACATAACACCTAATCTAACTCTTGAGGTACTGGACTCGTAATCTTGAGTTCGGATTCGATTCCCGGTGATGGCAGAAACAAAAATGGGCAGAGTTTCTTTCACCCTGATGCCCCTGTTACCTAGCAGTAAATAGGTACCTGGGAGTTACAGCTGCTATGGGCTGCTTAATGGGGATGTGTGTACTCATATATTTGTATTTGCCTATTTGTGCCTGCAGGATCAAGCATTGACTCTTGGATCCCACCTTTCTAGCCATCGGCTGTTTACAGCAATGACTCTGGGCCTTTTTCCCTGTCATATCTAGTTTTAAAGTTATGAAGAGAGTTTGCTTCCACAACCTGCTCATTAAGTGCATTCGGTAGTACTGTCAGTAGTTTCAAAGCGTTAGATGACAAAGAATTCTGGGAAGTCGGGACACCACAAGCGTAGCTCTCATTCTGTAACAACACTTAGGTAATTAAACACACACACGCAGTGTATATAATCACCAACAACCCAATAACCCAGCCAAGGTTCAGGCAATCACCGGTGAAGTGGTATTAGTACTGTATGTGTCGGGGTTATTGGATGTGTGTGCATTTGTGCAGTGCCAGTGGCCTTATTGGCACATTTACTTTACAACTAGTAAATGCACTTGGAAACCCTAATCATCCTCTTCAATGTAAATTGTTGAATATTTTGGAGTCTGGTTCTTGGTTGAGGACTGCACTGATTCTTTGCCATTTTGATTTTGTACCTGTGGATATCAAGCATGTTACTGCAGGAATGTTGTACAACAGTGTTGGAAGGCCGGTAAGTATTATATAGGGTATATGTTTATACTGGTGAATCCTCTTTAATGTGCATGATATAACTGATATAATATAGGAATGATATAACAAGGAACTGGCACTTTGCTATGCACCATAAATTCTGACATAATTTTGTGAATGCCATATCTCAGTAATTCGTCTAAAAGAGAAGATTGTTTAACCATTTTGTAGATGCATGTCTTTCAATTCATATCAAGTTTCTCCAGGTAGTTCAAATTTGTGAGTGTTCCACTTGGAACACTTGATTATCTGAGGACTGGTAACTTATCCTATCTTGTATATGGTACAAGCCAAAAATTACAAGCTTTATTATTTCTACAGAAATCTCATGGCTGTGAATGTAAAAAAGATGAAGAAGATGATGAAGTTGATGTGGAGAATGATGATTCAGATGCTACTCTTAGTGATAATTCAGACCATGAAAATATTGACGAAATTCCTGATTCCCAGAGGTCCACTATTCATAAACAGAGACCTGCTGGAAATTTATTAAAGGAAGTTCGCATGTTAAAGACAAAGTTTGAAATGCTTGACGAGCTTGATGGAAACTACGTGTGTTATTCGGTGATATGTAGAAGTAGTGGGCGATGCCATTGTTATTCTCCATTGTGCCTGCTAAAAACTAGGACAAAAGAAAAATTAATTAATAGTGTTAAAAATTATAGAATAGTTACCAGCAAGCGTGCTCCTTTTGATGAGGTTGGGGCACACAGTCCTGTGAGATTGACAGATTTTGAGGTGGAAAGTGTGAGTAAAGCAGAGACAGTGAGTGACACTTTAACTAATGCTACTAGTGTAGTTGCCACTGTGAATGGACAACTAGCTAATAATGGCTCAACTGCTACTGCAGAAATGGGTCAGATAAAATTAGAAAGTGCAGATTCCAGTGACGGTAGATCATCGAGAGCCAGTAGTGAGATAAAAATACGAATGGAAGATGATATAGATGAAACAAGCCAAGGGTCCCTCACTATGGAGAGTAAATTCTCTTTGAAAAATGACAGGACATATAGTAGTGAGTCTACCTCTGGGAAAGTGTACCTGAAAAAGCTACCGAGTGAAACAAAGCGTGGGCGTAAACTTCAGTACCATGTGCCCCAGCTCTCTACCTTCAGAATTGGTAAAAAAAGTGCTAGTGTTGATAAAAGAGTGAGTAGTATACTTGTGTTGCCAAATTGGGAATTGAGAATGTTGGCAAGAAAAGGGGGACGCTATCATGTTAGTGGTTTTAACCATAATGCCAAAGCGAACAATATTGTTTGGCCATATCCCTGTTCTCGACCCGTGTTCAAAACTACTTGGCAGTATCGCACAGCCAACATGCCAACCTTGAATTCTGCATCGATGCAGTTACGCATTTTATGGGTGTGCCTTCGATGGGATGACATGCAGGAGAAGGGGCCAGGAGATGGCAGAAAACAGATCACAACAGAAATGGAGATCATCCAAACAGAAATATTGAAGAGAAAACATTCTGGACGATTTTTAGAGAAGACCTCCTATCTCCGTCGTAAAGTGATAATCCCTTTTGATGTTCCTAAGCCTATAAGAGGTAAGTGATGTGTGGTTTTTATTTAAATATGTGTAGCCTATTGTGCAGTATCTGGAGTGTAGCACAAGTTCATGCAACCTGAGCTACAATGCTGACCTTGTTACCACCATTGGTTTACCTCAGCCCCATCCTCCTCAAATTATAGTACTTATAGTAACTATTGGGTTCCACATACAGTAATGGACTGCTGTAGCCAATAATGTGAGATTTTTGCACTATCAAGGATTGTTTGTTTATTCCTTGACATGTTAGGTTCTTTAGTTAGTTCTCCATATTTAGCGTGGCATTTAGTCTAATTCAGTGATACAAAATGTAAACTTTTTGGGTCCAACAGTGCATCTTTGACTTGAAGGTTGGTGTGGTAGCTACCCACTTACCACACTGGGTCATTATTATTGAAGGTTGGGCTCAATTTTCTTCACTCAGACGGATGGTTTCATTTATTTATTTGGTGACTTTTGTAGTAACTGATTTTACATTGGCCACATTTAGGGTTAAATTTGCCCTTGTTTGGCCGGTTTGCTTGTAACTAGTTTTGAGAGTAATTCTCCTGCTTCCCAGATGAGGCTAAGCTTGTCTGGTGATAACTTGATTCGTAAGACTGTTGCTTGCAAGGACGTTCTGGTCCCCATGTCCATTATAACCCAGTTGATTCTAAACATCCTGTAGGAACCTGTCCATCTCCCTCCTGAAAATTCCCAAATTTTATTCCAGCAATTCTTCTTATATTTATTGGCAGGAGGTTGAAAAGTTAAGAGAGACTGATGTTGATACAGTGTTCTGTGGTTGTGTGCAGATTCCTCTACTCCTCACTGAGTCTCTTCGGCATATCCTATCCTATCTTTCACTCCAGTAAGTGTTGTTTTAGTGCATATTTGGCACTTAATCTTTGAGTATCCTCCATTTATATACTGTACTAGAGTTATGTGATATATCAGTATCGGCCTGTTTTTGCACTATCGATATTGGTATCGGTATCATTTTCTGATACCTCGATACATTTTTTAACTCAAATGAGTACAGGAGATAATGACTTCTGACTACTATTAGCAGGTTTAGAGCTCTCTCCCCCATAGCTTACCCAAAGCCATAACCTATCAGTTTTCCCTGGAACATGATTGTCCAATCGGCTTACAAACAGTTCCCCCAATTACTGTTGGATGAACATGGGTGAACAGTTAAGGATCAGTAACCAAATGTTTTTCACTTTCCAAATGGATGTACTATGTGGAAGGACAAATCAAATAAATCACATCACTGGAAAATAAAAGAGGTGTTGGAGACATGATTACAGTATATAAAATTCTTATGGGAATTGATAAGGGCAGACAAGGCCAAATCATTTGTAATGGGTGGTACATGAACAATGAAACATGGATGGAAGCTACTTATGAGGTTTTCTTGAGATGATTTCGGGGCTTAGTGTCCCCGCGTCCCCACGGACCGGTCCTCGACCAGGCCTCTTTACTTAGGGAGGCCTGGTCCCTAAATAAGCCACAGAGATTAATGGCTTCTTTTAGTGTCATTGTAGTGAACAAATAGAATGTAAAGTGTAGTGGTGGATGCAAACTCCATGAACAGCTTGAAATGTAAATACAAAGGCACCTCGGGTGATGAGGTTCCACACTCAGGTGAGTGTGACTCCGAGTGACTCCATCTACGAGCATTTCGGGTAACGAGCAAGCCACTTGCAGAAAATTTGTCTCGATTGACGGGCTTCTGCTCGGTTAACGAGAAAACCATGAGGTGCTTCCTAGCATTCCCGCTGGTTCTCGCAAATTCTCTGACGCCTCTGACAGTGCAAATCAATGAAATTGTTTTTAAAAGATGCTAATGATGCTGGGATGTAAAGGGGTGACTGCTGTAATGTTGCAAAGCATCGATTTTTTTTCTGGAGGAGCCCCTATGCCTCCCCGGAGCTATCCATGGCTGATATGGATACCCTAACTATTTTGCATCAGTCGATGTGGGTAGAGTTCTTGGTCTAAAGGGATCCACAAGCCAGAACCTAGCCCCTTCACAGAGGCACGAGGAGCAATGGCCCATAGAATGCACATGTGATTTGGAGCAGTCTATATCTGCCATCGACCAGGACAGGTACCCAGAAAGGTAAGTGCCACAAAACAAACCCCTATTCTGGCTAACAACGAAAATTGTCAAACGAGTCAACAAATCTTGTAACCTAGGTATTTGATTATCTAGGTGCTACATCCACAAGACATTGTACCCGATCGGCTACCCGCAACTCTAGAGAACTCTAGAACATTTCACTGCCACAAACTTATAAGAGAAACGAAAGGAAAGAGATGAATAATGAAGTAATTAGTGAGGGTTTGGTGTGAGGGAGGTAGAGAGGAGGGAGGAGTAGGTGGAAGGAGTAAAGGAGGGGTCGTCAGGTGAAAGGGAAAGGGGGAGAGAGGGTACGGAGATGAATAGGAAGTAGTGGTAGAGGTAGAAGTAGAAAAGTAGATAGTAGAAGTAGAAGTGCTGTCACCATCCATTCTAGACAGTACATACAAGACAAGGAATAGAACTTATTTGTATCAAAAGATGTTGGTTAACATGTGTCAACTGGAATCATGGATCACTTTGGCGCTGCTTGCTTGGTATTCAAACCATGTGATACTTCCACGACTCTGCCTGTTTCAGCAGATTGGACCGGTCTAGTACACAGCTCGTTCAGTCTGCTCCTCCACTCTTCTCGTCTAGTCTTTTTGACATGGGTGTATGACCATTTGTTTGGTGATCAGGTGGCTTCTTTGATGGTGTCCCACCTGCGAGCTTCGTCTCGGCTTCAATGTGAAGTTCCTGGCGTTCTTTTCACCATTTTCTGTCTCTTCATAGGTTGTCTTCTATTTCTGATTGGGTTTTTTGTCCTTTCTTTCTTGGCCTTTTCAGGACCATCATTTGATGCGATGCGAATATTTTCTCCTCGTATCGTGTGGCACTGGTGGAGTCGCCTCAGCTTGTGTTCAGGGTGGATGTCACTTCTGCCTCATTCCGTAAGCTGTCTTGTGCTTTGTTTTACCTCCGGCCTTCTCATGTTCCGCATTAGCCATACTGGTCCTTGGAGCCACCGGCTCACGAGAGCCTGTGGCCAAGCAGACAACACGCTGGACACGTGATCTTGTGGTCCCGGGCTCGATCCCGGGCGTCGGCGAGAAATGATGGGCAGAGTTTTTCACCCTATGCCCCTGTTACCTAGCAGTAAATAGGTACCTGGGAGTTAGTCAGCTGTCATGGGCCATTTCCTGGGGTGTGTGTGGGGTGTGAAAAAATAGTAGTAGTAGTAGAAAGAGTTGATTGAAAGTTGAGAGGTGGGCCAAAAGAGCAGAGCTCAACCTCCGCAAGCACGACTAGGTGAATACATGTGCTCTCCTTTTTCTCTTCTTCTTGATTTGTGGTGACCCCTTCAGTTCAAGATTGTTTTTCCAAGGCTCTGTTGGCATTGCCCTCTGGGGAGGTCAGGTTGGTGGGCTTCGTGCTCTCCTCCAGCTCAGGGGTTTCTGCTCCTGCGGCCCTGGTAATTGGTTTGTTTCGTTGCAGCCGTCTCCCTCTTTTCTGGCGAAGAACGAAACGGTGGCTTTCCAGAGGGGCCCCCTTGAGCCCTTGATGCTTGGTTGGTCAGGCCGGGGGTGCATTATGTGTTGTGTCCGGTTGTGGTTCGTCGCCATTATCTGCGCGCCACTGCCTATGTGGCCGGGACACACTGTGGGGTTGATCCGGTTTCTCTCGTTCTCTGTTCCTAGGCTCGGGTCTCCCAAATCGTCCGCAGGGTTATTAAGTCTATCCTCGTGCCCATGACATTCATAAGTTTGCTGCTTTGGCTGCTTTGTTCGGCAACATGTCTTAGGCTGACATGTAGATTTTTTATTTCCTTACCAAGTGGGGTTGTCTTGTTATGCCTACCTTTCTGGATGCATAACCCTGGTCGATGGCAGACATGGAATGTCCCCAGCCACATGGGAGGTTTCCATAGTCCCTGTGCCTCCCTGAGGTTCTGGCTCGTGGTCCCCCGTAGGCTGAACTCCAATTGACTGATGCCCTAGACTAATATATTGCATATCAGTCCAATAGCTCCAGGGAGCATCCAGGGCTCGCCCAGAAAATGGCGTTTCCTTGCATTCAATGCTTTTTTTTTTATATAATAATATATTTTGATTGGTGTAATTTTTATATATAGTACTGCATTTCACAGTGAATAATTTATTTTCCAGAATTTACCCCTTCTCAGCGAAGTGGATTAAGAAAGAGACGGCGTGCTCAATCACCTGTCAACACACAGCCTCAGAGTGTTGAGGAATGGGTTGATGAAGACAAGTTGGATATATGGGAAATTCGATTTTTTGGAGAACGTTTGGAGCGAGCAGCAGTAGTAACCAAGAGGACTGTAGGAGAACGAGGAGAGTCCGTCCAAACAATAACAACTCAAGGAGCTTCTCCAGCAGAAATTCGAGCTCGAATGGAGGAGCAACTCAAAATTCAAAGAGCAAATTTCAACCAGAAGAGAGCATTAGAGAGTACTCCTCTTGCAAAAGGTGGTGTTGTCAAATTGTCTCTGTGTTCAGCTGCTACGATAACATCACCATCAGGAACTAAATTAGCTTTACCAGCCAATCCAGGAGCGACAACCAAGGTGGTGCAGGCAGGAGCTTCAACAATCATGGCTGTGAGTGGGCAGATTCCAACTATAGTTTCTGGGAAGAAAATAATGGCCACTAGGGATGGCCGTATAATAACTGTACAGACAACCTCACCAGCAACTGGCACTGCTGCTACACAACAGCAGACTTCAGGAACCACGGAGGCCAGTAGTATTAGTCTTGGTAGCAGCACTATTTTTCCTGTTGGTACTGGACCGAAAGTTCAAGTAACATCGCAAGGCAACAAGGTGATAAGACTGCACACAGTTGGTACTGGAGGAGGTCAACGAATGATACTTCCACGCTCCACTAATTCTGTAGCTTTACAGCCACGCATTCCTCGTCCTGTAGCACCAGCGACTACACCAGCTGCAGTAACCACAAATTCCTCGGCTACTGTAACATCACAAGGGCCGGCGGCAACACCCACGCCACGTACTCCTGGACAACAAATACAGATTATAAGATTACCGGATGGCCAGTTACAAGTTAGAGGTTTATTGGATGGTCAGCAGCTCATTCAACGCCCTGATGGGAAATTTCAGCTCATCAACACAAAGACAGCTGGTGTTACTCAGCAGTCTACCAATACTCCATTGCCAACAACAAATCAAGGTAGTTCCCCAGCTATTCAAGTAACACAGCAAACTAAGACTGTTGTTACCAGCAGTGTTGGGTCTGTCAATGCTGGCACAGACAACCCACAAAAGATTGCATCAGTGGGTACTGTCACCAGCATTCCTTCTAGCCATGTAGTTAAGGTAAATGGGCAGCAAGTGCTCTTAAAGCAAAGTAATGACAGTAAACATGTAGTAACTGTAGGGGCCAGTGAAGCTGCAGCCGTCTCTCCCTCAGTGAATTGTGGCCGTCAGATAGCTTCCTCTCAGGGTGGCCAGACGTCGCCACGAATAAAGACTATTTTGGCACCCGATGGCACTATGGTTAAGACTGTAATGTCTAATAATGCTACCTTGCCAGTCAATTCTTCAATTCCCTCAACTACCACATCCACATCAGCTAACACAACCAGTGTTGCATCTTCTGAAGCTCAAGCCACTTCCAATTCCCAAAGCAACTCTACAAGCTCAGGAAACAGCCTAACGCTGAGGGTACAGGTGCGTATGACTGAACAAGGACCCAAGACAATCATCCAGGGACTACAGCCGGGAGTTGGACTTACAAAGGACCACATTATGGCCATCCAGCAGCAAGTACGCAATATGCTTGCTCAGTGTAAGTACTTATTCTTCTTTAGCAACCCTTTTATTTTCTTGAATGACTATTTTCACTATATTGTTCAGCTTTTCCCTGTGCGAATCCCACCTCGTGACATTGTAATGATAATGTATGTAATCATGGGAAGTATTATATGTTTTCGGTCTTCTGCTTATTTTCTTTCATATTTTTGTAATTGTTGTGAAATAGAAAAATGCAAATGCTATATTAACTAATAACGTTTTTCTTATTAAGATAATATGTAGGTGTTGGTACTGTATATACATGTTGCATGTGAGCAGTACTTGTTGGTGTCTAAATATAGCAATATTGTGGTGTAGAGTTTTTGGGTGGAACACATCAACACTGCTACTCTCAACACTTGCTTTCCAATGACGCTAAAATTTGTCATCCATATTTTGACGGTAAACATTTCTTTAAAGTGAAAAGATGTTATCCTATTGTTATTTATAAATATTCATGTAATCATCATTGTTGCATGTAATATATTATATATATTCTATTTTTTTTTTTTATTCTTGAGAGAATTCATTTGCGAGCATTTTGACACCAAAACTGGAAAACTTGGAAGACGTAAAATGATTGTAAACATTTTAAACATCATTGCGGGAAAACTGGCAAGCCCTCTGTTTAGTTAGGAACATAGAGAGAAGAACATAATCTATTATAAATATGATGTATTTTAGTTTTTGCTTTTATTCTCTAGAGATTCATTTATGGACATTTTGACATGAAATTTAGAGTTATAACAAATAACTTAGAAAACATGAAATAATTGAAAACATATTTTGCATCACTAAACAGCCCAGAGCATTTGAGAGAATGCACAGGGAGCTGGACTATGAAGTGTTAATTCTCTTAGCACTTTCCTGGACCAAATGCAGCTGTTTCTGCTGTGTAGAAACAGCATAAAACCTCAATTTTTGTCATTTTAATAATGTTAAAAGGTGGTTATATATGTTGAAAATAACATATACTGTAAAGACATTTTGTTGTGCCCCCATTTGTTAGTTGTTTATTATTCTAGTGTGAGGTTGATGGTGTGATACACCTGGCAGTGTCTGGGGGAGACTGCAGCTCAGCAGCTCCTAGGGGTAGTCACCACTGAGTAGTTCTACCTTTTAGCCAAGATAAGTCTTGAAGCTATTTTGCTGCATAATGAGTGTTTTGCCATCAATTCCTTTGGGTCATGCATTCCATATAAAGGAAACTTGTGATATGAAGCAGCTATTGAGGTGTATAAACAAAGACTTAACATCAGTGGCAGCTCTGTGATGACTTGAAAGTTGTAGCTCTTGTGATGGGTCTGCAGTGTGGAGTCACAAGTTGCTGCCATTTTTTCTGGAATAGTCTTGTGAGAAATTCCCACTATGTCATGAGAGACTGGTCACTCTGTCCATCATAGGAGCCTGGGAAAACACATTCAGCATCCCCCCCCCCACTTGTTGAATTAAGTAAGATTTTGTTACCACCCATATACATAAAACAATAGCTTATCAGCCATTTGAATTATTATATTTAAATTCAGCACATCAAAATGCATACATGATAAACAGCTCTTCTTATCTTGGAAGCAGACAACTTTTAAAAATTTGCTGACCAGTGTATTCAGACATCTGTTTTGGCAGTGCATTGTCTGGTTAATATATAGGGGCTGTGTTGGGTATATATGTCATTGGATAGAGTTACATGTCTGCTTTCCTCATTCTAAGTGGGTTTTATACCTCTTCCCTCCTCCACACCAGGTGAGTCCTTCCTTTTCTCCCTGTTCTCTGTTATGAGGTAACAATTGGGAACCACCTTGGAAGCCCTCCCAAAAATTACATTAAATTTAATGAAATGCCTCTTCTGATGAATCCAAAGTGGCTCCCTGGACCTACCCTTCCCTTCAGAAGCTTTGGGTTGCATTGGTTTTGCTCATGGCTGAAGGTGGGCCACCACCTGATTCATTAGGTCCTGAAGCTGCCACCTAGTGGTGCGAGGTGAAAATAGTGGTGAAATGGACCAACTGTTGGGTGTCTTGTTTTCTGTTTAGTTTACTTTTGCCTTTTTTTGTCTCGCTGTTATTTTCTGGTGGCTATTTCCTGGTTTACAGTGATCCAGTATTCTCTGCTCTCTCTCTCTCTGCCTCTGTGAGTGACCTGGTTTTTGACGTGTTCTCCAATAAGCTATTACTAACGTGTATGGCCTGGTGCGATGTGATACGTGTGAAGCCATCTAGAGCAGCTAGCAACAACGAGCCACCTTGGATCCACCAAAGAGAGATGTTTCATTACATTCAGCGCTGGCTTTTGTGGCAGCCCGAAAACATAAGTCCCATTTAAATTATTGCACTTATTGGAAATAGGAAATGAATGTTTTCAGGAATGCAGTATTTGTATAGCAGACTCTTTGTTCCATTCTTATTATATTTATTAATTTGTGTAGCCTTTTGTATGGATGAAAAATAATAATGTTGCCTCTTTGTTGTTTTAGACAAGTTGCAAGTGAACCAACTCTCCCCAGTGATGGCTTTGACACTGCACGTGCCAAAAAAGCAGCAGACTCAGCCATTGTCCACACTAACTTCACAACAGGAGGAGTCTCCTTCTCCACAGAAACAGACTCCATCATCACAACCTCAACAGGTGAGCTAGATGCTGTAGCATCTTTTATTCATGTATTTAAATACAGTATATAAATATCCCAATGCTTTCTGTACCAGAGCCAGAACCTGACCCCTCTGAGAGGCATAAGAAGCAGGGGATTCTTAATATCATCCTCACCAAAGAAGGGAAGAGAAGCAAAACATTCAATTACAAGGTTTACAAAGAAAAAAGAAGACTCCACAACCGACTGCAAATGATCCGCCTAGTAGTTAAGCCGAACCCCTCGTTACTTCTGGCCACCATCAGATGGCAGCACCACTTGAAGCTGGCATCTTCCCATGTTAACAATCCCAGCTATTTTCTTGATAAGTGTTGGTCACTTTTTGGACTCTGCCCTATGGGGCCCATTTGCCTGTTTATCATTTCAAAATTTAGTATTTGCATTAGGTGTATGTGTTTGCAAGCCCCACATTTTGTGTGGGGTTGTGGTTTGTGTATGCCTCGACCTGCATGTGCTTAGGGCTGCCCTGACAGGGAACTTCCTTGGTGTTTGGGAGTTTGTACCATAAATGCTAGCCTGCTGTGTAAGATGCCTTGCCCAGAGGTAATTTATCTGACCCTCATGCCACTCCAGCATGAGGGTCCAACAAAAGCTGTGCCAAGCACCAAACGAAAACAAGGGATTGTCTGCCTACCAGAAAGACTTCAGAACCTCGTAACACATCCAATAATGAGAAGAAAACTCAAATTCAACAGAGGAAGGGTTTATCAATGAAGCGTAAGCTGAGTCTTACAGGAGGTACGAAAAAAGGAGCTGCCCAAGTTGTCACAGGAGGGACCCCGAGAGGAAATAAACCAGAAAAATAATCCCGATGGACCCAAAGACACACTGAACTGAACCCTGGGTATAGCCGCACCTCAAATCATTTTCATACTGGGAGGGAGGATATGAAAACCCCTCTTGTTGCAAAGGAGACTTCCTTCAGAGGGAACCAAGAACTGGAAGAGTTGAAAGGAACCCCAAGGGCCAATATCCAACTTTTCCCCATACCTGGAAGCTGCCATGAGGACCTCGGGACAGAGCAAGTGTCCTCGCCCACCACCTGGAATAGAAAAACAGAGTCCAAGGGAGTAGCTTGAAAGGAAGGAGGAGCGTACCTGTCATTTACCTGTTGATGGTTCTGAGGATCAATGTTCCCCAGGGCCCGTTTGCTGACCAGGCCTCCTGTTTGGTGATCTAGTCAACCAGGTTGTTTGATGCAGCTGCTTGCAGCCTGACTTATGAGTCACGACTTGGTTGATCAGATATCGTTTGAAGGTGTGTCAAGTTCTCTTTTGAACACTGCAAGAGATCAGCCAGTTATGCCCTGTATGTGTAGGGGGAGTGTGTTGAAAAGTCTTGGGCTTTTGATATTGATTGAGTGTTCACACATCATTCCCATTGCACCTCTGCTTTTTAATGGAGCTATTTTGCACATCCTGCCATGCCTTCTGGTTTTATGTGGTGTTATTTGTGTGTGTGTAGATATGAAACAACTCCTAGTATTTTCCAAGTGTAAATTGTTATGCATCTCTCCTACCTGCCCTCTAGGGAGTACAGATAAAAAAAATTTAAGAGGTCCTAATAATTTAGATGTTTTATTGAGAGGATTCTAGCAGTAAAATATCTTTGCATGCTCTCTAGGTTAGCAATTTTTTCCATCTTTAAATGGGGCTGTTAGTGTACAACAATATTCAACTCTAGAGAGCACTACTGTCTTAAAAAGTTTCATCACTGATGTGGCATCTCTTGTTTAGAAGGTTCTTGTTATCCAGCCTGTCATTTTTCTTGCAGTTGTGACTGCTGCTATGTTGTGGTCAATGAAAGTAAAATCTTCTGATATAATTACTCCTAAAACTTTTACATTGTTTTTCTTTCAATAGAGTGATTTGACTGCATTTTATATGTGGTTTCTGCTTTAACATGTTTATTTTTTCTTTAGCGCAATAACAGAAACTTATCCTCATTAAACGTCACATTATTTTCTGTGGCCGTTAAAAGACTTTAAATACTGAATATCCAATTGGAGGTTTGCTCTGTTTTCTATATTGTCTTTTCTCATGAAAATTCTAGTGTCATCTGCATAAGATGATATAATACTATAGTTTGTATCCCTGTCTTTGTCTGATATGCAGATGAGAAAAAGTACTGGAGCAAGCGCGGTATGCAAAGGGCATATGCAGACATAGATATGCTGGTAATAAGAAAGGATTAGAATGCAGTTACCACCATCACAAAAAATGTTTAAATATGCTTAGGAAAGGTCAATGTCGATTTGGATCAGCATGTAGGTTTTTCCACCCTGACATGAGCCAAACCTCACTCGAGGAAAGAAAAGGCTATGACCTCATCTACCCATACTTTCACGTGAAAGGCACAGAACGCTACATAAAGAATGGCAAGCAAGATAATGAATTTGGAGGAAAATCGATCAATTTTTTATACCAAACCGAAAGAGATTTCAAAAGGAGGAGCATAGAGAATGTATGGAACTGGATGCCAGATCCACTTGCATACCAGAATTACAGATACAATTACACACCAAAAAGGAACTACAACTATGACAGGCAACTGCCCTACAACAATCAGCACTGGTCAGAACAAACTCAATATGTCCACGCATAATGGGCTTGTCAAATGTCTCCCAGTCAAACTATCCCTAATAGAGTAACATCATTCATCTTTGCCAACAAACAAGGACTAAAAACAAGAACAAACAACAAAGTACAGTTCATAAATGGCCTCCTCACAGAGTCAAATGCAGTATTTGGAGCTTTCACAGAAACCCACGCAGGGGAATTCTTGGACAGCGAGATCTGGATTCCAGGGGCCAGATTCACGAAAGCACTTACGCAAGCACTTACGAACCTGTACATCTTTTCTCAATCTTTGTCAGCTTTGTTTCTAATTATTAAACAGTTAATGAGCTCTGAAGCACCAGGAGGCTGTTTGTCGGCTGTTCTGGTGTTCTGGCCATCCCCCGAGGTAGAACTCGGGGATGGCCCTTCCGCCTCTCTCGCAATCGCCGGGTTCGGACCCCAGGGGCTTTGCGTCGGTTGCTGTGTCGCCGGCTTCCTCTTCGGGTTTTTCGGGGTTCAGTGCCTTGGCTCCTACCTGAGCCCTCGCTCGATGTGTTCACGGATGTGTCATCTCTCGGCTGGGGCTTTGTGACCAGTACTAACCAGGCCGGCCAGGGACGGTGGGGTCCATTCTTCTGTTGAGCCCACAGCAATGTGCGGGAGTTCGCGGCGGTGTGGTTTGCTTTTTGGAGGCTTCGAGTCGCCCGTGGGTTGACAATCCGGTTGCATTCGGACTGCTCCCCGGTGGTTCATTGTCTGAACCAGGAGGGGGGGGGGCGGTTCAATGCGGTCCTTGGCTCTTTGGCGCTGGTCGCTTCGGGTGATTTGTCTGGTGAATTCTCGGGGTTTGGCTCTTGAGGTTATCTTGAGATGATTTCGGGGCTTTTTAGTGTCCCCGCGGCCCGGTCCTCGACCAGGCCTCCACCCCCAGGAAGCAGCCCGTGACAGCTGACTAACACCCAGGTACCTATTTACTGCTAGGTAACAGGGGCATAGGGTGAAAGAAACTCTGCCCATTGTTTCTCGCCGGCACCTGGGATCGAACCCAGGACCACAGGATCACAAGTCCAGCGTGCTGTCCGCTCGGCCGACTGGCTCCCTCGCTCTCCTGGCAGTTCATATGCAGGGAGTGTCCAACGTCTTGGCCGACAGCCTGTCTTGTTTCGTTCCCCTCTCCATGTAATGGGCGGTTGACGCCGACTCCTTCCGTTGGCTTTGCCAGACGTTCAGACGCCCTGGGGTGGACCTCTTTGTGTCGGCGTGGTCACAGCGCCTTCCCCTGTATGTGGCGCCTTTTCCCGACGGCCTTGCCGTTGGGGTCGACGCCTTTCGGCAGGACTGGTCGAGGTGGGGGATCGGACCGATACCGGGGATCAAGCAGATCGGACCGATTTGCACTTGGATGGTTCGATCTTCTCGAGTCTTCGCATATGGTATTTTTGACTCGAGTTTATCACGATCTTTATGGTGATCAGGTGGCTTCCTTATTAGTGTCCCACCTGCAGGCTTCGTCTCGGCGGCAGTATGAAGTTTCCTGGTGGTCCTTCCGGTTCTTCTTACGTCTTCGTCGTTGTACTTCGCTTTCTGTTAGGGTGGTGGTGTCCTTTCTCTCTTCGTTGTTCCAGGACTGTCTCCTTATGCCTAACACTGTCGCCTCATATCGTGCGGCGCTGGCGGAGCCACTTCAGCTTGCTTTCAGTATTGATGTCGCGTTTGCACCGTTTCGTAAGCTGTTTCGGGCGTTGTTTCATCTCCAGCCAGCTCATGCGCTGCTTGAGCCATCCTGGTCTTTAGACAGAGTGCTCTCCTTTCTTTCTTCTCCTAGTTTTGTTGTAGCCACTTCGGTTCCGGATTGTTTTTTGGAGGCTCTTTTTTCCTGTTGGCATTGGCCTCTGGGGGTCGGTTTGGTGAACTTCATGCTCTCCTCTGGCGCAGAGGTTTCTGCTCCTTCGGTCGGGGAGATCAGTTTGTTCGTCTGCAGCCTTCTTCTTTCCTGGCGAAGAATGAGACTGCTGCTTTCCGGAGGGTCCCTGGATTGTTGATGCTTGGTTGGTTAGGCCGGGGGTGCATTATGTTTTGTGTCCGGTTGCAGCTCTCTGCCGTTATTTGTGCGTCACGGCTTCTGTGTCCGTGGACACGCTTTGGGTTGATCTGATTTCCCTTCTTCCCTGTTTGCGGGTCTCCCAGGATGTCCACAGGGTTATTAAGGCTAGCCAGCCTGCGGTCTATCCCCCTGCCCATGATGTCCACAGGTTCGCGGCTCTTGCCGCCGTCTTTGGTAATATGTCCTGGTCTGACATTCGGGTGCAGGGATTTTGATGGTCAGACAGGGTCCTGGCTGCTCGTTACCTTGTTAACGTTCCTGGGCCAAGTTGGGCCTGTGTCACTTTGCGTCGGTGGATGCAGTCAGTTGTCTCGACTTCGGGTTGAGGAGTGAGCAGCAACCGCCTCCCAGGTAAGTCCCTATTCTTGCCTCCGTGGGTAGTTAGCTCTGGGGAGCCATAGGGGTTTCCCAAAAAAAAGCAGCGTTGAATGTAATGAAATGCCATATTCTGGGTGAGACTCGGAGACTCCCCGGCATCCCTCCCTCCCTCCAGTCCGCGGTTTTTCATGTGTTTTGACATCCAGCCTCAGAACTGGGGAGTGGATCGCCGGCGCAATGGGTCTGGGGCTCCCCTTCCCCCTCCTGGGAAGGGGGGAGCTGCGCAGACAGCGGCGGACGACAGGTGACGTCGTACTAGTCTGCTCGTTTTTGTTTGGGGAGTTCTATCCACTTGTTCGGGTTTTGGTTGCAATTTTCACCAGAATAGGGGTTTGTTTTGGGACGCTTACCTTTCTGGGTGCCTAACCCGGTCAATGGCAGAAATACAATTCTTCCAAGCACACGGGGGTTTCTATAGGCCATTGCTCCCCATGCCTCTCTGAGGGGGGCCAGGTTCTGGCTCGTGGTCCCCGGTAGGCCCATAGAACTCCATACATATGACAGATGCCAAAGTCTGACATTAGAATATCAACTGGATAAGCTCCGGGGAGCCTCCGAGTCTCACTCAGAAAATGGCGTTTCATTACATTCAACGCTGGTTTTTATTTTTTTGCAAACCTTGGGGAACATAAAATTCCAGGACTCTGGGCCTGGTGGAGAGTGCATGGGGTATGCTGTATATGGCTGCTTCAAAGTCAAGTTGAGTTAGGGGTGACATCTGATATATGGTTTGATGGTGGTGTCACATTCATAAAGAATTTTTTTGGATCTGCAGTGTGTTCAGGGGTTCTCTGCGAACATAATCATACTGGTGCCTCGGTATTTTACTCACTTCTTTGTCATCATCTGTGAATGTTCCATCACCCCATGCACAAGGGTCCATTGCAGCATGGAATTTTTGTTCCAGATTTTTCCATAGAAGAAAAAGTAATTTTGGGATTCCTTTCTATTTCACTTATGACCTTCACTCCTGGATTTTATATGATTCTTGCAACTTAAGCTTGATTGTTTCTATTTCTTTAAAGAGCCTTCTTTGTCATTCTTGGAACAGAGTGAAGCATTGGAGATATTCAGTGATTAGATTTTGTTTCCTATAGAGAGAATGACATTCTTCCAGTTTGCATCTTTTTCTCATTCTTTTCTCTTTGCACATATTTCTAGTGTTGCTGTTCTTATTTTCTCAAGGCACTGGTTTAAGTTTGCATTATCTAGCTGCCTTTTCCAGTATATTTCTGTAAGTCTTTGTTTATTTGTTCCTAGTTATTTTGTTTGTTATTAAAAATAGAATTTGCTGAATTCTCCTTCCCTTGGATTTGAGACTGGCTGCTCAGATCTATTGCCCATGCATGTCTGAACTTCAATTAGGTTGTGATCTGAGTAATATGTATTTGTAATCATTATGTCCCTAATTGGTTCATCATTGTAAGAATAAGATCTAAGGTGTTTTCTTTCCTAGTTGGTTCTACTATTTGCTGGTTTAAGGCTGTTACACATCTGCAAGAGGTCATTTGTGTGTGATTTTTCCCTTAGACTTAGAAATCCCTTTTCTGGGATTCTCTCTGGTATAACTGTATTTGAGACAATTTTACCATTTTAGGGGCTGTAAGTTGAAGTTGCCAAGCACGATGATGATTTGGGAAGGGATTGTGAGGTTTTCTAAGCAGTATTCTATTTTCATAAGTCGATCATTAAACTGCTGAGGATTTGCATCGGGTGATATATATTCAAGGACAATCACCACATTTAGAATTTCTGTTTTGACTCATTTGTGGTGTTTAGCAGCTCTGTACAGTGTGTCTTTGATTCATAGGCTGACCCCACCATGTTTTCTGTCACATCTGAAAAGATTGAATTCTGGTATCCACATCTCACTGTGATAATAGCCCTTTGTGTGTGTTTCAGTCAAAGCCGCAAACATTGCATTTGCTGCATTTAGGAGACTAGTTAAGACTAGTTATAAAACGAACTTCGTTTTACACGTTTTCATTTCTTGTATGTTGGCTAATACGGAAGATGTTATCGTATTTGTGGAAGTGCTGGGTGCTACTGATAGGGGTGCTTCATTATCTATGTTCTGTCAAGCATTTGACTGAGTTGATGGTAAATTTTGGACATTTCTTGCCATTCTTTTTCACTTCGTCTTACTAAAAAGTCTCCCGGGTATTTATGGGTGCTGCTGTATTCATAATGGCATTCCTTTGATTTTATTCACTTGGTTCCTTTGATATAAATTGCCACAGCAGGACTAACAGGCTTCATTTGCTTCCTCTCCCGAATCGGTAGGGGCAACTCCCGGAGCTGGCTGAACCCACATCTCAAGCTAAGCCCTTCCCCGACACAGAAACCCTCAGACAATTCGGGGCTGGAAGCTGGGAGGGGAGGATCAGAGAAAGGGCAAACTTGGCCCGAAAGGGAAGGAATTGGAGGTGTAGACTGAACCAAGGTAGAATTTACCAACATTTCCAATCTGGGTCTCTAAACACCAAACATAGTAGCTCCAGGTCATCCAACCTGGCACACAACTTAGACCACTGCAATCTCGAAGCCCGAACACACAAATTGGTCGCTGCCTAATAATCCCTAACCTCATCAGGAGGGTCAAAAAGAAGAGTCATATAAAGTGAACAAACTCTACATGACTCAGGGTTGAAGGTGTCACCAACCCACGAGTCAGCATGGTGGAGGGAGAAAGAATGAACATTGCCACGTGGCACGGACAATGTGCAACATAGAAGGTATAACGTGTCAGATGCCTGTCTTTGGCTAGTGTGACTGGTAATGTCAGTGTGTAAACATGATGTAAGCAGTCATTAAACATAGCTGTGTCTAGGTTGTAATGAAAGGAAGAACAAAGGTTAGAAAATGTCAGTTTGGATTTTTTAATTACAGTACTGTACTATATAATAAAAACAAATTATTCTAGAATTGAAGATCACTGATACTTTTGTCTTTTAACATGTATATTGCTTTTCCGTATGGGCATGAATCTCAATAAATTTACTTTCAGAACTCGCCAGTGGAAAGAAGTATTGGCAAAAGTAATAATTCTGTGGGAGGATTGGTGGAAACACCAGAAATAGATTCTTCAACAGGACAACCTAGTCCAGACAAAAATATTCCTTCTCCAACTTCCTCACCAAAGAAATTTGTACTCACACAGGAATATATTCAACAAAGTAAGTATTAAAGTCCTATCCTTAATAAAGAAAGCATTATTTTTATTATACCCTTAGTGAGAGAGGAATATACTGTACAATTGAATCATAGCATAAGTGATATGCATAGTGTAAGCAAAATTTGCTAATTCAGAGGTTATGTGGGACAGGATTCTGAATGGAACAAAAATATGAATTATACAAGATTATTATTTTCATTATCGTTACATATTGTGATGACAGACTAATTTCACTAGAGAATGTTTCTGTAATATGAATACCATAAGTATACAAGAATTATGTAAGATAACATAAGTATACAAGAATTATGAAAATCACAGAAAGCCTATTAGCCCATATGTGGCAACTGCTATTTATATACACCCAAACTCATTCATACATTTTCAATGCTTCATTTTCAAACTTCAGCTTACCCTGTTGTAGCTCATCTCCTTAAATGATGTTGCTTACAGTACGGTACAGTAATGTATATCTTCAAATAAATAATTCTTGAAAATTTACATAACCTAACTTAACACAACACTAAAATTACTGTACAGTACATGACATTACTAGCACTTATACCAAATTCCTTGGCAACACGCACAGCCGACTGACCACTTTCACAGAGTTCTGTAACACGCTACTTTCCTTTAATGGTTAGCACAACCTTCTAACATCCAACCTGGCACACTGCTGCTGCTACCAGACATGGTCTTGGCAAAAACTGATCAAAATTACAATAAAATAAAAAAGTTATTTAAGAAAATGTTTTCACAAATTTTGAAAAATGTTTCAAAATGTTCTCCACACTGTAGTATAATGTGAGGGTGGAGAGCACATGGGCTGTTTAGCTTGACCAGGCCTGGATGGGTCCACTTGAGGCAGGCTGGCATGTTATTTAGGCCGCCAGGCAGAAAAATAATCCTCAAATTTTAGCACGAAACTAGTCTTCAGCCTGTACACATAGTTTTACAGCGATTTGTATATGTTATAATACATAATATTTTTTTATTATTTAAGTTAGTCCATAAAGCATAGACACCATGTTCTCCCATATTAACAGGTGCTTGATGAAAAAACATGAGTGACCTCTCACCTGCTCTGGTGGTCTTGGGGGGTGGAGGTATCTGGGGCTTAAATACCTCGAAATTTCCATCCTTTTTAAGGCTCTGAGTTTGGTGCAGTGGGTTTAGTGCGTACCAGCTATGCCAGGTGCTGTGAAGCATCTGTACTGGCAAGGGTTCGAGTTCCCTGGTGGGTGTATGTGTCTAAAGTTGTTTAACTTCAAACTTGCGAGTTTAGGCAAGTTAGTGCATAATGTGTGTGTGTAATTACCTAAGTGTAGTTACAGGATGAGAGCTACGCTCGTGGTGTCCCATCTTCCCAGCACTCTGTCATATAATGCTTTGAAACTACTGACGGTCTTGGCCTCCACCACCTTCTCACCTAACTTGTTCCAACCGTCTACCACTCTGTTTGCAAAAGTGAATTTTCTTATATTTCTTCGACATCTTTGTTTAGCTAGTTTAAGTCTATGACCTCTTGTTCTCGAAGTTCCAGGTCTCTGGAAATCTTCCCTATCGATTTTATCAATTCCTGTTACTATTTTGTACGTAGTGATCATATCACCTCTTTTTCTTCTGTCTTCTAGTTTTGGCATATTTAATTCTCTAACCTCTAACTTGCCAACGGAGAGTAGTCCTGAGTAGAAACCAAGGCCCAGCCGCTGGCGCTGGCCGTTTTCAGGCGCTGCTTGCCGAGTGTCCAAATCCGGGGGTTTTGCAACGGCTCCGCCTCTTTCAGCAGATTGGGCCAGTCCGCTACGTACTGGCCTTCTTCTCGGTCTTCTCCTCAAGTCTTCATGTCTGGTCTTTCTGACGTGGGCCTATGACCATTTGTATGGTGAACAGGTGGCTTCATTGATGGTGCCCCACCTGCATGCTTCGTCTTGGCGGCATTGAAGTTCATTGAAGTTTCCTGGCGGTCCTTTTGTTATTTCTTGGCCCTCCGAAGGTTCTCTTCTGTTTAGGATTGGGTTGTCTTGTCCCTCCTTTCTTGGTTGTTTTAGGATCATAAGCTTATTTTGAATACTGTCGCCTTGTATCATGCGGCACTGGTACAGGCGCTTCAGCTTGCATTTGGTATAGATGTTACTTTTGCTCCGTTCCGCAAGCTGTCTCATAGTTTGTTTCAACTCCGGCCTGCTCATACATTCTCCAGGTATGCAGCCATATACCGCATGAACCATCCTGGTTGTGTAACCAGATGCTCTCTTTTCTATCTTCTCCTCGGTTTGTTGTGGTCCCTTCGATTCAGGATTGTTTTTCTAAGGCTCTTTTCCTGTTGGCATTGTCCTCTGGGGGTCGGGTAGGGAAGCTTCATGCTCTCCTCTGGCGCAGGGGTTTCTGCTCTTTTGGTCCTGGTGGTAGGTTTGTTCGTTTGCAGCCATTTCCTTTTTTGGCGAAGAATGAGATTGCTGCTTTCCGGAGGGGTCTTTGGGTTGTTGATGCTTGGTTGATTCGGCTGGGGGTGCATCATGTGGTTTGCCCAGTTGCAGCTCTTTACCATTACCTGCACGCCACGGCATTGGTAGTTGGGGACACGCTTGGATTGACCCGGTTTCCCTTCTTCCCTATTCCAGGGCTCGAATCTCCCAGGTTGTCTGCAGGGTTATTCAGTCCAGCCAGCCTGCAGTCTGTCCTCGTGCCCATGACTAATCGGTCATGGGCACGAGGCCATGCTCCTCGTGCCCGTGCCCTCCTATAGAGGCCATTTCTAAATGCACATGTGATTGTGGAGCATTTTATATCTGCTAACTAATTCTAGAGCTGTCTTAAACCTCTGTATCAGTACCTCACTCCTAACTCGAAATAGGTGTTGAGCAAACCAGAGAGATTAGCTGCAGTGAACCACTGAGTAGCCCCTACAGTAACAGTTATTGAGAACTGTATATAGACCTACAGTAATATATACATCTATATTGCATGTAAGTCTTTTCCTGGTACAGCTCAAAGGAAGTGTCTTGCAGCCCTCTCCTTTGCTACCATTTTGCCTGGGATCCTCATCCAGAGAGAGATTAAAACATTTATGGTTTGACAATATTCACAGACCACAATAACATGATATCCTCTTTGCATAGTAAGCAAATAAGAATGATTCAGAACATTTTCATGGGTCTTGGTTAACTCGATTACATCAAATTTTAATTCTTATAAATTCTATTATAAATTAAATTAAATTCTAAATTCTTGAATTAAATGTTATATTTAAATGTATTTTAACCATATGTATATAATTTGTACAAGACTGAATGATGATAATTAAAATCAAAATTTTTATTACTGCATTACCCCTGGGGATTAATGATGATAACTGCACTTTAAGGGGTTAATTACCCAATATACCTTATCTCTGTATATGTACAGTAGTATATATGTTGTTTTCTTTCTATTCCTGGCGCAGCTATAAAGTCAGCCTTAAGTCGTGAAGATTTGGCGCCAGATATTGAAGAAAAGTTGATGCAACTGCAAAAATACAACAGTGAACAAACCAAGAAGGAAGATGGCCAGACTTTACTCACTTCCACAACCACTGCAACTCCAACCATCAACTCTGTTTCATCCAGAGCCACTCCTTCCAAGAGAGCACGAGACCAGGTCAGATTTTTTGTTAATAATCCAATTTTTAGACATAAGAGTGCTCTGTAGACCCTTTGCACTGATGTTATTGCAGCCACATACATTGTTGTTTTCTTGCTGATGCTGGAGAGTTTCTTAACATTATAATTCTTTGCTATAATTACTTTTGAAGCTGTGGATGAAGGTGGCTTTATTTTTTTTATTGAATTAGACATTTTACCTTTTCTCTGGCTCGTTTACATTTCCAGCTTTCACCCATGTCCTCTTGTCCAAGTTTCCTGTATATGGAAAAGTCTGTCCGTGTCCATCTTATCTATTTTCCTCAATATTTCATGCATAGTACAGTAATCATATTTCTGCTGGCCCTTCTCTTTGAATTTGAATTATTGCATTTACAGTGGTACCTCGGAATGCGAGTGTCCCTGTATGCGAGTTTTTCGGAAGACGAGCAGGATTTACTCCAAAAATATGTCTCGGAAGGCGAGGGTTACCTCGGGACGCGAGTTTGTTGATACAGTACGTGTACAGGCCGACTGGCGCGTGGTGGCATGGCGATCGCGCCTCAGTTTACCAGTGTCTCGTGTCCAGTGACTATCCCACCTGAATTCTTCACAAGGATTTACAGTTTTTTATCATTTTTTTGGCCATTTGAGCATAAAAGTTGTCATTATATATCTTGCCATGGGTCTCAAGAAAGCCATTGGTAAGGTTCAACTTAAGAAAATAGCTGTGATGAGTAGAGGCAGTAGAGGATGTCCCTTCTTGATTAAGAAAATGTGTGAAGTATGGGAAGAACTGCAAAGTTTTGTTGAAAAAACTCACCCAGATAAAGCTGTAGCAGGCCATTGCATTGACCTTTTAAATGATAATGTGATGTCTTACTACAGACAAGTGTTAAAATGTAGGGAAAAACAAGTGTCATTAGATAAATTCTTAGTAAAACAAGCAAGTCCTAGTGGTATGCAGGCAAAATGTGGCAGAGTGTGCATACCAGTGAAGTCCTCACTGCCTGATGTGATAATGGAAGGGGACTCCCCTTCCAAACAGTAACTCCTCTCTTCCTCCCACCTCCTCACCATCTTCCATACGCCTACAGCATTCAACAGCAAGGTAAGTAATAACTTGAACATAGTTTTGTAGGTTTATTTAGATGAATTAGGTATAAAAATTTAGTTTGATGTGGGGTTTTTGGGGTAGTCAGGAACGGATTAATTCATTTCCCTTTATTTCTTATGGGGAAATTAGCTTCGGAATGCGAGTTTTCGGAATACGAGGCGTCTCCAGGAACCAATTAAACTCTTAAACTGAGGTATGCCTGTACTTCCCCTAACCCGACTTTGTAGCATAACACTTTCATCGGGCACACACTTTGTTGTAAATGAATGTTACTCGGGAATTGAAAGTTAACACCTGAAATTGGTAATTTTGGCAAGTGAAATAGATCTAGGAATGACTGGGGGACAGTAAATAATGAATAGCATTGCAGAATATATAGTGAATAACAAATAGTACTCATAAAATAATCAGTGTAGCCTAGATTCAGCAATTGTCACTTTGGCAAAACTTCAGTTCCAACACTCACTTTGCAGGTCGAATTTACTCGCTCCACTTAACAAGTGTTCAAAAGAGCAGATGGTCTGTAGATTTATAAACCTAGTGTTTTTTAGCCTAATAATGTTGTTAGGATAATATTATTATCCTAATAATATTAGTGTATTAAACAAAATATATAAACACACTGATATACTGTACTGGTACAGTACATCCAGTATCTGAGAAAATATTTCTGGCTCTCGGCACTTGTTTGCACATTCTGAATTTCACGTTGGGTGAATGGCTCCAGCCCTTGTATTCATAGGTTCCAAGTGTTTTTATCCTTCATGCACATGACATGTTTATCCACCAGTGAAAGATTTTATTGTGGCCTAAGAACTCCATGCACTTTGACTGATGCCACAGTCTCATACATTCATATCAGCCCGGATAGCTCCAGAGAGCCTCTGGGGCTCATCCAGAAAATGGCATTTCATTACATTCAATGCTGTTTTTTTACATTTATTTATTTGACGCATTTGGCTTTACTGTATTTGTAGAATTGAGCTAATATTAACTAAATTGTTTCTTTAAAACCACTCAACTGCACAAAGCATCTTAAGGTGCTCTCAGGGTTATGCAGTTTTTCTGGGTCTCCCTGGAGCTATCCAGGCTGATAGGGATAGTCCTAACTTTTGGCATCAGTCAATGTGGGTGGAGGTCTAGGCCTACCGGGGACCACGGCCAGAATCTGGCCCCGTCAGAGAGGCACGAGGGGCAATGAACTATAGAAATGCACATGTGATTGTGGAGCATTCTATATCTGCCATCAACCGGGACAGGCACCCAGAAGGGTAAGCGCCCCAAAACAAACCCCTATTCTGGTGAAAACAATAAAAATAGACAAACGAGTGGACAGAACTCCCCAAATAAAAACGAGCAAACAAGCATGACATCGCACGAGCCGCGCCGCACATCTGCGCAGCTAGGGGAGGGGGGAAAGGGGAGACCCAGACCCCGTAAGAGGGTAAGCCCCTCTTTTCCTTATCTTCAGTTAGGTACCTCCTGGGAGCCAAAGGGGCTCCCCTCAGAAAACCAGCGTTGAATGTAATGAAACTCCATTTTCTGGGTGAGCCCCGGAAGCTCTCTGGTATCCTCCCTCCCTCCCTCCCTTCCTCTGGTCAGCGGTTTTTCATGTGGGTTTTGATGCTCAGCCTCTGAATTGGAGTTATTGAGTAGCCTACGCAGGGGGTCTGGGGCTCCCCTTTCCGCCTCTTGGGAAGAGGAGGGCTGCGTAGTCAAGCAGCATGGCGGCAGAGTGTGGTGTTTGCTTGTTTTTAAGTAGAGGGATTTCCGCCTTTCTTTTCGGTCTTCGGTTGCAATTTTCTTACCATGTGGGGTTTGTTTTGTTGTGCCTACCTTTCTGGGTGCCAACCCCGGTCAATGGCTGACGCGGAATGCCTCCAAATACATGGGGGTTTCCATAGGCCATTGCTCCCTTTGCCTCTCTGAGGGGGCCAGGTTCTAGCTCATGGTTTGCAGTAGGCTGAACTCCAATTGACTGATGCCCCAGACTAATATAACAAATATCAGCCTGATAGCTCCGGGAAGCCTCCAGGGCTCACCCAGAAAATGGTGTTTCATTACATTCGAGGCTGGTTTTTTGTTGTTGCTTAACATAAAAGTTATTATATAAATATCATGCCCATGGGTCCCAAGAAAGTCAGTGGTAAAGTTGAACATAAGAAAATAATGTAGTTGTGAGGATGACGATAGAAGAAAACATTTGTAAACTTGAAGATGTTATGCATGTGGTGGTTCTGGATAGGAATATGTGTGCAATATAAGAACTGCAAAGTTTTCTGAAAAGACTCGCCCAGATAAAGCTGTAGCAAGCCTTTTTGTTAAAAATAAAATTGTTGTCTCACTACAGACAATTGTTAAAATGTACACCAAAACAAGTGTCTTTAGACAGATCTTAGTGAGACAAACAACCAGTGAGCCACAACCAGGTCATAGTGGTATACCTACAAAATGTAGGAGAGAGAGAGAATACTTCAGGAACTTTATCACTGCCTAAAGTAATGATGGATGGGGACTTCCCTGCCAAATACTATTCCCCTCATTCTCCTCTCATTCACCCCTCTTCACTGTCTTCCATACACCAACAAGAGTCCTCAAAAAATTAAAGTGCAGTTAAATGTTCATTAATTTTATTTACAATATGAGCAGTATTCTATATAAAATGTATTTTTAAGTTAATTTTTTTGGGTGTGTGGAATGGATTAATTCAGTTTTCATTTTCTTATGGGAAGATTTGATTCGATGTGCAAATATTTAGATTACGTTGCATTTCTTGGAACAGATTAAATTCGTACACTGAGGTTCCACTGAAATTAATTTAATTTACATGGTGGCCAATAGAGGGCACTTCTGCTAAATCATCCCACTCTGCCAAAATTTGAAGCTTGGATGTCTCAATTGTGAGTTGTGTGTTAAAATGAATATGTAAATTTGAATGACACATGTTAATGTATGTTTAATTTCAGGACGACAATGACTGGGATCCTGTTGAAGATAAATCACCAGCGCTAGTCACAGTGACAGCAACTAAGCCTCGCCCCAAGAAACAACGCTCAGAACAGCGAACTTCAGACATGACTAAGCCTAAGAAAACATCAGCAAAAACTGAGGCATTAGATGCGAGGAAAAAGCAAGCACTCCAGCATAAATTAGAATCTCTCATGACTCGCCATAAAGACCTTCTCAAGAAAGACATTCTCAAAAAGAGAGCTCAGCTAGAAAAAGAACTTCAGGTAGAAATACATGTAAGTTTTCAAAAGTACAGAGGGCCACATACTTTCCGGATGCCTTGGGACCTAGACTGAACTAATAACCTGTTGTATCCAGAAAAGGGGTTTGTCATCCGGAAAATCTAGGGTAAAATTGTTAAATTTTATGGCAAAAATTTGAAAGTATTTTGTTTCTACTCGCCAATATGAGAAGTTCTGGTCCGCTTGTTAACTGGGTTATTGCTATTGATGGAGCATTGTTATTTAGATGGAGAGGGTAGTGGTGGATGTTGATTGTGTTGGGTTGACTGAAGTGGAGATTAATGGTGAGGAGATAACCTCAGATGTTGAAGTGTTTTGGATCAATATGTGACGAGTCAGTAGCATCAGCAGACCTCCTTTCACCATGTACCCTAATGTACCTAATGCCATGGTAGAGTTTTAAGCTTTTGAACCATCCATCACTGTACGAACACTGCTCAGGAATTTTCATAGATTGGTGAAACTCACGTGCTTTTTGCATGAGTGACTGACTCATGCCACTGGATTTTTGGTCTCGTGCTTCTGCTTGTACCACTACATGTTGCAACCCGTTCTCGCAAATTTAATAAGTCAATATTGACTTATTAACTCAGAACACCACCGCGTAGCAGCTGCTTCATATGGGCCAACAGCAGCTGCCTCGTATGGGCCAATAGCAGCTGCCTCGTATGGGCCAATAGCAGCTGCCTCGTATGGGCCAATAGCAGCTGCCTCGTATGGGCCAATGCAGCCTCGTATGGGCAAATAGCTGCCCGTATGGGCCAATAGCAGCTGCCCCGTATGGGCCAATAGCAGGTGCCCCGTATGGGCATAGTAGGTGCCTCGTATGGGCCAATAGCAGTTGCCTCGTATGGGCCAATAGCAGCTGCCCCGTATGGGCCAATAGCAGCTGCCCCGTATGGGCCATAGCAGCTGCCTCGTATGGGCCAATAGGAGCATTTGACCATGAACACATTCAGAACACCTCGAGTGAGAGCAGCCTCACCCAGCCAGTCTCCCTCACTCCAACATCTTACTCGCCAACATTGTTCCTCCCACCATAGTATTATAGTTCTTATACACATGTTCTATATACCTATCTACATGTTTATTTACCAGAACTATGAAAGTAAGCCGGTATGTGTCCAACAGTAAAGTGGCCACCATACACTGCATGAAAAATCACACAGCAGACGACGCTACGATTACGTCACCTCCCTCACCGAAATAGCTCCTCTCAACATTCTCCTGTTGCTGTTCTTACACATATACACACACAATATACCCATGTACATATGTGTTGCCCATAGCGAACCACTAAGCTAGTATGGTGAGCAAAACAAGAGTGGCAGCCACACACACAATGAGGCTACCTCAATTATCGCCCTCCCTCATCAAAATTCCTCCTTCCACAAATACTACGCACAACGCTAATTATAACCACAATCCTGCTATTATCACAATCCTGGTCACTAATTCCTGTAAATGAATAATTGACCACACTTTTTTTGAAAAGGAACCTAAGAAATCATTGAAGATTCCTAGATGAACGAAATAATGCTGTGGTGCTGTGGCTAGCGCTGTGAACATCGTGAACAGAATTGAATCACTGATATTTGAACATTGATCCAGTCATTATCACACTCAGGCTCTATATAACACTATCATAGCTAAATAATACAAGTTATATATATATTTGGCATTTATTAGGCGATGCTGTGGTCACATGCTGAACAGCAGTGCTGTGCGCTCATGCTGCGAGCGCAGCCTTGGTTGCTCACACACTACTGAGGCTCCCACACCCGGAATGTGGACCACGATTTTTTTTAAAGATGGCGTCTGTTTACAAGAGCCCTGAGGAAGCTGATGTGAACCCATGTAGCCGCGGGAGTTTTGAATGGAACGTGAAAATACAAATACGGAGGCGCGTTGCGCAAACCAGACGTGAGCCTGCAGGCGCGTTGCGCAGTTTAAGGGTTAACTACGTGCATGGTGATATACTAAACATAATAGATACCCTTAAAAAGATTCATAGAAAACACCGACCTTACCTAACCTTGTTAGTATCTTAAGATAATCATTTATTGCTTCGTAATTACAATTAGTACTTAACCTATACCTATTATAGGTTAGGTAATAATGTAATTACGAAGCAATAAGATGCTTATCTTAAGATACTAACAAGGTTAGGTAAGGTCGGTGTTTTCTATGAATCTTTTTAAGGGTATCTATTATGTTAAGTATGTCACCTATGCACATATTTAATAAGTCAATATTGACTTAATAAATTTGCGAGAACGGGTTGCATTATTAACACTACTTTGCCTTTACTTACTGCCTGTCTATAATGTATTGCTTTATTACTTTCATTTCTAGAAACAGTGAAAGATGGTAGCTTTAGCCTTAATAATATGTGAAAGCATATTTCTTCCTATTGTCATAGTCAGTGCAAACAACTCTTCTCGAGATTCCACTCTGCACCTTAATTATTTTAACTTCTCAAATGTCACCAGACCTCTTTCTTTTTCATATCCCGCTTGTTGAAGCTTTCAGACACAGTGGGTGCAATGAGTCGATAGGGTGACAGAGGTTCTTAGATTTTGATGATACATTATATCAAACAAAATCAGAGAACAAGACATCAGTGTTGTGACAAATCAAAACAATGGTCCTTGAATCTGTGATGTTACACGGGGTAGAAGGCACTAGATGGCGCCCCACATGGTTGTGGGAAACTAGCCCCATCTGCTACCCCATGACCCCAACCACCCCCAGGCAGTGAGGAGTGACAGGTACTCCCCTCAGCAATTATATTTTTTTTACGAGACCAGACTTCACAACTTTCTCGTTCATTTTTAATCGGTCCTCCGCTTCAGCCTTGATTGGATCATTTTGTTCGAACCAGAGTCACATTCGAATAATTCCAGTTTATCAGACTTTTTTATTCGGACAAACCCCAAAGGGAAAGAGGCATTTCCAGATAAGTGGGTATCGGAAGCAGTCCTTCTGTATTGGTTACCGTCATTTAGTAATGAAGATTTGAAGTGTAATTTCTAAGAGTTTTCAATATTTTATTTGTTCCATTGTCATTAGTTTGTTTCTATGAGGTTTCTTTGAGAATAGATTTTTGATTACTGTTTATATAGGTTATAAGATACTTAATGTTTGTGGTGAAGGAGAGTTGTAATTGTAATGAGGCAATGATCCCCTATGTGGCCATTTTTAAGACCATTTCAGAGATTTGTTATGAGGGTACGAGATGTGTGTGTGTGTGTGAGAGAGAGAGAGAGAGAGTGAGTGTGAGAGTGAGAGAAAGAGAGAGAGTGAGAGTGTGTGAGTGTGAGAGAGTGTGAGTGAGAGAGAGAGTGTGAGAGTGAGAGAGAGAGAGAGAGAGAGTGTGAGAGTGAGAGAGAGTGTGAGAGTGAGAAAAGAGAGTGAGAGGGAGAGAGAGTGTGAGAGAGAGAGAGAGTGTGAGAGAGAGGGTGAGAGTGAGAGAGAGTATGAGAGAGAGAGAGAGAGGTGAGAGAGAGAGAGAGTGTGAGAGAGTGTGAGAGAGAGAGTGTGAGAGAGAGAGAGAGTGAGAGAGAGTGTGAGAGAGAGAGAGAGTGAGAGAGAGAGAGAGTGAGAGAGTGAGAGTGTGAGAGAGAGACGAGAGAGAGAGAGAGTGTGAGAGAGAGAGTTGAGAGAGAGAGAGAGAGAGAGTGTGAGAGAGAGGGTGAGAGTGAGAGAGTAGAGAGAGAGAGAGAGTGTGAGAGAGAGAGAGAGAGAGTGGTGAGAGAGTGTGAGAGAGAGAGTGTGAGAGAGAGAGTGAGAGAGAGAGTGTGAGAGAGAGAGTGTGAGAGAGAGAGAGTGAGAGAGTGTGAGAGTGCAGAGAGAGACAGAGACACAGACACACACACACACACCGATACCCGGAGGGTATCGATTCATTTCTCTCAATGTTTGCGGACGATGCTAAAATTATGAGAAGGATTAAAACAGAAGAGGACTGTTTGAGGCTTCAAGAAGACCTAGACAAGCTGAAGGAATGGTCGAACAAATGGTTGTTAGAGTTTAAACCCAACCAAATGTAATGTAATGAAGATAGGTGTAGGGAGCAGGAGGCCAGATACAAGGTATCATCTGGGAGAAATCCTGGTCACTACGTGCATGGGTGATATACTAAACATAATAGATACCCTTAAAAAGATTCATAGAAAACACCGACCTTACCTAACCTTGTTAGTATCTTAAGATAATCATCTTATTGCTTCGTAATTACAATTATTACTTAACCTATACCTATTATAGGTTAGGTAATAATTGTAATTACGAAGCAATAAGATGCTTATCTTAAGATACTAACAAGGTTAGGTAAGGTCGGTGTTTTCTATGAATCTTTTTAAGGGTATCTATTATGTTAAGTATGTCACCTATGCACATATTTAATAAGTCA